CGGTCGAAGCGGCGCTTCTAACTCGCGTCAATGGAGCACGCTTCGGATGGTGCTTTCGGCTTTTGTCGGTGGTGGGCCCGCCCGGGAGCAACCGTTATATCGGTCTAAAAGGTAGCCTAAAGCACGTATACAGTTTCTCCTCATGAGTTGAACCCCCCTCGCGGGCGTTTTTCCACATACGCGATGGCGTTTACCCGCGGACGAGGACAATCGGACCTCCCCATTTATACGGCAGTTAACCCTGGTCTAAAAAGAGAGGTCCTATTGTACCGACCCGTTTTATCGAATTGTTGCATACAAGGATGGTCGGCCAACCCCGATCTATACAGTAGCGCTTTATTAAGTATTTCAACGAAACCGTCCAGTCATCCATGTGTGCAGGAATTCCGTGACAGAAATTCGGCAATTGTAATTAACCGATTATTGAGGTTTACATTGATTTCCGCATTACTCTCCTATAACACGTTCGGAGGGCAAGGCGAAGATAGTGCGGATTGCGATAATCGACGAATGTACTAATATGTCGGAGGAATCGAAAACCCTTGGCTAACGAAAACTCGGGTTTAACGGAGAGGGAAATTCTCGGTGTCTGAGAAAATCGCGGCTTTTTTCCGCGTTTCTTATCGCAGCGTCGTAATCCCGGCTTCGTCGTCTCGCCCTCGGTGCTTTGATTTCCACCAAGACGATCTACCGGCGCTGTTAATCAGACAATAATCCAGTCCAACGTACCGTATATTAACGTAAAGGTCGTTTCGTTTAGTCGCTTCGTCAAGAGACCTCGAATGCTTTGACAAACCGCCTGTGTACCAGGATGTCGGAAAACCGTGCTCGCTCCTTCCCTTTTCCAGGCCTTACGTGCCCTCCGATTCTTCGTTACAAAAGACGCCTTTCGAACTACTATACGCAACTATAACGAATATCGAGATATCTAACGAGAGCACGGAGGCGTGCGTGCCTCCGCTACTTTATCCGCATATTGTAGGCACGTGGCTTGTAACTTTAGGCTCGGTCACGTTATAACGATTACGGGAAAAGGAATTATCGAATCTCTCGGCTACGCCGAGGCACTTTCGCAAATTTAACTCTTACCGCGCTGCCGCCTCTTCCCTTTTCTCTCTTCCCCTGCCTCCCCTTCTCTGCTTCTTCCCTCTGGACCGATAACGATACACTGTCCTCTTCTACTTCCCGCGAAAGCCTCTCTTCTAGACAGGCCGAATTTCCTCTCCTGGTGGAGGGAAAATTTCCCATCTTCCATCCGCTATCGGAGCGCAAATTTTTCCGTCCATTTTCATCGCCATTGCTTAACATTATTCAGCGGAGAATTTCTGTCGAGTAGCGGAGGTAACGCTGAAATCGAAATACTCGACCACGAGAACCCCGAAACTGTCTTATAAATGTATGAAAATTGATTTAAAAAATGTGCGCTCCGATAGCAGAAGAGGGTCGACATTTTTCCGGAGAGGTCTTCCTCCCACCAGGAGATACTTTCGATCGACTTGCTGTACATTATCGCCTATCGGTTGCTAGGCTTTTTTTACGTGCTTCCGCAGCGTGCATCAAAATGTATCGAACGCGATCTAGGGAATTACTACGGATAATATTTGATATCAACGGCCGGTATTCGATCGATTCCTGGACGTGGAAATTGCGGTTAAAAAATCACTCCGCCGGAATGACGTCAAATCGCGACTATTGGGATCGTTCGCGTCGCATCGGTCATACCATCAAGACGGACGTTTAATCTCGCGTGCATTTACCTAGGGAATTTTCTGTAACGTCACCCAACGACTACGTCACTTTTCTATTCTCGTAAAAAGTCGATCCACGGGGTTGAATCTCACGAAATACCGGCCGTTCGATGTGGAGACGCCGTAGAGCCGCCGGGACGCGGTGTATCGTTCAATTGCATCTACATATACCTTTATTGCACGGCGTACATAAGCCGCCTCATAGCTGTACTCGAATCGAGGGAAATAACCGCTTCGTGCTTCTCGAGTTAGCCGCCGAAGGCGAGGAGAGCATCGGTCGGAAAGAAATGGCTAACCGACGACTACGTACTTCCCGTCTCCTTATAATTTTAGGTTTTAGACGTACTTAATCGTTACGGTTGGGGCCGTACTTGGTGAATTACCCTACGATACGAAATACTGCTGCAACGTCGGGGCAACCCGCCGGTGCGGCAGTCGTTGCGAACGTCGTTCGCGATTGCGGTCCTTTCGACCCAAAGGAGACGGTTACATTTTTTTTTTTTCCCCAAGACTATTCCCTTGCACGTCCTCGACGGACACGTGACGGAAGCGAACGGCAACGGGATGTTATATTTTATTAAACTCTCCGGGGGAATTAATTCGCCACTACGCGACCAGCCTGCCAAAACGATCATTCGACCCGCAATCCCGCAACGACGTCGCGACGACGATCTGCCGGTGGTTGGCTTCGTCAGCTCGTAATACGGTACACTTGGATTCATTCGACGGAAGCTCGGGAAAAGATGCCTAATTTCTGGTGAGGTTCGATGCAACGAGGACGCCCTTTGCCCGCGTCGGGAGTGCCGCGAGTGACGGGCCGTCGACGAATCCCCTTTGCGGATCGAGCTAGCTCGATCGACTTAACGACTTAACGTCCTTTAAATCCGATTTGCGTTAAGCCGTTTGCTTCGGTCGGGTGGTGCGCTATAGAGTCTACAAGGGCTCGGGTGAAATAACAAGGCATGCGACTAATTACGCAAAGCGCCTCCGCTTTTGCCTGCATGTGCGCTCGGAGAAACCTTTCGCGAAAAACCCCCGAAAATTCCTTTCCCTCCTACTTTGCCGAAGAATATCATTTAAGCATTTTCGCTCTCGATGCAATTATCACTAAAGTAACAGTAGCGACACTATCCACAATGCTAAGAGTGCGAGAGTCTTTCCCTTATTTTGGTTTTTATACTTCCGCTCTCCTAGAAACCTATTTCGCCGTTCGATCGCGCCCTTAGACCGGGCGGACCCGGGGGATTTATTCCCAGGAGAGGAACGGCGTGAAATGCATATTCAGAGAGATACAACTTGCTTCTCCGAGGTGCAAAGAGCACAATGTTTCGTTTGCGCGGATCCGTTGGTTATACCATTGGTTGAGGCTTGTAGGAATTTGCATATCCGCGGAAGCGCTCGACCGGACCTCGTCTGAGAATGACTAAATTGGGATTCCGGGCATCCGGTCGCATCGAGTGCTTCCTCGATTCGATGCTCGACACTCGGCACTCTTAACCGGCTATATCGGCGATAGGCGACAAGAATTCGTAACCCCTTCGCGCTCTTCTCGTTTCTCTCCTTTCGTTCCGGATGTTGCGTCGACTCGGGGTCCGCGACTTCGCCAACGAAGTATCTTTCCTTGATTCGTCCCTCTCGATTTCACATCTTTCCGGGAACCGTTGATCTAGTTGTAAGGTCATCGAACGCGCATACCGTAACCGATAGAGCCCATTGTACTGTAAATATATTATACGAGATAGGAAATCCACGGCGTTAAGTGTTACCGTTGCGTTGACTTAGCTTAGACGAGACGCAGCGTTGCATCGTGCCGAGACGAGTGACCATTATATAAATGATTATTACCCTCTGCCTTTGGGATGGAATTTCATCGAAGAGCAGGAAACGGGGGCGAATTGCCCCCTCGCGTCCTAAACGTCGATGGCACCGTCGCGGCTTGAATTTCTATCAAATTTCTTATCTCGCCTCTCGTTCGGTCTCTTGCACTTTTCTTTCCTCCAATCGGATGGGAGCAAAATTCCTATTCGCCGTTTCTGCAGATCTGTGGTATAAAAGATAATCGAGTCAATGATTGAGTCGGGTCGGTGCAACGCTGCGTCGTAGGTCCGTTAATTGCGTTGTCATTACATATATTTGTACGGATTGCGCCGAACGAGAGCGTTTCGCATTCAGCGTCGTGTTCGACGCCTCGTAGGGTGTATCGCGTTCGCGAGCAATATCAAAGATTTGTTATTAAATGCCGATCTGCGGTGGGTCGTTTTCTTTATTTTTATAGAGATACCTCGAGATATTAACTGTTAACAGCCGTACGTTACACGCGTAGAGGTAATTTGTTACTAGTCCTTACTTTCGAGCATACGAGTACGCACTTAGACTGATCCAATGGAACGTACCTGGGTGTAAGGGGCACGATTCAAGACACGGTCGACCGGTGGATTCTCTCTCGAGACTCGACCGAACGACCTCCACGTCCTCCCGTGCACGGGAGATGTCTTGAATCGTGGTTAGGGATCAACCGACGAAGTGGCATCGTGTTGCACTTTATTTAGCGGAATCCACGAAGCTGTGAGCGAATGTCTCAAGGTGGACGTATCGGTTATTGAAAGATACATGCTGTATATTCCGTACCGAGTACGGCTAGAGCTAACGAGTAACTTATATTATAGATGAGAGTAACGTTAAGTGTATTATTAATAACGCAGCACGAACGAAGAAGGCCTACATCGACCGTCACCCCTTTTCCAATCCCCTTCTTCTATTCCCCCCAATAAGAGAACACATTGTAATCTATTGTAGATTGTTGTAGATAAATTATACGGTTTGACCGTACATTGTTACTTTTTGTCGACAATATAAAATACAAACATATAAGTAATTACACGTGGTCCTCTTGTTATTTCGCACCTATTTTGGCCCTTTGGATGAAAGAGTCCTTTTACGATTGAATTTTATGGAAGATGGTAAGTCAGAATATACTGCCGATCGAACTTCTGTCGAGATCGAGGCACTCGGCATATCTGGTTTTAATTTGCTGGGAGTAAGTCGATTATTGATTTTTCGAGTTAGCTCGAATCGAATATTGGACGAATTTCCGGGCGATTTTACCGACCATCCACTTTTCTCGCGAGTGGAACTCTCGTCATTCTAGGGTGTACCAAAAGGTCGATCATTGGCTGTATCCTCAGTTCTTCGATACATTTGCCGTCGATTTTCTGATTCGATAGTCCTGTCTCGAAAACTCGAGGTTTCGATAGTATCGATACTTTGTTGCTCCTAGTGCTTCTAACCTTTCTTTGATGTTGAGTATGCAATTCGGATCAGAGATATTTGATTATGAATTAAGGCATTTGATTATATTTCATCATGATTATTTTTAATATAAATTGTACTGACATTTTACACCGTGAAAACAATTAAGTTGACCGATGGCAGTTCTCCTGTTTATTGGTTAAATCTGTTGGTTCCCGTTTTGTTTATTATTACTGTGGATGGCAGTAAATTTGTGTAAATAATTTTTCAAAACGTATTAGAGTAAGAAATCGACGCAATGGCGGACGTAAGAGATATACTGGATATTGAAACTCCGGCAAATTCGGAACTTACGAAGGAATATATTCTGGGTAACGATAAAAAGAACCGGAAAAAATATGAGTACAAGGTTCCTAAACGACCAGAGGGTATGCATCGAGAAGTGTTTGCCCTTCTATGTAAGGATAACAACGACGTTCCTCCACTATTTCCAACCGATACTGGAAAAGGTTATAAACAAGCTCGGGCGAAGCTTGGCATGAGAAAGGTATTTTTAATTCTATCAGAGAGGAAACGTGGCATTAAATAAAAGTCCGACTTTAGGACTTAATTACAATATTTATTAATGAATCGATCTATAAGGTAAGACCATGGAAATGGACACCGTTTACGAATCCAGCTAGAACCGACGGCGCTGTCTTTCATCATTGGAGAAGAGTATCCGATGCTGGGAAAGAATATCCATTTGCAAAATTTAATAAAAAAGTTCCTATTCCTTCGTATACCAATGCCGAGTATGTTCAGCATCTGGTGTCTAGTGGATGGACACGCTCCGAGACTGATCATTTGTTTGATTTATGTAAACGGTTTGATCTCAGATTTATTATTATTAAAGATCGTTGGGATCGAACCAAGTTTCCAAACAGATCTGTGGAAGAATTAAAAGAAAGGTAGGTATTAGATTTTATCATCAAATGAGTACGTAAAAAATTAAAAAAAAAAATATTACAATGATGCCGATTATGATCATGATACTCATTTTTTCTCAGGTATTATCAAGTTTGTGCTTCCCTCACAAAGGCAAAGTCCCATAGTGACAAAGTATATGTCTTTGATGCCGAACATGAGAAGAAGCGGAAAGAGCAACTGAAAAAATTATTTGATCGCACACCTGAACAGGTTGAAGAGGAGCAAACATTACTAGCTGAGTTACGAAAAATAGAACAGCGAAAAAAGGAAAGAGATCGGAAGACCCAAGATTTGCAAAAATTAATAACTGCAGCCGATCATCAAGCAGATCCAAGAAAAAGCGAGAGGAAATCGTCGAAAAAAAGTAGTAGTTCCAATAGGAATAGGCCAAATAAGACAGATACTTCTCATGTAAGTTCTTATTGGTAATTTTCATCATATGACACTTTAATTCACTATACATTTTCAGACCGTAGAGTCAGCTGGAATAAAGTTTCCAGATTTTAAGAATAGCGGTGTTACTCTTCGATCTCAGAGGATAAAGTTACCAAGCAGTCTAGGACAGAAGAAAATGAAAGGCATCGAGCAAATGCTGAATGAATTGCACGTTGGTTAGTATAATACAGAAGTATTTGATGCGACCGATATCCTTGTATCCATTTTTGCCCAGTTCCGGTCAAATCGTTACAATTAAATTTTATCATTCTTTACTTCTTACAGAATTAAATCCTCCACCAACCGAACAAATATGTCAACAGTTCAATGAACTGCGAAGTGAAATAGTACTACATTACGAACTCCGAGCTGCTTTAGCTACGTGCGATTACGAGCTGCAGTCTTTGAGACATCAGTACGAAGCTTTGGCACCTGGCAAGGTCTGTTTTTCAATATTGTTACAGTTCACAGTATTGTCAGTACAGTTTTGAAAATGAATATTTTTCTTGTTTCAGACTTTAACAATCCCCCCAGCACTTTTGCCAAAGACAGAGCCAGAAGTGAAAGCAGACATAATCGATGTAGTCGGGTCCCCTAGTATGCCAGCTGTAACGCACTAAATGGTAATTAATGGTCGTGACGTTACTTGCCAATAACCATGTATTCTGAATTACATCGGCATGAATAAATTTTGCAATGGAACATTTAATAGCATTAAATTGTTAGCGACTAGTTACTATATTTTTTCTCAACGATCCATGTCGTAAAGTTTATTCGTGCCAACGTAATCGTGTACGTTACAAAAGAAAAAATAGCTCGGTGAATCGCAACAAACAAGGACGCATCGTACAACGGTCTTTTTAAGGTATAAAAATAATTGAACAGAACAGTAATTTAAGCAGAAACTCGCTCGCATCTTTCGTCAATATAGCAATTTTTTAATCAAATCTGGATTTTGTCCCGCTGATTTTACCGTTATACCGTGTACCGTCGATGAACTACCGGAACCTGTATCAGCCTGTACTTGACGGAATTCACAGTTGATAAGGTAGAGAAACCGCGTTCCTGAGAGATGGAGTTACGCCGGGATCCGCGAATGCGAAGGGGCGCTCGCGTCGGCCGAAGCTTCGCGGACGCGAGCCAGGGGCCGCGGCTGCTCTCGCGTTCTCTCCGGTCGAACAGATGTTTTTCGGCGCTTCTATCGGGACTGGTCGGGACGGCAACCAACGGCAACAAAGATGGCGGTCCGAGCGGGGCAGTGAAGAGAACGGGTGTCTGTTCTTAATGGGCGCTTTGACAAGCACGCCCAACCACCGTGGAAGGAGCGGGACCGCGTAGGGTGTTCGGCGCGGGGCGCCGTCGACACGTGGGAATGCGCGAAGCTCGGCCCGAAGCATGAGCGACGGCGCGAGCTCGGACGCCCGGAGTCCCTCGGACTCGGCGACGTCCTTGGAGTCCGAGGCCCAGCTAGCCGAGCTGGCCCCTCGGCGGACCGACTTCGTTGGCAGGAGACCCAGGTTCGGCACCGGGGGCCCGCCGCTTTCGCCGTTCATATGGGTCGACGGGAAGGTCATGCGCAGCGCCCTGGCCATCCAGAAGAAGTGGCCGCCCAGAAGGGTGAGCTTTCCGATGAGCGACTCGCACCTGGTCACGGGCTATCTCGAACCCGCGAACCCCTGGGAACATGGTGAGTACTCTGCAGCGGGGACGCTTGCTCCCGGACGCTCTAGATGCACTCTGCGAACCCTCGCTCCCTGAATCGCCCTCTTGCACGGTTTCCCGCTGCTCCCGTACTTCGGCCTGGTTTTTCCTCGCTCGATTATCGCTGGTCTTCGTTCATCGTTTCGATTGCGCACGTCCTTCTTGCGATCGGCTCTTAGCTTTCCATGGGCGCTTTTAAAGAGCTGGACCGAACGGATCGACGGATGAGTCCAAGTTCACGTCGTTTGGTTTTAATAACCGGAGTCCTGAATGTTAGCTATGAATATTAAGCTGCATCTTGTACGTATCGGAGGGTTCGATGGAATAGGTTCTAGCTTCGTGGTACCGTGGGTCGATGTGGAAACGGGTTTCGTATTTTCTTGTGTCCAAAGAAGAGGATCGGAGATTCATTTGATAGATGTCGAATCGTCGTGACTCGATCTATGGTACATGTCCAAGGAAATTCTTGTCTGTGAGCTCGTATTTATTGGAGCATGTATTCGGATCTTGCCATTTTTATGGAATGCACCTGAGATATTTTATTCGATAGACATGAACATTCGGTCTAGTTCGCATCGTGCACCGTTCCTTGACTGTTAGGTTTTTTTATAGACTCTACTCGATCAAAGAATGCATGAGATTTCACAACTCCGACGACATACTAATTTTAAGTTTGAAGCTCCCTCCTTCCGAGCACGCTAGATATGTGTCACGATCGACATTTATATCTTGCGCAAGTAGACGAGCAATTTTGTTTTCTACTTAATCTCCCCACCTTGACCGTCGACAAATATTTGTCGTCGAGTCATATCAGATTTTGGTTTCCATTGGTATACGTATCGTTTAAAATTTAACACATTTGTATAAACTGTTTTTCCAGTGATTTTTTGTCTTTGGTTGTTTTGGTATTGATTGGAAACGACAAGGTATAGGCAATCATTTGGGACAGTCCACTTTATCATTCCAGAAGTCCTTGAATTCTTTGCGAACTGTATATCAATCTGAAATAATCGCAATCGATAATAAAGTCCTCTTCGAACGGACATATAAATATATACAGTTAACGGACCGTGTGATGCGATGGTCAAACCGTCCAATAAAATTACATAAGATACAATTGCCGTTAAAAAGTATAAACACTATTATCGACCGACTAACCCTATACATTAAATCTTTCCAAACCTCCTTGTCGTGTTTGTGACGGGCATATGTTGACCTTATTTACTAAGAATAGCATATTTCTGCTAGCCGCTTAGAGAGAAAAACTGATTTGTGTCAAAATTATTAATAGCATTCCTGCAATCTTGCCAAGAGGTTTTTGCGGACATTTACGCTCATTAGTAAGCTTCGGCAGATTAATTCGCTTCCACCCTGGTGCATTTTCAATGCGATTATACACAATCTTTGACATTCAGCTTCTCGCGTCGCGTGCACCTGCAATTGTCAACATTACGAGTTTATAAATAAGAGTAATCCGCAGACGGAAATACTGGGAGGAATCTGTAGTTTTAAAAGTACTCGCCGATACTAGATTTTACAGGATTCATCGCGTCAGACTATGCATGTAAATATATAAGCCACTGCGTGGTTAAACGAGTGTTTCATCTGTGTAAACTATATACATATAGAAGTATGTATATATATTTTTTCACTTTTAAAGATTATAGGAGGTAAAAATAAAGACGACTATTTTTCCCATTGTGATCGAATCGGCAGTTAGTCAATTAACACGTTTATTCCGAACGGAGAAAATGCCATAAGGTGCACGAGGTACGGTGTTCCTAAAGTCGGGAAAGGCGAGTAGACCGCTCGGTGTCGAGTCCCCAGGATATCCTAATCGGTGAATAACTTATCATCGAAGCACTTCGGGTGACTTCGAGTCTAGAGACATATCGCTAGCTGTTCCCCCAGCTGCTCGGATCATTCGATAAACACGTCTGACCTCTCTTATCGGTGATCCTAATTTGATTGATGAAATAACAAAATAGTAAACATCCAGAGCTTGCTGGGAAAGAGAGGTTATACGCGTACTCTTGCAGGCCTTGTTACGTATGTATATACACATTCGAAATTACAGTCCAGCAGAGACGCCGCAGAGATTCAATGATTTCTTTAACTCGGTGCCCATTTAAAACGAGATAAGCAGGTAATCGTAGGTATCGTAGAAAGACTGGATGGCTGAAATGTGATGAAAGGGTTAATATGCTCGGGGTGCAGGGAAGGATGATAGAAGATACGGATTGTCGGAGGTATGCAATATCCTACTGCCATGTGTCGATAGCACTTTGACAACGTTGGCATAGGACTGTCTTCGTAGCTTGATGTGTACGATTTGAAAATAACATACATGGGACGGTATGACGTCGATGCCATTAAAAGGTTTACGATGAAAGAAAGTTCTATGGAATGATATATGTATGTATAACAAATATATATCATTACGAGGGTTTGCAAATAAATGCGTTCAATTTTCTTTCATCATTTTAGTTTGCATTAACGGAGGGGTAGCTTGACTTTAAGTTAAACGTGTGCCCGAGGGAAACATTGGTATCGTTAAGTGTAAATATACAAGTCTTTGTCCATCGTAATTTGGAACTACAAAGATCTGTAATGTAACTTTGACGTAAAGTGAAATACATGACTTGAATGGTCCATCCGAATTGTGTTTTAATCTCCGTCCACTAATCTTCCCAAAGCCTCCATTTTAAGATTGATTCATTTATTGATTTTTTATCTCTCTCTTTTTTTCTCTTAAACTGACGTATTGCCATTCATTCTCTTGTGCAAAACATACTCGAAGAAATTCATGCCAGTAGAATTCCATTTGAATGATCTTAATATGGGGTGTGCATCATTGTTCACAGCTAAGAATGTGAACTCCGAAGAGTTGATCTCGATGTACAAGAATTCCTGTATGCGGCACGAAACCGACCCTCTGGAATGTGTTGTGTCTCAGCTCAAGGTAAGGTCAACCTAGTTCCTTAGTCTTTAGATAATACTTAGAATAAGGCTTACGTTCACGTCATGCCGGTAGGCACTTTGCCAAAATGGAAATTCCATTCAGTAAGATCTCATACGAGGACACATCGATCCCTGGATATTGCTCGTCAAGAAAAACTGACGCGTAACTCATAGGTAGACCATAACGTTATTGGCAGAGATCATGAAAATCATGTCGTTCACCACATGGTGTGCAGTTACTAATAATTACAGATACTTGTGTAAAGGTAATATCCGCGGTAATTGTATGTCAATTTACATGGTGTCTGTGGAAGTTTTTTCAAAATTATCATGCTGTTACAGCTTCGGATAAGCAAGCGGTATCGCTGATAACACTTGCCATGAATATCAATTGGTGCATTTTAGTATCATCTAAAATTAAGAACATTTCAGCTTGTCCTTATTAATATGTAATTCCGTTACTTTATTCTACACAGAAATTGGATATAACCGATGAGCGCCATGGAGAACTATGTCTGAAAGGACAGCATTTGGGACAGAACGATTGCGAACCACTGGAGGAAATTTTTAAAAGAATACAGTTCGATAAGATTGACTTGGAAGGGACATCTTTAGATGACGAGGTGAGTGCGAAGGTTAATTTTAATTATTTAAATTGAAGAAATTCTACATTAAAGATATGGTTAATGAAATCTTTCAGAGCTGCATAACACTGTTTGATTTGTTTGAATATTACCAGTCGGCGAAGCATCTGAGTATTTCGAACAACAAAAACATTGGCATTCGTGGATGGCAAGCGTGTTCCTCTATGATCAAAAGGGTAGTGTATCGAACTTTTAATTGGTCACTTTACAAGCTTAAAGTTTAATTTATGAAACACTAAAATCCATTTAACACCCGAAGCCACGTCAAAACCGTTGTTCCGTCATCAATAAACGTCACGTTATGCGAATGGTTTATATCGATTTCCACTTGGCGGATGCTCACTAAGAAACAATATTTGTCTCGTTGACATATACGCGGTGTATGATTAATGTGTATTTCTTTACTTAGACCGAATGTCTCGAGCAGCTCGAAGCCAGCAACATGATTCTCGATGAAAAGCCCATGAACCTTTTAAACCGAGCACTGAGGCTCGCGTCTCATTTACAAATCCTTAAATTAGAGAATTGTGAACTCAGCGGAAGGTCCATCGTAATACTAGGTACTGTATTTTTCCTTGCACTCGTTATTTCCAATTTAACCTATCTGTTAAGGTGGCGGATCATCATCATCTCATCGTCATGTCCATGAATGTTACGATATAATTATCCCAAATGGTCGTAAGACAGTTGCCTAGCCGGCAAGGGAAAGAAATGAGTTACTTCGAATTGCATGTACGTGACAAAGTGTGCGTTACATAAGGATGCTGTTAGTGTATACAGAAATATTCCTCCGCGTATACAGGTTATATAAGTGACACGTAGATCTCTGATCCTACGACGAGACTGCGCGATCTCTTCTGCGCGAAATAAACATTCACTGTGATAACTGTACAAGGATTTTTTTTTTCTCCCCCATTTTTAATAACACCATGCATCATTTTTCCGTACAAAGTTACTTCCAAGAGAGATAAATGACGTCGACGCGTCTTCAGAATTTAACCGAACCATTATTAATTCGTCGGGGGATCCGAGATGATTTCAGACATTAATTGCCACGTTTTCAACCCATTAGTTACAGCTTTGAAGCTAAGCACGGGGCTAAAGGAACTCTATCTCGCAGATAATGGTCTCATGGCACACGATGCCATGCAGCTCGCATCGCTCCTAAGGATTAATCACCACCTACAGCTGCTCGACATCAGGTAAGGTCAATTGGTTTAAAAGGGCAAACAAACTGGTGGAACGTCAATCGTTGCGTCCACTGATATATCAGCGAGGATAAAACCTCCGTTAATTTCATAGAGTACTCGGCGCGAGTCTAACGTCTTCCTTTTCTTTCCAGTAATAACAACATCGAGGATCTCGGAGCCGAGCATTTGATCGGTGGGTTCATCGATCAGCCAGCTGACGGTAAAGATGGCAAGGGATTGTGTATTCTCATATTGTGGAACAACCACCTTACAAAGGCGTCGGCGAGACATTTCTCTCGAGTCTTAGTGCGTAATACCTTTGATCGACGTGCAAACCCTAGATAATAAGCAGAAGAGTCGTTAAGAAAATGGAACCCAAAGCAAAGAAAAGGAAAAGAAATAAGGCAAACTAATTGGGCATGCAACTTTCGGGCTTCCGATTATCATACGATGTATCCTCTTTTTTATTCCCGTTTTTAAACAGACCCGGTCGAAGACCCTGGGGACTTTGAACGTGGGACAGAACGTGCTGACCGACGAGATGATGTTCACGATTAAGGAGTCGCTGCAGAACAACAGGATCCTCCTGCAACTGGGGATGCAGGCGACCGGGCTGACTTGTCAAGGGGTCATCGCGCTGGCTGAAATCATCGGAGCCAATAGAATTTTACAGGTACGCTTAAAACGTCTCCGAAATGCTCGAACGACGTGCATTAATAAAATGGACGTTCGATGACCAACTCGAGGTATCGTTTGTCGCAGAGAATAGATTTGCGGGACAACGTGATACAGATGACCGGGCTGTCGGCACTCGCGGCAGCCATGAAGACGAACCGGAGCGTCACGCAGCTGGACCTGGACGACAAGCCACGCACAAAAATCGTAAGACGACAACGGCCCAATTTTTCTTATCGGTCGAAGTCCCTGTTCGCGGGAAGCAAATGAGAGGAGAGACTCGACCCAAAACGTTTCCGTCCTCTCCCCAGGACGCGAGCCTGCACCAGTACATGGACATGGTGGCCGAGATCCGGGGCTACTGCTTGCGCAACGAGGAGTCCAGCTCCGCGGACGAGAGCGTCGAGGAGTCGGAGAGCCAGCAGGAGGAGCAGCAGCAGCGCAGCCGACTGTCGAGCGCGAGTTCCCGTAAGATCTCGCTGACCTGTCAGACCCTGCCGCAATCGTCTCCTCCGTCCGTCCCACCCCAGGTCGCCGGCGAGGGGCCGGCCGGGAGGTCGACGCTGGAGCCGAAGCGCGCCGGAGGGGGCCGGCTGCGCTCCCCGGCCCCGAGTCCGATCCCCTCGCCGGTGGCGAGCCCGATCCCGAGCCCGTCCCGCGGTAGGTTCCTCGTGTCCCGGGTGCCGGAGGCGTCCTTGGGCTCGGGCAACTCCTCGGCCTCGTCCTCCTTGGGCTCCTCGCCGACCCGATTCTTCCCCTCTTCGCGGTTCCGCGTGACCGTGGTCGAGGCCGTCGAGTCCGAGCCCGAGCCCGAACCCAGGCCAGTGGTCGCCTCTGCCGGGGCCAACGTCACCGTCGGTTTCGACTTCGACCCCGAGCCGGCCGACCCGGGGGCCGTCCTCGTGCCGGAGTTGGCGGTGGAACCAGGCATGCCGGGCCCTGGGGGGAGCGAGGAGCCCGCTCCCGGTCGCGGGGTGGAGAACGGGGTCGTCTCCGTGAGGGAGGTCACCGTCAGCGTCAGGAAGACCGGGAACCGCTGCGCCATCCTGGGCATCACCGAGGTCGAGGGATCCGGAGAGAAGACGGAGAAAAAAGCATCCGATGGACTTGGGGGTGGCACTCGGGAAGGACCTCCCACGGCAGGAGACGGAGCGGTACGGCTGGATGCGGAAGTACGCGGAGGAGCGGCTCTGAAATCCGCAGCGGACGAGGCCAGAGGACAGCCGGCCACCGTGGCGAACGATTCATCCAGGAAGACTTCGACGGTGCACCGGCAAGCGTCCGGCCTGGAGAGGCTTCTCGGGCTCTTCCAGAACCCGGGAAACCTGTTCTCGGGTGCCTCGACCCAGGAGAAAACGGATTCGAGGAACAACCCCCAGGCCGGCGCCTGCGGCACCACCGTCGCCCTAGGGGATAGGTTTCAGCAGTACCTAAGGGAGGGCAGAGCCGCGGCCTGCGGCAGACCGTCCTCGGGGGAGCGCACTCCTCAACACCTTCTGCAGCGGTCGGCCTCGGATGCCCCCAGACCCGCGGAGAAATTCGACCCGGTCAAGTCGATCAGCGTGCCCCAGTTCTCGAGCATCCAGGCCTTGACGAGCGTCTTTGCGGCGTGCAAGCTGGACACGATCTCGAAGCACCTGGACAGCCGACACTCGGCGGAGGAACACTTGGAGAGGGCTTCGTGCGTCGCGGGATGTCGGCCGGGCGAGGCGGGCTGCGGAGACGGCGACGCGACCTCGGTCAAGTCGGCGTGGTCCCGAGGGATGCGGCTCTTGGAGAACGGGGGACTCCGGGGTGGAGAGGAGCGCGCGATCGGCATGGACCTCGTCCAGGATAACCCGAGCACCGTGGACAGACCGACTACGACGGCGGGGGCGCAGGAGCCCAAGTCGAGTCTCTGCGCCTTCAAGCTGACGGACATCCCGGAGTACTTGGTCCTGGAGGTCGGCGGGAACCCGGCCACCGCGGGCGCAACGTCCTGTGATATCGAGGCGACGGACAGTATTAATCCAACTAGTGATAAGGACTCTTCGAGTCGTAGTTTACCCGGAGACGCGAGGACCACGCGTTGCGGGCGTAGTCCGGGGGTCCGGGAGGCCGACCGTGGCCTCGCAGCGCGCGGAGCCCCCGACGTTCCGGGGCCGCGGCCGAGCCTCGTTGCGGAGGACCCCGACCCTTGCCAGGCGTCCCGCCTAGCGGTGCACGACCAGTGCCCTCGCCCCGCCAGCGGGCGCGGCGAGGACCGGAAAAGTACAACCCTAGATGAAGATTTACCAGTGGTAGCATTAGCCGATATACCTACGATAGACCTAAGAGAAACGACCGCGGCAGCTCGATTCGACCCTATCGACGAGTCGCCGAATTCTCGTGGCCAGGGCCTCCGGGAGACGAGGCCCAGCGACGACGGCGACGACGCTTCGCCGGGGAGCCGGACGCGCCGGGGGCTCCCGGTGGAAATCGAGGTCGAGAACTCCGAGAAGACCTCCGAGCTCGACAAATCCGATCAGGACGACCTGATTTTCAATATGACGGACATCTCCATGGACGCGGCTTTCCCCCTGGACGAGGCTGCCGCCCTCGGGACCGATCCTGGTCGCGTCGAGGTCCCTGAGTCCCCGGAAACCGTCTTCGGGGAACGAGCGCGCCAGCGGCAGGCTTCTAGGTCGCCGACTAGTCTCTTCATCGAGAAGTCCAGAAACGTTCACAGAAACAGCCACGATTCCGGCATCGAGGAGGCCGGGGCCTCCATGAGCGACGAGTACGTCGCCGAGAACGTCGCCCAGCCCAGGGAGAGCTTCCAGGAGAGCGTCGACTCCGGCATCGACTCCGAGTGCTCCTCGGTCTCCGCCAAGGCCGACTCCGTCCAGGACATCTCGAGGGACCGGCTCATCGGCGCAGACCCGGAGGTCGACCTCGGCGATGTCGCTATCGACGAGCGAGCCGGCTGCTGTACCCTGGCCAGGACGACCACGGCGACCACCTGCGAGTGCGGGGATCGAGCTCGCGTCGAGGTCGCCAGGATCACCGAACCCGCCTCGATTGCCCGCTCATCGAGGTGAGTAGATTGCGAGTTGGTTGCGCGCATTCGATACCCGTCAAAGAGAAGCGGCTAGAGAGCGTCGCCCGGTTGGGCACACCGTAGTGAAGATGCGGATAAGGGTCGGTCCAATGATAACGAAGAAGAGGATGACGATCATCCGTAAACGTCTCAAAAAATGGTCAAACGAGTGGATCGAGTTTGGACCTCGGGTCGCACGATAAAAAAAAAGAAAAAGAAAAGAAAAACAGACGAGAAGACGCATCATCGGAGTGCAGAAATTTTGCAGTTCTCGATATTGTATATTTACACATTTTTTTTTACGGAATTAATCGCGCTTCTAGGCTCACTCGTTATTGGCAATGATCTTGATTACGATGTCGCAAGAGTTTCGATTTAGATTCCAATTTTTCCGTACTTAAGATCGATCTTGGAAAAGACGGGTCCACGAGTCTCGTGGATCCCGAATGCCCGAGCTTTTTCTCTCGCGCGTAAGAGACGACGGAAACCGCGCCCGGCAAAGATTTAGGATCGAAGACCCCTAAAGGTTGTGGCCGAACTCCCGGCATCCCGGGTGTCGCGTCTAAAGCTTGTAATTGTTGCATACTTTAATCCGTTTATGCCAAGCGGCCCCGCTTAATGCGCTTAACGCCGTAGGAGCTTTTTGTTGCGAGTATTGCTGTAACAAGGATCGGCTCGAGATGGAAGCGCCGCTTCCGAATTTGACTTCCTCACCGCTTACGACTAATCTGCCTAGAGGTGCTGCAATTAGTGACGGTAACTGCAACGCATTTTCCTCGAGTGCTAGTTTCACCATGCCCCAGGTAGAGAATTTATGTAAACGGCCTAGTCGCGAGCGCAAAATGGTCAAGGAATTTTAGCTGCAGATTTTAGCTGCGAGCATTAGGACGTCGTGTTTCACGATGTCCCATCGATTTATATTATCAGGCACTTTGTCGATCTACGATGTAGCGGTCGAAAGTACCCCGGCAGGGAATTCTCCTCGACTCGATGCGCAGACGGGAAGATTCACGTAAAGAGACTCGGCCGGTGTCTCGCTCCCGGTGCGCTTGGCGCGCGCCTCAGGCGGGGCTTTCGACGAGAGGCGTCCCGACGCCCTCAGGCCGGTGCTTATCGGTAAGAAGCGAACAAGTCCAAAGGAATAGCCACGGGATTACGGAGGACGTGGATGGTGATCCTTCGGCGACGTAAAGTCGTGGCCGAGGGAGGTCTCTCCTTCGTCGTCACCGGGAACGGCAATTAACCGTTTAACACTTTATCTTGTCGCTAATCCACTCTTCCCGTTGCTTCTCTGACTAACGCAGTAACGTTTCCGCCACTTACTAACGGAACGATCGAACGATCATTCGGGATCCACCGGACGGACGGGGAAACCTAGGAAATTGACGTCCTAGGTAGATCTCAAGAAGACGTTCAAGACGTCGACACGTAGAGGGATTAATTTAATTCACGAGTATGGGTCGATAGATATTACATTATTTTTTTTTTTTTTTTTTTTTCTTACAAAACTAAGGATGTCGGATTTGATGCAAATTCTGAAAATACCTGGAAAGAATACGGAATCAAAGTTTCGCGTCGAATAGAGACTTCCGATTTATTCGGCGCGATCCGAACGTCGCGTTTCCTTTTCTTTTTTTTTTTTCCCGGGTGAAAGATGGTTCCAATCGAGCTTGGGACTCGAGCTCGACTTAAAATTCGGGAGTTGTAGAAGTGGTCGAAGTACCGACCGACAATGAGACGGTTAAAGGCAGGGAGAGCGGGAGATAGAGGTAGACGTAGATATATGTGTATATATACATATAGAGCGAGAGTAGAACGAGGAGAGATCAATAACTTGTCACTTTCCCCAGTCCCGAATGACGAGACCCCGGACTCCTCGGGCGAAGAGGACGACGAGGACGAGAACGCCGAGGCGGGGTCTAGCGACGAGGACGAGGAGGGTTTCGAGCTGGAAGACCTCGAAGAGGACGAGGACGACATCACCGCCGTGAAGCGCCACCTCGAGCCGAGGTATCGACGCTACATGAATTGGAGGATCTGACGAATAATGGGAAAATTACACGACGATCCGCCAACATTTTTCCGGCGGCCAAGATTTTCCTCGAGGGTGGATTCGTCGTGGAAGGTGATCACGGAGGCCGACCGGGTCGACTGCGGCCAAAGTATCTACGACGCATTAGGTGGAGGGTCTGTAAAGGTTCCTCCCTGGATGGACGCGAAGATTTCTCCCGAGGGCGGATTCCGCGGATTCGTCTCGTCTCGACGAGCGAAATCACTCGCCGGATAACTCGTCATGGGGAGATCGATTTTCCACCAAGTGTCACCGTCGCTCTTCGGTCTGCTCCGAGAGGCAACGGTTCCTTCTGATACGGCGCCCGTTTATCGAGAATCGATGTCGCCCGGGTTTTATAAATTCCCCCTAACGCGGCCGAGAGGACCCCTCGGTGGTTGCAGAATCCGAAAGGGTTACGTCGTTACCCTCGCAGGGCATCGATTATCCGAGGTCGAGCTCCTATGAAATCCACCGAGAGAAGCTCGCGGATAAATGGTCGAAGCTCAGCGAAGAGACCGAAGAGAGGGAGGACAAGAGAAGCGAAAACGCGAGGAACCCTGCTAACGGTCATCGGGAAGATTGCAGCGTCGGTTTCAAGATCCGCCGATCGACGCGCTTGAATAATCTACAACCAGGATGGACTCGTGCATCGTACCATCGAGTAATCCCAAGCAATCGACCGAAGACGCGTTTCAAGCCGCAAATCGTTGGACTACTTTCGATCAAGGACTCAAAACTCGAACGCTCGCTCGATCGCCGACGTCCATCCGCCATCTTAGATTCCTCGAGACCGAAGGACGCCCGAACGAAGAAACAAAGTTTCCGATGAACTTTTCGTCCCGTTCTCCGCTCCTGGAGCTTAAAGCTATCGTCAAGGAAGACTCGACCGATCCCGTCTCGCACTCGAGGACGACCAACCGCGGCAATTTCGACAATTACGAGAGCTACGATAATTAGGCGTCACTGGCAGGCCCAGGGGCGCGACTTCGCCGACCAGCCCGGCGATTCGCGCGAGCTGAGATCCGGGAGAGTGATTTTTTTCTCCTTTCCAAAATCCTACTCGATCCGCCTCGGGAGTCCTTAGGCAGGATTTTCGCGCGTCGAGTCGGTTCCCCCGGGAAGACGGGTCCAGCCGAGCTTGACCTCGTCCTCGGGGAGGACATCCTGGATTCCGGGCTCCAGAGCGAGCCTCGCGACCAACGGAGCACCTTGTACATCCGAGGAGTAGGGAGCGAAGAGTTAGAAGTTAAGGGCGACCGGCAGAAGCGAGAAGGATCGCGTCCCGACCTCTCTCTCTCCCTTTCCCGCTCCCCCGAGACCTTTGTACATATTATTATCTTTCAGTATTCTGTTGATAATCTTTAAGAGAGTTTATAGACGTTAACTAGCCGTACTTCAGAGTGATTTATTTGTACATATAGCGAATTGTGGGCCCTATTGGGCCAAAAGCTCGGCCGAGCCCCGTGAGTTCCGGGGTTTATTTCGAGGGGACGACCCCCTCCACCGTGCGCCCTCGCACTCGTAATCGGCCGACCCCTGGCGAAGTCCCGGAAGGTGCGAATCGCGCGGTCGATCCCACGGCGAGCGAGCCAGGATGGGAAATTCCTGCGAGATGCAAAATTCCCGCGGGATCCGCGAGACGGTGCCGGCTCGTCTCTCGACGACTTCGGGATCGTACGTGCGCGGATGTGGCTTCGTTTTTCTCCTTTCTCTTCCTTCTCCTTCTCCTCCTCCTTTTTCCCGCGTTTAATGTCAAGGACGAGGCGGCGCCTCCCACGCCTGGAACGCAGCCCCTGGCCTTTTCCCCCCTTTCGTCGAATTTATTGCCCAATCGTACTTCGTCGAACCGTACCGGTGCATTCGCCGTGCACTCGCGAAATCGTCCCCTGGACCAAATCCCGAGCATTTCTGGGGACTCCCGCGTCAGCTTCTCCGCGGCGAAAACCTTACGAATCCACGGTAAAACGTGGAAAAGCGTAGAAGGCGACAGGAGCGCCCTGGCATGCGAGAACGGACCTAGTGAAATCGTACTTGCTCTTAATTATTCTTATTTATGTCCGCCGTCCGGACGTCGCGCCGAGAAACAAAGCAAAGATTCTTCGCCTCGTCCCGCGAGAAGTCGATTCCAGTGCAGCCGTTTCCTGCGACCGGGAAAAGTACTTCCGAGTGAATGAAATAATTACTCGTCCAATTAAAACGCTCCCGTAGTCGGCTGTATATTTTCTCGATCGATCATGCAGACCGGGAGGCGTCGTCGAGGAGAGCCGTTCCGCCCTCTCGATTGCCCGTCGATTTTATCTTGAATTTATCGATACGCGTAGATCGACCCGAGGCAAGGGATTCGGGGTGATTTATTTTATCTTTATTATTTCTAATCATCGATCTCGAAAAGTGTCGCCTTAGGGCGGGAAGCGACGGAGCAGAGGGTCGCTTCGCGGCGGAATTGACGCGGGAAGCGTTGTTAATAAATGATTACGGGTTAATTTAGATAAGGGGTTAATCGGAAGAGCAAGCCGGGGAGGATGCTTTTTTACGACGTCTCGTCGCGGGACGCGACGAGAGGGGGCGGTGCGGGTGCGGCGGAGGCAGCGGCCTCCGCACCGTAATTAGCGCAATGTCTCGTCCCTCGTTACCTCGTTACCGAACCAATGGCCGCCAAATATGTGTACTCGTCGTTAAATGCTCCGTTTGCGCGCGCCAGGACGCCGCAAAGCGTTTCGGGAGCGCGTCGGAGATCCTCGACACCCACGCTCCGCCTTTCGCACCCCTGGCGAGGCGTGACTTTCGGCAGCTTCTAGAGACAGCTCGAGAGGATCCCCGAATGCCTCATCCGACTCTGGGAAAGACCTCGCAACTAAGAAAAATCCTAATTACTCGCGTTACCGATCGTTCGAGCGCCTTTTGCCATCCCACGACGCGGCGTTTCCTCCCCTGGCGACCACCTGTAATTATTTTCGAGCCACTTATCCTATATATATATACGTATGTAGATATGGAGCACCGATCAACGCGTCGTTTACCTCGTCCTGGCAGGTTATTTTCGAGTCGGTTGAGGACATTCGAGGATATCCCGAGCATTCGCCGCTGGCTTCCCGACAGGAACCCGATTCTCCAATTGATCCTGATTTCTTTTTTTCCCCCCGTGCGAATAGCTTTGCATGAAGAGTTTCACATTGTAGCGCAGTCGTTGATCAATGTTTAAAAGCCGAATGCGAGACCGTCAATTTTGCATGCGACTGTTGATCGTGTACTCGAGAATCGGGTTCTAAGCCGAGAGTCCCTTTCCCTCGCCGGGCGCCGATCGACCTCCGCACGGTCCTCGGGCCGAATTTGTAAATTTCACAAGGATTTCTGTATACTTGTACCCCAGCATAATATAACCCCTTGGTATCTGTCTAAAGCTGTAAACTAACGATGTGGATTAGAGCGTAGACTCGACACCGTATCCCGGGGGCGGGATCGACGGCTACCCCCACGCGTCGAGCTTTGACTCTCTTTATGCCGTACCCGAATTTATGGAAATACAGAAACGTGTACAAACCATGTGGAGTCTGATGGAGAGAGAAACGAGGAACGCAAAGGACCCCGTTTAGCCCCTGACATCCGGTTTACGAAGCTCGCGGTTATTTCCCTCCGTCTCGCGGTCCGACGTCCGGGGTCGAAAGGGTTGGGATTTGTTTGTTTCGCTCTTTTTTTTTCTTTTTTTTTTCCTTTTCCGCTTCTTTGACGAACGACCGCGAGCAAGGGTGGCGTCGAAGGACCGCCCCTGGCGGACAATGCGCCGCACAAAAGCTCGGCGACGACCCCGCTCGGTTTTAATCACCGCGGGTCCAGGAGAGAGCCGAGCACGAGAGCAGTCGGGTCGTCACCACCACGGAAAACGACTCTACACCCTGGGCACAGTTCCATCGTCGATCCAGACGCCGTTGCGACGCCTCCGAAATATACCAGGGAACCACCTTGAAACTGGATGGCACGAGTCCCCAACTCGCGCATTGGCGATTTTGACAATTCGCCCCAACCTTGGGTTAAAAATTGGCAATCAGTTATTCCTCGGTTCCACCGAGTCGCTCGTTTACCGGAACGCGCGGCTAGATAATCGATGATTTAATCGGCGATTTAATCGACGTTAGCGGGACTGAGTCGATTGGCGTCTCGAGGCAAGGCCGATCCTCCGTACTCGGGGCTGGACCTCGAAATGATAAAAATTTCGAATTCTCCCCTCGGCGTAGGAAATTCGATCGATCGACCGAAGCAATTGACGAGCGGGGGGTAAAAAGTCAGCCTGCGAGTCGTGCCGGGGAAGTAACGAAGTTAAAAGCACCGAGGAACGTCCGATCGGTCGTCGATGCCGCTTTATCCCGGATTCCTATAAACCCGTTCGCCGGAGTCGAGCACCGTTTGGATCCCTCACTATCCCTCTCTCGCCCTCTATTTCCCTCCCTCGCGGCGAGTAACGATCGCTCGTTCCTCTTTATCGACGCGGCGCTTTCTCTCCCTCCGCCCTCCCTCTCTTTTCCTCTCCGAAGCCCGTCCCCGCGAGTTCTTCCCTCTCGTTCTTTTCTCTCCCCGATCCTCCCCCCGGCATCGACCACCGTCACCATCGGAGATGGCTTCGCATCTTGGTATCCCCGCCGCCGTTTCATCTCCCTCGCCCCTGGGGGTGCACCCCGTCCCCTCTCGAGTTGCATCTCCTCCCGGAGGCGACTGCCTTGCCCTGTAAGAGGGCGAAAAAAAAGAGGGAATTCCAGAGACGATCCGAGATCCTAGACGCTCCTTAGGATCTCGAGGGTTCTCTTCGACCCCCACGACGCGACGAGGGGGTTCGCAATCGGGGCCGGGGGAATCTCAGTTCCGGCTTTACGGACGCGACGGTGGCCCTGGGAAAAGTAATTTATTAGGGACGTAATTAAATTAAAATATAAATAAGGAGTACCGATACGGCGCAGGAGTGACCGTCCAGCCGGAAGTTACTCGCAGCGACTCCGCCTTCGATGCCGCGAGCCCTGGCGCCGGACGGCGTCTCCAGGATCCTAGTTCCCCGTTCCCGGTTCCCGGTTGGTGGTCGGGACCTGCGCGCGCACGTCCGCCTCCCCTCCAGGCACTCCATCGGCGCGCCCCCTCCCCCGTCCCCGCGCGGAGGTCTTCCCGCCACTCGCGTGCGCGCCGGGCCGCGCCAGTGTGCGCCAGTCGGTGGCGGTGGTACCATCGCGGAGGGAGCGTCGCGCGGCTCGCTGCTCCCAGTCTTCGCCCGGTCGCGAGTCGCGGCCTGCGCGCGCCTGCGCAGGTGCGGCGCGGCACTCCGAGGACCTGCGAGGCACCCTTCGACTTCCGTGGCAGTGTCGGCTCTCGCGGTGAGGCTCGCTCTCTACGCACCTCTTCGCCGATGTCTCGACTCGTCGAGGGGTCGGACTGCTCTTTCGAGGATTTTTTTCCCCTCGGGATGCTCGAAGACCTTCATCGTCGCGAGGGGCGGTGGACGCATCCTCGCCTGTAATCCAGGCGACTCCTCGATCCCAGGGCGACGGTCCGCGCGAGGTTAAGCGTCCGTCCGACCGTTCCGCTATCGAATGGGGGACTTCGATTCTTCGCGATTTTTCTGGGTCACGTGGCCGACGTAGAGAGGGATGGATATGTGCCTCGTTTATTTGGGCATCGGTTAAGGGATTTAACGAGGAAGGGTATTTATAAATTGAAATTTTTAGACATTTAGGGATAGGATGGAAGAGGGGGGAAATTCGATGCCTCGCGACGGGAACGGGTCGGGGTCGAATCGTTGACCGATTTGAGCGAAATCGCCGCCGGGCTTTCCGACGGGTCTTGCGGTCGACGGAATGGGCTTTGTCCGGGCTAATCGCGTCCTTCCGGCAGGTGAACGACGGGCTCGAGACAAGAGGGAATTTAGAGCTCGCGCCACGTGGGCGGCGTCGCGGAGGATGCTTTTCTTCTTTGAAGAAAAAAAAAAAAAGAAATCGCCGCGTCCCGCTCGAAAACTCCGTTGTTCCGGAGGGTGAGCGAGGCCATTGACGAGGGCTGTTTCGTTGAAAGGGAGGCGGGAGAGAAAGAGGCGGAGTACTCGTTTCGCGGAAATTCTCTCGAAGGAACGCGTTCCCTTTATCGGGGAGATTCCCGTTTTACTGGTGGGAAAAACAAAAAACTCGGTGGGGCCCCCTCGAGAGGAGGGAGATCCCGAAAAAAAGGACTTTGACTCCTTTGCCGGAAATCCTACTTTATCGCCGAAAAAAAAAAAGTCTAAGTTTATCTGGCGTGGGAGAGAGTGGACATTTAAATTCGTCGACGGTTAACTTTGGAGCCATCTATCTCGCGGTATCATGAGTCGGTTCATAGACGGAAACGGAAAATCGAGCGACTCCGATTCGGGGATAATCGCATCTCGATCGGCACTCGACCTCGCATGGCCGATGCCGAAGAGTTTCCGCCATGTGGAGGCAATATCGTAACACTTGTGGAGCTCTTCATCCTCCCTTCTCTATAGTAGGTCCCTTCGGCGGCGTTGCCAAGTTTGCCCGGTCTCTGGGGGTGCGGGCCGCGGGATTGGCTTCTCGCCCGCGGCGAGCCGGCAACGTAGCCTCGGCCGACGAGTCACGTGGGTCGCGGCCTTCGGCCGCGCGTATCATTCGTCATTCGGTCGCCGCGACGGTCGGACCGGCACGAGGCCCCGAGGACCGAATAGGAGCTTCGCACGCGACTTCGCGGCTCGCGTGCGCCGCCCTCTCTCTCTCTCCTGGATTTCCCTCCGTCCGCTCCTTCGGGGTCGCCGATCACTGGATATAGACCCGCCGTGGAGAGATTAGACCCTGGCGAGGTGCCGACTGGATTTTTCCGAGCCGAAGGGAAGATGGCTATCGCGGTCGAGTCCATTCTCGGAGGGGTGGTTTTGCGGCCGAGAAACTCGGGGGAGGAGAGAGAAAAAGGGGACGCGCTCGAGGAAGGCGTCCACCCCGAAGGGGCGAATCCGGCTTGTCACCTTGGACCGTCCGCTCTTCTCGAAAAATTTAATCCGAGTCGCGAGAGAGAGAGCTCTTTTTATTATTAGGAATCGAGACCCGGGCATTTTTTATTTAGTTTACGTAAAGAGGAATCCCGCCAGAAAATTTAATTCCCTCGAAATTCTGCCGAGTCTCTTGATAGGGAACGCGCTAGAGGGAGGCGTCCCTTGTCACCGTGGATCGAAAGCTTTTTTCGACGATTTCAACCTGCATCTCGCGTCGCGAGGGGCCTCTATTATTCGCGATCGAGACAATGGCGTCGCGACAGTGGCGATGTCTTCGCCGGTCGAAGAGAATTTATGCCCGTGTTGTTCGCCTCCGGAGTCCAACGATACCGCTATTTACGAGTCAGCCGGCCCCTCGGTTACAGAGGGGCTTTACGATACCGTTACCAGCGCAATTTATGTTTTCCTCGGGCCGGGAGTATCCCAAACCATCCGGAAGGCCGAGTTATCGGCGTAGGTCCAGGTTTTTGCGCCGCGAGTTCCGCTTTTTTATTTTTTTTTTTCCTCTCGACGAAATCCATATGGATACCGGCCTCGCATTTCCGCGGCGAGGGCCGGGTAAACGTTCGTTAGCCGCGCGTTTGCCAATTACCGGTCGCCAATTAACCGCGGTCGTCCGCTCCTTAAAACGGACCTGCCGGCCAAAGGACGCGGAATTGGGCGACGAGCGGGGACCGGCTCGGTCGCCCGTAACCCGAGATAACCGACACACGGTTATCGGTAGACGGTCGGGCCGCTGAAAAGGCGAGGAGCCGAGATAAGAGGCGGTCTCGGAAGGCACCGGCTCGCTAATATTGACCGAACGGACCTTCCACCCGGGCTGCGAGTTTGTCCATCGGTCGCATCCATCTTGACCCTCTTGACTTCGATGGGTTACTTTACCCCGACGCCCCGACTTCGAGACGCGAATCCACCTCCGGGTTCGAGAGATTTCTCCTCGATTCCGTGATATATCCGTCACGTGCCTCTGCCTATTAGACGAAACGCGACCCCCGGTTCCAGGGAACCGCTCGCGACGTCGCCGACGGAACGTCTATCTCGGCGAAGGGTCTCGTTCGAACCCGACGAGTCGAATGTTTCATCGAGTTAAATCATTTTTATCGTGCCTCGAATTTAGGACAAAAAAAAACTCTAGCTGGTATCCCTTCTATTTGGGATGGCATTCGAATCGCAGCATTTTTTCTATTTTTTTCGAATTCCAGGTGGAGTGAGGGTCGATTCGAAGCATTTTCGGCATTTTTTGCGAACTAGAGGAATTTCAGTTGGGGTGGCGGTTCATTCGCAGCAGTTTTACCATTTTTTCGTGTTCATATTGTAGTGGCGTCCCTCGCGACGAGGTTTGTCCGATCGGTGCCGCCACGTGTCGGGGCCGACCCTCCCAAATCGCCCTTAAATCAGAAACTACCGACAACGACTCGTTCGGTATGTTGCCCTCGCTCGAAACATGGCCTTTTGATCGGGCGAACCCTTCGAGTCGATCTCGGCCGAGCCGTGGGAAAACCCGAGCGCCAGATTCTACGTTCCCCCGGGAGTTCGCCTTCCTTCCAGGAGCGATTCTCGCGAACGCGTACTTCCGGAAGACCGCAACGTGCCTCGTTCGCACCTCATATTCCGAGTTACGAACCGAGGCGGACATTTCCGCGAGAGGAGGTTTCCACGTAGCGACCCAGTTTTTCGAGAAGAGCGATCGTCCCGGCCGAGGATTCATGGACCTCCCTCTTTTTCTCGAGCAGAAACGGACGAGGGAGTCGCGCGGTCGCCATTTCTTTTTTTCCCCCCGCCCGTCTCCGGCGTTATTAATTCATTTAACGCGAGTCGCGAATTCGGCCGACTTCCTGGCGACGTCGATTAATCGGCCGATCCATTTTACTCGGCCGTGGAGCCTCTACGCGATATAAAGTACGCGGAACTTGTATAATCGGTTAACGGCGGGGGTGCCGTCCCTCGGCGGAGTCGAGGAATCGCCGGCCATTATTTTCCACCCTTTCGGCACGAACGCGGAAGGGGTGAAACTCGTATCAGGACGATAACGAGTTTTCTCTCCTTTTCTGCAGGTCGAGGGATTTTCTTTTGGCTAATTAGAATCTGTTCCTTAGGTAACGACGGGGCGTAGATGGTGCTCGAGAGGAGGTCTAGCCAGAGGAAGAAGGATGACTCCTTCGGAGAAGACGTGAGGATCCTCGCCGGAAGCTCGACGGAATATTTCAGCGGCTTCGAGAGACTAACCGTTCCGTTCATCCAAAGGGGAAGGTAAGTCTTCCACCGTGAGAAAATTAAAATAATGCACCGAAGACCGAGACATTTCCTTCGAGCGATCCCGATGGAATATTTCGTTAATTCAATGAAACAATTATTCGACTCGGATAATCTCAAATAAATTATCATAGCCGTGAAGAAACGTTGCGCATATCAAATTCATTCTAGTTTATTCGAGTGGAGTAATTATTCTTGGAATTAACGAAATACTTCTTTGGTTAAATTAAATTATGTTCCTTTCGCGAGAGAATCGCGAGCATTTTCGGAGTAATTACATCCTCGACGTCGAGAGGTCGGTGTCGACCGATATCGAGTTTATCGAGTTTATCGAGTTCGGAATCGTCGTCTTCATCCGTAATTGTCTCCGAGAACAATTTTGGCCTCGAACATGGTCTTCGACTTGGCCCGTCTGATCGACTCCAGGACTTGCAACTTTTTTCAATTTTGCTCATTAAAAAGAGCCGTCGGTAATTTCGCGCGGCAGTTGCAGCCGCGGCGAAACGGCCTACGAAATACGCCGATTATCGAATTCTCCCAACTGACGTCGATTAGCCCTCGTAATCGGTTCCCCGGCAATCTGTCAACCGGATCCAGAAGCGCCTCGCTGCCGAAGTGACGAGAAGACGGGAGCGGGGCCGATCGATCCGCGGCGCGTTTCACGCCCCGGGACTTTTCCGGATCGCCGGACGTTGCTCCGCTAATTCGGCGAATTGTGCCGACATCCGGCGAATTTGCTCGTCTATTCTCGGAACGACGGCTCGGGATTCGCGCGTCGACGCGAACGCTCGCCGGAGGAGACCGGAGATCGATTCGGCTCGGGGAACTCGGGAATTTCGAAAAGCGAAATGCGAGATATCGCCGGGACAGGAAATTCGGATAAAAAAAACAGGCGCGGAGTTAGATCGAACTCGGGGTTAATCCCTGTCATAAATTCCGGGGAAAGTATTCCCGCCCCGACATACGTACATACATATCCCCGGTTTATCCGAAGCGTCGCCAATCCTCCGCGGGAACGACGCAAGACGGACGTCGGCGGTTCCGTCACCCACCCACGGATCGTCAGCGCGATTAACGTCGACCGCCGTCAGGACCCCCGCGAACCTCCGATTAAATCCACCAATTGGCGACAAACGACACGTGCCCTCGGCCATACGTGGCCCGGTAATTGCAGCGATGTCGCCGCGACTCGATGCAGAGGCGATACTCGCGCGCATAGTCAAGCATTCCGATAAAATGACAATGGGCCGCTTGTACTCGCACTCCGCATCGACGTACACCGCGGTTTACGAGGCCGTACAGAGGCGACCTAGGCGCTCCATTATGACGCAATTGTCGATATTACGCGGAGGCTGTAATTTCCTTGGGGCCCGCGAGAAGGAAATTCTGGGAAATTTCTGGAAATTCGGGTAAATCTCAGAATGGTCGCGGCCGAAGCGAGAAAACTCCCGCCTTTATCTCCGTTTGTCCTTCTTTGCCGCTCTTTGTCGGCCCTCTTCGGGGTTCGAGGGACGAGGATCGAGCGATGGGCGAGAAGAGTCCCTCTCGGGGGCTCGCCGGAAGTGCAATTCGCGGCACGCGACGTGCACTTCCGGATAAAAGCGAGCTCGCCGAGAGGTCGCTCGAGAGACTCGCACAGACCTCTTCCGAGCGGGGCTCGAGGGCCCTTTGGTAATCGCGCGAGAGCGCGAGCCTTTTGGCTCGGACGAGCGACTCCTCGATTTCCAGGGAGACTCTCCGGACTGTCCTCGATCCCGGGAGAAAGAGGAGCCGAGCGCTACCGGACGCCCGGGAAGAAAGAGGGAACGGTGAAGACGCAACGGCGACGCGGACACGTGGTCGCGCGATCCGAACCTCCGGGAACCTCCGGGAACCTGGAACGACGCGATGAAAAATTATTAGAAGGTTATCGGAAACCATTGTTCCATACGAGTGTTTACCTTAACCTTTTGACTCGGAAGAAAAAAAGGAAACGTGCCTATCGCAAGGCGCAACGGCCAGCGAGTGAAATTCGGTGTACATAACGCGTAGACACGTCGTACATTCGGCTTTGGGTAGAGGTTCGTGTTTACGGCGACAGAACTAATAGGCCTATTCGACCTGGCACGGCGCCAACCCGGAGTCGACACCTTCGGCCACTCGCCCTCTCGATTGCTCGAAACGTGCTCGAAGGTGCCCCTACCTCGCATTCGTCCTGGGACATTTTTCAAAGATCGTCCAGTTTCCCTCCACTATTTGCGCTCCCCTGAAATCGACTCCGATCCGTGCCCTACCCCCGAGAGGCTGGGAAAATTTCTCCCGGCACTCGTGGCGGCCCCAAAACGAAGACCGAGAGAGAACAGGAGACGGTCCCGCCGAGTTCCTTCGGGTTTTCCTTTCTTTTTCCTTTATTTCCTCCTTCCGGCCGCACTTTCTCTTCTCCGCGTTCCCTTTCCCGAGCTTGGCTCGCCTTGCGGCGACCTTTCGTTTCGGGAACGTGCGTCTCGTTAACTCCGAGGGGAAATTCGATTCCCGTTGAGCCGCGAGAGAGCTGAGCCGTGACCCAACTGCGGGACCGCGAGCCTTGACCTCCACGCAGTGTGGACATTTTCCCGGGATTATCGCGCTCGCGTTCCCCGCGCCCTCGGCGTCATCGATACCGTTCGATCGACTTCGGTTTCGACTTCCCTCGAGTGCCGGGGAATACGAATACCCCGGTCGGGACGAGCTTCAATCGACTTCCCGCTCCCGGACGAGCGCCTTTGAACGGCGACGAGGACCTCGTTGTTCGCGGTTAGAGCTCGAGTTACTCGCCTCGGGTCTGTATTCCAGTTCCTTCCACGATGTGCCCCGGTGGACGGGAACTCCTTCGAGTCCGAGGTCGTTTTCGGAGCTGTCCGCGAACCGGAGGGTGAGGCCTGAACGGAGGACAGAGGGACGAGGAGGAGTATCGATCACCGGCGACCTAGCGCGGCGCTGCAGCGCGCGGAGTCCCCGCGACTCTGCATGCGAATCGCGCGAGTCGTCCGAATCTCGGGACCGACTAGGCGAAAATATTATTCCTCCCCCGTTGGTCAACATTCGCGACCATTTCCCCCAAGGAGACTTCTCTTAAGGGTGGCGGGATAACCTTCGGCGAAAACGATTTAGTCCTTTGGCAACCAATTGCCTTTGATTTCGTATAACGAACAATAACGTGATTTGGTAACAAGAGACGTTCGACCTTAAAACCCGTGACAATGTTTCGGTGATTTTCAACGATTTTCCGGGATTTCTGCGACCTCCACCTGATTTATAGCGTTAAAATCCAGGATTTCCTGAGAGAATAACACCGATCGGTGGGTCGATTTTTCGGTAATAGTCTCTTTACGTGGATCGACAATTTAGAGGGACTATCCACACGAGGGTAAATCGTGGAAATTTTTAGTCCGTATCGTCAAATCGAGGCTTCTTTTAGCGATAACTCGTCGGTTATGTTTATACAGGTCGGATTGCACAGATTTCTCGCAGCGGATTACAGTCATGGGTGTAGCCACCTTTATCCGCGAATCGATTACCGCGCAAAAGCCGCGAACCACCGTCGCGGTTTCTCGCCCTTTCGTCGTTTAGTCAACGCGCGAGGACTTTTTCGATCGCCGACCATTTCGGTTTCCGCGGTTTACCGGAAATTCGGGGGGGTGGAGGAGAGGACCGCTGCGAAGCGAATCGCACATTTCCCTGTCAAGCTAATCGCACATTTCCCTGCCAAGCTTATCGCACGCTTTTCTGCCTTGGCAGAGTCCTTTCCTCGTAACTCTCTCCCGACGCAGGAGTAACGCGCGGTGCCCTAAGGACATTCGTTAAACCGCGCCGTTGGGCCCGAGTGTTGGGTTACCTCGGAAAGACGGCAGGAAAGGCGAGGCGAGAGATCGTACATCGTTCCTTCGAAGAGCCCACCCTTGAACGGCGAACGTGGAGCAACTTTGTCGCCCCTTGGCTCGGACTCTTCCTATAGAGCCGGATAAGTACTTGGCGCGGAACTCGGCCAGACTTTCCTCGCTCCCCCTCGTTTCTCTCTTTGTCAAAGTGCACTCCGGTTAATCGTTGATTCCTTTCCCCCTCCGAACCCTTCTCCGAGGACTGGACCTCTAAAAGAGTCGAAACTCGAAGGATATCAGCCTGGATATCGGAAAATCAGGGGGCGTTATTCCTGACTCCCCTTCGGTGGGCGACGCGGTCGGTTGTTTGCGCGTCTCTTTATTTTCTTCTCTTTTTCTTTTTTTTTCCTTTCCCTATCCCCGAGCTCGGCGAAGCCGGGAAAATTAAAACCTTCACTTTTGGGGGGATCGCGCCTCTCGACGAGAAAAAGTGACCGATGTGGACAATAAGGACTCAAAGGGAATTAGGTAAACCCGGAGCTTTGGGGCGATGCTTCGGCAGAGCTTTCGGGATGCATTTTGGGGGCCCCGAGATTCCGAGCTTGGATTCCGATGGACCCTTGGAGATTGGATTTAGGACTGGGAAAGGCGATTCCGAGTCTCTCGAGAATCGGGCCGACCTCGGAGGATCCACGTCCCGTGTGAAAATGACTCACCAATGAAGCCCCGGAGGGACCGAGGGTGCATTCGAAGCGAGACTCGCAGCCGTCAGCCGCAGCTCGCTGCTGCAAATCACCCGCGTTATGTCCGACCGAGAGCTAATTTCGTTTCGTTTCCCCCGTACTCCATTTCGTCTCTCCCAGGGCGGAAGCGAGGCCATAAGTTCCCCAAAACTGAGCACTGGCGCGCTTCCGCTCCCGGCTTGTCATCGCCGGAAACCGACGCGAGATCCGCCGCTGAGTTGGCTTTTCCTCAAAGGTCCTGAAATTCCGTTCGATTCCGTTCGAGACTCCGAATTCCCGCGAGCGGAGGGATGCGGTCCAAAATGCGAGGGGGGAAACGCCGAAGTGGATGGCTCGCCGGATATTGCCGATTAATGGGAATTAATAGCATCGAGTGCCGATTACCTGGAACGGTTCCATCGTCGGTGGAGATGCGGCGAGTCGAATATTTCAATTGGTTAAAATCGAGTCGGAAACGCGCTCGAGTCAATTTTCCAGTCATTTTTATATTAACTCGTGATATCAACCGTGAGTTAATTCTGCCCTCGAGTCGTTCTCCTCGCAACAGATTTGTGACTCGTCAAATATACACGTGACGCATTGCTCCTTGCTTTCCCAAGTCGTCGACGAAACTCGAGTTGGTTCTTCCTCTTTTTAAATTCTATTAACTCGAATTAATAAATATATTAATTAATTAATAAGAATATATTCGACTCTAGGCTCTCGCTTTTCTCAGGGCTAAGCGACCCCCGAGGTTAAGCACCGTCGAGCGTGGTCACCACTCGGAGAGGTAACCTGGAAAATTTTCTTTCCACCGTTCTTATCCCGGGGAAACTTATTCCGGGACGGAAAGCCGCGAACTCACGGCAGACTTAACCGACCCAGTTTGAGAATTTCCTAAACATCCGAGGTCCTGTCCAAGGACGCGAGCAAAGAACATCGCGAACACCCGGGACACCTCCCTCTCCGCCCGGGAAAAGTGAGACGAAATCGAGAGACCCTCCCTCGAAACTTTCCCCCAGGAAGGAGATTTCCTCTCCCCGTGGTGGCCATCGAGTCGCCCGAGTGGAAAAATCGGCCGAGGTCTTTCGCTCTCGGATTTCCACTTCGATCCCGGCGACGTCGATATCGGAGAACGCCATTTTTTTTTTGCCGCCCCGGTCTCCTATTCGGAAGCCAAGAATTTCCAGTTGCAACAATGCGAAATTCGACGCTCGACCTATCGGCGCTTTTCAAGGAGGGTGAATAATTCAATGAAGGCGAAATGCGTACCGGCCATTACCGGAAACCCGGTTATCGTGCATTCGTTTGGGCCGAAATCCACCCCGCTTAATAAGGTATCGATTTACGAGCGGCTGGTTTTTTTCCGCCCGTCAAAACTTCGAGGATTCGTTTTCCGGTGCGAATTGGATCCGTCAGTGGGCCAGAAAAATCCCCAGGATGAGGAAGAGGTCGACGAATACGAGTCCTGTTTTCCCTGTTCTCCCTGCTTTCGTCCTTCTCTCCGAGGACGCTTCACCCTCTCCCTCGCGTGACTTCGATCGTTTACGCGATTTCGTTTCATCTTGTTCCGCCTTATCGCGGTGTAAAAGGGAGGGCAAAGAGACGTTAGATATTTTTCCGCGATTTCGTTTCGTCTCGTCGCGGAGGGTCGGATTTTTCCGGCGGAAAAATCCACCGTCGTCCTGGAAGAGTGCCGACCTTCGGACGTTCTCTTCGGGGTGCATTGGCTACCGACTTTGGACCTGGCCTGCTTTTGCTCGTAACGAAGGTCCTCCTGACCCCTTGACGACGCCTACCCTCTAGGTACATGCTCTCTACACGTGGAAATGCCTACCTGGTTGCTTCGCATGCAGTCGGCGCTAATGGACGCGAAACCCCGGGAGACGGGGTCGCGGGAACACGGTTGTCCAGGTCGAGAGACACTTTGTTAATTGTGAGAGTTGGTCAGCGGGTTCTCGGGATGTCCGGAATCACCCTAAGGGACTTACCGGGATCGAGGGTCCAACGTTGACTAAGAGGGTAAAAAGTGGACGAAACGGGTCCGCGCGCTCTAACGAGAGGTCTACCCTTTTGCCGTTTCAGGAGGGCGATGGTGCACCTCCCATAACGTGGATATGGTAACGATGAGTTCCGAAAAGTCGGCGTGCCGGCGAAAGCCGGTGGAGGACAAGGACAAGGGAGGAGCCGAACAATCGGCCGGGAAAGGCCGGAGTGTCCTTTCCAACAGGAGGCAACATTCGGCCGAGCATCGCGCCACCCCCGCGGCCATCAACGCCTCGGCCTGCTCCAAAGACGTGCCCAATTACATCGTCTACAAGAAGGTACGAATTGAAAGTCAATTCCCATTTTTTAAATCGCCTCGCGCGTCGAGATTAATCCTGGCGATTCGATTCCACGGCTTTAAGGGAATTAATTCAAGTGGACGATGGAGACGTGGGGGATTCGACTACCTGGCTTAAAAATCGCTGAGATTTATAATTACGCGGGTAAACGGGTGTAGTTGCCTATTTCGAGGGATATCGAAGGGTTTCTCGAGAAATCGACTCTCGAGTTCAGCACCGAATACGTGGCCTAAGGACTTTCGAGTTGAGTCGCTCGTCCGATTTAACGGGAATAACGCTCCAGTTTCGGATACACTACCGTGGCTGGGGGCGATCGCGTTCCTGGCCGAACTTCCGACACTCGAAAGGAAGTTGCTCCCCTGTGAGCGAGTAATCGAGAGACACCTCGCTAACTCGAGATACCCGAATCCGCGGTGCGTCGGGTATTCCATTCCCGAGGTGCATTGACCCACGTGGACCCCAAGATAATGCCAACTCGGGGCTCGAGGGATTACCTCGAATCGTAAAATCGTCACCCCGGAAGCTGGATGGCCGATATTCCGTGAAAACCAGAAATACCCTCCGGAGGCTGTGTTTCAAAGATGTCAGAAAAAAAATTTCTTCAGGAAAGTGGAGCGATAATTCGTCGCTCCGCGTAAGTTACCGCAGCGAAATGGCCGCTTTCGTTCCAATCCGTCAGAGAGATTGCACCGTGGGGTGCAATTCGATATCTCGGAGTCGATTCCACCCGTCCCTAGTTTTAGCGCTTTTCCGCTGGCCCCGACGTCCCTTTCCTTTTTTTTCCCCTTTTTTTTTTCCTCCACCGTTTCCTTTTTTGGCCTCTCCCCGAGAAACGCTGCCGTAAAAGCGTCACTTATCCCCACTTTCGCACACTTTTGCCCCTTACTTAGGCACTCGGCATTATCAGCGTCCTTCTTCCCATCCGGACGAGATGACCTCCGCAAAAGTAGGAATGGCATCTCTCTTCTACGTCTTGGCATCGATATTTCACGTTCGGCCGATGTCTCGAGATCGATAACCGATCGATTTAACGTAACTTCCCTCGACCGTTCCCCGTGAAAGCCGTCATAAATTTGAAAACCCTTTTCGACGTTGCGCCGCTTTGCCATTTGCCGGTAACGCCTCGCTCGTCTAGATTCTCCCGACACTATTGCCTTTTATTTAGGCACTTGGCATTATCTACATGCCTTTTTTTTCGCCTGGGGGTGGAACAGAGAGACGAACGAGCGTTTAAACGGAAAGGCAGACAAATGGGAAGTACTCTCCCTTTCCATCGTCGCGCCGAACGTCGGGTACTCGCGCAATGCCACAAAAATCCTCGATGGCCCTCCGTTTATCGCAACCCTAGTTTTTAGGACGGTTAGAGAGACGCGAAATTCGCCGACAAGATATGTGTACACATAGGTGTATCTATATACACGAGGGAAACGAACGCGACTTGTCTATCTCCGGACGAGCTCCCCTTACAACCGGTGACTCGTTCGTTTAGTCGTCACCGCCTGGGGACGTCTAATTAAAAATCCAAGTACTTTCAAGGGTATCAATTAAACGTCCTCGCCTTAACGTTTCCATTCCCAAACGAACCGTCGCTCGAGGTAATTCCCCCGGGGTGGAAGTTCCGAAATTTAGCTCCCCCTAATTCGAGGACTCGACGGTAACGTCTTCTCTCGTTGCACCCCACTTGGAATTAATTTCCCAGATTTTCCATACGATATCGTAAGTTTCGAACGAGCCGAAGCGGGGATAATGAAGAATCTTGAAAATTAACGGTTGCTCGGTCTTTTTACCCGGCCTCCCTCTGCCGGCCTCGACGCTCGCTCGATTATTATCGCGCGTTATCGATTCCATCAGCTAATGGGCGTTTCGTCGTTTCAGACAAAGCGTCATTACGAGCCCTGGTAATTGCGTGTACGATGTCTCCTCACGTGCACCTCCTCGTTGCAATTAACCCCTCGGATGTAGGAATAACGAATTACGACAATCGGAGCTCGCCCGGTCGCTCGTTAAGTCCCGACGAAGGGGTTGATTTCCGTCCACCGCCGCCATCTTGGAATTGACACGAATCCGCGATGAAACGGAACGAAGCCGACTTATTTATATATAGACTCGGCTTTGCACCTGTTGATCAATCCTTTCTTAACTTGCTGGGGGAACTGGAGGTTTAATTCGATGCGAAAGAGCCGGGGAGAAAGTGCTTCGCCGCTTTTGAGGGTCCGACACGACCGACGTCGTTTACGTGAAGGTGCTTGTATAAGAACGTTCCTGAGTATCCGCATCGGTGGGACAAAGGACGCGATATCTGGGGCATTAGGTGCACCGAATCGCCCTGGTCGGGTTCGAAAGTATTTTCTGATAACCCCGGAAAGCTGTCCCCGAGCTCTCGATGATCGAAGGAGCGGAGTCGAGTAAATCGGAAGCCGGACGAAGTCTTTCTCCCTCTCTCTTTCTCTCTCTTCCGGCAAGCTGGGACGTTCGATTGTGCTCATAAAATGACTTTACCCGATAGGAAAAAACGACCTTCCATTGAAGAAGGTCTTGACCGAAGGGGAACCTCCCCGTCGTCTGACTGCTCGAGGCTCTTTCTCCTTCCTAGATGCGTCTCCGACTCCACGTCGCGTATACGCGAGTTCCTTCGCAAACATTGCCTGGATATATTTCGAGCACTCTGCAAACTGCATCGCTCCGGTGCGCAGGCAGCTAGCTGAGGAGAATTAATCGACTAATTAGCGTGTCTAGTTGGACATTGAATTAAGACGAGTTAGCTGGCGAGGAACTTCGTCGCGCGTTTAGGGAACGCGTTTTGGGACGGTGAGACGCTTTCTCGAATCGTTCCCACTTTCGGGGTAGTTTAACGCTAGTTTAGCGTTTGTTCGCCGTTGGATGCACGTTAGGTGAACGCACATCGGGCACGGTTCTTTCACAAGCGAAATTACCACCGTGAACGGAGTCAGTTTTCATTCGAAAACCAATCTACTCGGAGGCGTCAACGTTTTTCGATATTCTCTGACACGCGGGATCCCCGAGTAAACGAACCATCGGGGATAATTATCCAGAAATTTGCTCGACTGAGTGCAACGTATCTCCAGGGATGAACATTTGATGCGATTTGTTTGACAGGAATTCGATTCGGCCTCCCGGGCGGACAAACGCAATTCAAAATGGACCGACCGACGCGTTGAAACCGTCCGAGAGGGGAATACATCGGTATAGATTGTAGATTGAAAGACATTTATGGGCAATTTGATTCGATGAACTCGTTTGGCCCGAACCCGTCGAATCCTGGACTGCTCCCCTTATCTTGTCCGACCAGAAGAGGACCCCGCCACTGGCTGACCGCTCGAGCCTTTTTCCCCTTTTCCCTGTCGAATGCAGAACGTACATATCCTCGTTACTCGTAAATTCAGTGATCTCATCGAGCGAAGGGGTTGGTTACGGTGAAATTAATTCACTTTGACGTCAGCCCCACGGCGGTGCATCTCATCCACGGCGCGTTCTCGTTTCCGGCCTTCATGGCGAAACTAAGATCGATCGTGGCAGAACTTTCCTCGTGGTCAACCATTGTACCGAGAGCGTTTCAATCGACCAGCTAATTGGCATAGCGTCGACCACGCAGGCGCGGGACGTATATTTAAAAGTCTATATACTCCCGAAGATGCAGGTGCATTTCTTCGCGTCGAGGCGACGTCCGGGGAAACGATGGCTATTCCTCTTGGCTATTCCCGTTCCAGATGGAGTCGATAGTGCAGAGGATGCTCGACGAGTACACCGGGGTGCCCGTGAAGACTGTCAAGAGTTTCATGACGAAGATCCCCTCCGTCTTCACGGGTGAGCCGAAGAATTTCTTCGATTATTCAACGAGACGTCATTTTCAGATAATCATGATTCCTGTGTCTTATCCCGGCGTTCTTTAGGTACCGACTTGATATCCTGGATGACGAAGAACCTCAACATAGACGACCAAGGTATGCCCGAGACGCCTCGGAAAAGTCCCTCCTTCCGACTCCGGGAATTCCCCTGATTGAATTAAGTTGTAAAAGTTGGAGAAGAGGTGCGCGAAACTGCGGGGCCGGGGAGCATGGTAAAGAGTCAGCTGCGAGGGTCTTTAAAGAACGGTCCGCTAGATCTGCCCGCGAGGGGCTTTTTGCGAGGAATGACTTTCCTCCGACGAGAGAGAGGAAGGAGGAGAGAGCGCATAACGCCGCGAACGCGGATGCGTTTAGTTAGGTCCGACCATTTTTCACGCTCGGCTCCTCGCGGCCGTCCAAGTTGGTACTTTATGGCTCGACGGGGAGCGCCAAATGCGGCGAGAATCCAGGAAATCTCCTTTTCCAGAGGCACTTCACGTGGCGCACCTAATGTCGGCCCATGGGTACCTCTTCCCGATCGACGACCACTGCCTCACCGTTAAGAACGACGGCACCTTTTACCGATTCCAGACCCAGTACTTCTGGCCGTCGAACTGCTGGGAACCTGAGAACACGGACTACGGTGAGTTTTAATTATACGACGGATTATTCAATTTTAAAAGCGGTGCCGAGTCGAGTTTGGACCCCGATTGACGGCGCGAAGAAAGAACTAGTCTTGGTTGGCGAGTAAGACTCGAGTAAACGAATTAATTCTAACGTAGACTAATTAAGGATAAATCGAGTTCTTTAAAGCTTCCATATTCACATTTTCAAGTTTCATACGCGAGACTTTCACATCACCTTAACGAGTACTCAATATCGACTCGTCGCTTCTCTGGGGTATCGCGAGTCCGGGAGGTCCTGATAAAAAAAAATTGATCTCGAGTTCGGTAAGCGAGTTCGGTAATCGGAACGGAGCAACAGGTGCACCGGAGTCGAGTGCCTCCACTCTCCCTCGTCGAGGCACTCGGGGACTCGCTCGGACGCAAATTCGATTCTCGCCAACGTGAAATCGGGCCCGCGATTTATCGGAATCACGCGAGATATTCCGTGGAGTTTGCGTGACCGCGAGGATGGATCGACTCGAGGTCTCTTCCCGATTAACGGTCGCTCGCGTTGGATCGATCGATTCGATTCCACGCGAATCGAGTCGCCTCGGTTACCGATTCCATCAGGGGCGTACCGCCGCCCGGAGAATCCGCAACGAGTCGATATCGGACCGCCTCGAAATAATCGTCCCCTCGAATTTTCTATAACGTGGCCGCGGAGAGCGCCGAACGATTTTAATTGGCCGGAATAAAAGGAGAGCCCACCGCGGTCGATTTAATCTATCCGATCCCCCAGCCGTCTATCTCTGCAAGAGGACCATGCAGAACAAGACCCGTCTGGAGCTGGCGGACTACGAGGCCGAAAACCTGGCGAAGCTGCAGAAGATCTTCTCCCGGAAATGGGAGTTCATCTTCATGCAGGCCGAGGCCCAGAGCAAGGTCGACAAGAAGAGGGATAAGCTGGAGCGCAAAGTCCTGGACAGCCAGGAGAGGGCTTTCTGGGACGTGCATCGACCGATGGTGAGTGCAGTCGCAGGAAATGCCCCCGATCGAAGGAAAGAAAAAAATAAATAAAAAGTACTCCCGATCACTTGGAAAGGGGACGTCGGATGCGAACGGCCTTGCGGAGGATGGCGGAATGGACCCCTCGGGTCCGGGTGCCGAGAATACTCGGGACGCTGCGCGAAATTTCAAGACACTCGAATAATTCAAGGACTTCCTTGGACAGGGTCGGGCCGAGATCGATACCGCGCCCGAAGTTGGGTCACTCGAGTATTCTTGGTCACTCCGGGGAACTCGAGTTACGGGCGATAACGAGATTCCCAGTTATTTTGGAGGACGGAGGACGAGGGACCCAATGTCTAAGGGTAACCCGTGAATTAGGGGAACCCACTCGTCGCATTGAAAATTCAGCTCTGCCCTAGTCGTAACTATTCTCGCAAACCCTCGGGCTTCCTTTCGTCCACGTGTTCGAGGTCTAGCCGGGAGGGACGCCACGGAGTGATTTTTGTAACGATGGAACGGAACCTAGGTATCAGGGGGGAGCTCGAGCACCCCTTCGGTGGGCCGGGGCAGGGGTAGACGCGAAGTAAGCGGAGGGTCCCTGCTTTCAGCCCGGGTGCGTGAACACCACGGAGCTCGACATCAAGAAGGCTTGTCGAAGCCAAAAGCCCGTCCCGAAGGCGAGCAAGCACTTGCAACTCGGCGTCGCCGGAGGGAGAATCTCGCCCCCGTTGCTGGACGGCGACGGCGCTCTTCCGATCGAGTCCCTGAAGAAGGAGATCGAGATCTTGAAGCAGAGACTCGGCAGGAGGAACATCAAGGTCTCGAAAGTCGCGGAGGCGTAAGTAAGACGTCGGATGTGCCCATAATGGAGGCGACGAAGAGGCGTCTACCTGGAATATTGAAATATTTTTTTTTTCAGACTAATCGGCTACTACGAGCAGTACAACGAGTACGACCCGTTCTTCACGCAACCCGAGTCTACGAACCCATGGATATCGGATTGCACGGACATGTGGGAGCAGGAGAGACAAGGGTAATTTCTAGCTTTTCGTTAATCCCGAACTCGGGTTTCTTAAAGACGTTCCTCGACCGACCTTCTTCTCTCGAACAGGAAGGAGATATCCGCGAGGAGGGTGAAGAGGTGGGCTTTCGGTCTTCAGGAACTCCTGCAGGACCCCATCGGCAGGGAGCAGTTCGTTCGTTTCCTGGACAAGGAGTTCAGCGGTGAAAATCTCAGGTACGTTCGCGTTATGTCGAGACGAGTGCTCGAGATCGTTGAATTAACCTAACGTGTCGTTTGTATCGGTGCGCGGACAGGTTTTGGGACGCCGTCCAGGAGCTGAAGACGTTACCGCAATCCTGCGTGAAGGAGAAGGTCGAGGAAATTTGGAACGAGTATCTGGGACCCGATGCGAGCTGCCCCATCAACGTCGACTCCCGGTCCTACGAGGCGACGAAGAAGAACATGGAGAAGCCCGATCGATGGTGCTTCGACGTTGCCGCCGTGAGTTCGTGGTCCTTGATGTAACCACGGGTACACCTAGAGTGCCGAAAATAATTTAGCAAATGGCGCTTCCGCTCCAGGCAATGAACGAACTGCCATTTTACCGACTCGTGCACGTCGCTCTTGAAATAGGCGAGTCAAAAAACGCGGCGGCCATTAACGACCTCTCGTTTCCAGGCCCACGTCTATCACTTGATGAAGAGCGACAGCTATTCCCGTTACCTCCGGTCCGAGATGTACAAGGACTTCCTGAACGGCTCGAAAAAAAAAGTGGGTGTCTTTTTGGATGCTCGTGATAGCGGACTTCGGGTTCTCGACGAGAGGTCCATCGTGATCTGATTTCTTTCCTGGGATTGCAGACCTCCGTCAAGGGGATTCGTTCGATCGTGTCCTTCGCTGGGCGCAGAGACACGGCGGGATCTTAACCGGCTGAAGGCTTCGTCCTGTATTTTTTCCTTCCCGAAGAGGACGGCAAAGTTCTTCGACTGATCCCACCGCTGTCGTGGTCCACGCAAGAGCCTCGACCAGACGCGTCGACGGAGAACGGTAACGTTTGACGTCTACTTTGCGACAAAGGGCGGCCTTGGAGGCGACTCGAGGCAGAAGATCCTGCGGTCTGGTTGGCGGGAGGAAATGAACCCGACTTCTTTATTTCCAGGTCGAGCTTCGCCCGCGGCTTTCCAGGCGGCAAATAACGAGGTTCCGGTAGCGACGATCGACGAAACGCGGGAATACGCGCGCCAATTTCACGGGAAATTCACATGCATATGGTAGCCGATAAAAGTGACAGCACGGGGGTTTGACGGACAGCCGACACATCGATCTCGCCGATGACTTCTATTTTAGGGTGCACGATGCGAAACTCGAGAATCGAGCGAACCAAGTTCTCGGAGCTGCCGGAGAAGATGAAACGCCCAGGACGATAAGAAGAGGGATATGTAGAATTAGGCGCTGATAAGGAACGGTTTCGAAACTTCGCGCCGAACGATCGGTCGACCAACTCAAAGGACGTGCTCATTTAACGTATATACTTGTACATTGTAAGAAGACGATGAATTTCCTGCGGTAGCTGTTAAAGGATCTACGTAAGCGCGAGTCGACCGGACGGAGAAGCACGTCGGTGCGAAAAGCGATTGATCCTTGGTGCTATATGAGGAATAAGAAGAGAGAACGGGAGAAGAGGGAGGAGTCCTCATCGTCTTCTGTAAAAAAAAAAAAAGCTCCCCATCGAGGAAGAAGTCGCCGGTCTCGGCAGACTTGGTAGGCACTCAATTGTGCTGCTCGCGAGCGGCTCCTGGACTGGCCATCCGAGCAGCACTTGTACATGGCGATCGAGAACGTCGGCGGAAAGCTGACTGATAATTTGGCACGCGAGAATTTGTGATAGGCGGCAGGAATTGGCGACATTGCGAGGCCGAGTCTCTTCGAGCAGGCCGTTGTTGATGGATTTGCATTCGCGTACTCCCGGTTGCGGGACTTGCGACCGGGATTTGTTTATACGTAGCGGTTATGGGTTTAGAGTTTAAATTAAACGTTTCCGGGAACGTAGGCGGCAGCGGGCCGTCGACACCGATGGACCCGAGGAATTGCGAATTCGGTGACGACGATCCGAGCTAGCCGATCACTTGGCGGGTAAGAATTTGTGATAGGCGGCGAGAAATGGCGACATCGCGAAGTCCTCCACCTCGCCGTCAAAGGTGTTCCGTTTTGGGTTTGACGATCGTTGACGGGTAAGGGATAAAGTCGCAATACCGCGTTCGAGCTTGTCGATATGTAGCGTTTAAGGGTTCTTAGGGTCTAGGACGTGATATCGAAGGAGTTCCCCTAGCGAGGGAGAAAACATCCTCGGGGATCCGCGGACCGCGAAACACCGTAGCTTTTTTATCACGTAAAACTCGGACTCTCCGGATAAGATTACTCGGTCTAATAACGCTGGACAAATGAGCCTGGTGCCCAGGCTCCCTTTGATACAGGATGTTTGCTCTCGATTCGCAGGTTATCCCACGCATATGCCCGCCCAGGATGAGCGCACATTCGAAAAGGCGAAATTGGAAGGAAATCGGATCACCCGATGTAATTAAGCACACGTGTACCCAGAGTCGAGGGCAAGGGAAACGAGAAAACGCGTGCGAGCGGCTTGGACAAAACGATAAAGAGCCGGAATAATTGGGCGGAATTAATTAGAAACGCTCGGACCACGCGAAACCGACGTCACCGAAAGAATCCCCGAGCTGATATTCATTGTGAACAAGATAGAACAAAAATGAAAAAAAAAAGAAGAAAGGATGACGATACCGAGATACACCGTCGATACGAACCACGTTCGCTCGATCCTCGAGTACCGCTCGAGAAGTGTTTAATTATTAGACAGACAGTAGACGTGTACTGTACATAGCGTAGGACTTGTGTATATTGTTTATATCGTAGCTATGTATAAGCGTATAAATATGTACACGCGTACACGTGGACGTGCAAGATCGCGACGAAACTCGGATGCACCTGTCGCGGATGCTGGGATTTTAATCGACGACAAAGAAAGAGGAATTGTTCCTTTTTTCGAGGAGTATGCTAGGGTGCACTTCGAGGGGAGTAAATTCACTTTGCTCGGAAATTCAACATTTCCACGATCGGCTGGAATTCGAATCGCGTACACCTGACTTATTCCTTTAATCGGTCCCAACAACTAAAGGTGAAAGACGTGGAACGCGAAACTCCCAAAATGGCCTCCCTTTTCCCCTAGAAAACTGCCTTGGCACGTACAGGGCGGATGAAGCAGGCCGACTGCAATGAAGCAATCCGTATAATAACAGAAAATTGCCGAAGAAACGCGAAAAAAGAGACGAAAACGGACGATCTCGACCGAGCTTGAAGTATTTCGCGCCATTTCGCGGGGCCGACAACAGTTGCATCGCGATCCAGGGAACTTGCCGTGCATATGTAGCGTTCTGGAATTGATCGTGCTATCACACATTACGGGTCGACGATGATTTTATATGCCGCTGTATTTAAGGGTACAGACCTCTCTCCGGAACGCTCGGAAGAGGCACCGGGCTGCGAACTTTCCGTTTAAGGAATTCCGACTCGTACTTTAACGCTAAGCGTAGGTTTAAACATTCTTCTCGACTCTAGCAAGTACACGGGTATCTCATAATGACAATGATAATAATAACGTTAATAATAAAGTAACCGTAACTGACAAAAGGTGGATGAAAAGTGGATCTCTCACGAGACACGCGCGCAAGTGCCAATCGGTCGGCGCTCTCTTTCTATATCTCCGTTGAAATGAATTTTTTAAGTCTACTTGTAATTCTCCGATTTCGTCCAGTTTGTCAAGCCGTTCCGCCCCTCTATTTTCCGACCGCATGTTCGTCTCTTTACGTTCCACAAATCGACTTCCAACAATGGCGTCGCCGGGGTATTCGTTTCCCAGGATCTGAAAGAAGGTGGCCGCGATTAAGGGCACGCTAGAAATGGTGTTAGAAATAAGTATTTGAATATCGGAACGGTCTACACAGTGAGCTAACGTGAAAAGTGTCTACATTGACTGATACAAAATGCATGGTCGTAGATCCGGCTCGGTGGGGCGCCGACAGCGGAAACCGCCAAGCATTTCGAGAATTATTCGACCGGCGGTTTTTGGCAAATTTTCGATCCGCTCGTCGCGCCATGGTTTTTAGATACGCCCTTAAGGTGTCTCGAATTTTCGTCATTATTCACGAGGACTTAATCGTAGCGCTCGTGAAGGAAACTGACGACGCGGTTCCTTACTTTGCGAGCTGAGTCCCTCAGCCTTTCGCAGTGATCGTGGAATAAAGACCGCGGAATACTGATATACTAGAAGGTAATCACTTCGTGTACTAATATGATATAGTCGGCCTAAGCTTAATACTAATTAATTAAATAAAGGACTACAGGCGTCTGGTCAAATTTGAAAATGACGAACGCCGCCACGGCGACTCGACTGGTCTCTTCTGGTCCCTTTTTAAAGAACCTGCATCTCTATTGGTCGGTAGTCGGATTTACTGTCAAGGGTTAAAAAATATGAAGATTAGTGACCGTAGGGTCGCACGTTTTCGGAAAAGTGTGCTCGTTGAATTTAAGGGAAGAAGCCGATTCTCGGCCTCGGCATGTCGTGAGACGAAGAAGCGGAACCTGATTGCGTATCCAAATTTTTAGGAAGGAAGACGTCTCGACCAGCGTCCAGCATTACGCGACCTAACTTCTAAAGGCCGTCGTGAACACCGAACGAACTCCAAGGGTGAGTTAAAAAATATACACATAAATCTCTAACGATACGTCCTTAACTTGCTAATAATCTTATCGACGTCTGGCTTTCGTCGTCTAAAACTCCTCGGGGAGACCTCTAAGGCTACCTTATCACTGTAAAACGTACATTAATGCTGCTCTAATCAACACGCGAAGTTCCATGGTCGATTTGGACGATCGCTGATCGAAGCCAGGCTTCTCCGCGAGGGGAAGAACTCGCGCGCCTCGAATCTACTGTACAACGGAGTTAAGAATACCGTTTCGGGACAATTCCTCGTTACTATGAGCAGGTGAAGACGGGATCTTAAATGTTATACACACGTTTATGACTAGACATAAGTACGGGGAGGCGAGCCTGGGTGCGGCCGGTGGACGAAGCCGGAAGGGAATTTTCCTTTCTCCTTTCCCGCTTCTCCGAGGGCGGCGCTTCGATCGGGTCAATCCCAAGGGAGCAGCATTAATGCAGAATCGAGTCGTATAAAAGTTGCAGTCTCGCTTACAAAATAAGTAACTAAAGAGTCGTCCTGCGGTCGCTTTGTACGGGAGTATTGCGTCGCCGTTGTCGCTTGCGATGACCAGCGCGCGTCGCATCACCAACGGGACGATATTATTTTAATGCCTGAAGATGTCTACACACTATGCGTGAAGCGAATTGTACGAGTGGGCGATTAGTTAAAACGTGTGCGTCCACATCAGGGTGTCACGCGTCACATTTTGAAAAGAGGGTACAGACGACGCGCTCAAATTTGGGGCATCCACCTCGGGCGGTCCGCCATCTTGGAAGCTCGACGCACTCGAAGATCTTTCACTCCTAAGCAGAGACGCGTCGGAAATTTATGAACCACGCATAGGGTGTAAGCACCATGAGAACCTCCTTCCATCGCAGGAATAGTAACCGGGAGCGAGGCTGGACCCAAACGAGCCAGGATATATCATCCGAGATGGACGGTGCATCTTGAAGAAAGAGGTAAGAAACACCTGCGCCATCTTCGAAACGCGCGTCGCGAACACCCAGCCTATATCCTGATTCGTTCGACCAGTTCCAGGACGTCGAAAATTCCGAGCGAATCGGGCTCGCCAGAAGTCCCAAAACCTGGAGACGAGACGATGCCGAGGAGGACGACTCCGCGGGCGAAGTCGATCGGGCCCAGTCAGCTGAAGACGGCCCCAGGACTCCGCGAGACGAACTGTAGGCATCGTCGAGACCCCGAAATCCGCCATCGCGGGTACCGAAACAAAATCCACGGCACCGAATGCCGTCGATGAGGCTCGAGCTCCGGTCATCGTTATCCGGCCTCGACGTCCTTCTTTCCGTTCCTCTTGATGATGGGCAACGCGGCCCAGAGGGCAGTTCCCAGGATCAGAATGATGCCGAAGGCTAGGAAGATGGGTTTGTATGAGCCTACGTGCTCGTAGATGGTACCGCAAACCGGCGGTCCCACGAGCTGGAGGACTCCATTGACGAAGAGAGATATCCCGTAGGAGGAGCTCAGCTTCTCCGGGCCCAGCATGTCCGCCAGGATGACGGTGGTGATGCCGATGTAGATGCCGGAGGAGAGCCCGAATAGGGCGCAGAAGAAGGACAGCATGGAGTAGCTGTTCGCCATAGGTAGAAGGGCCAGGGCTATGCCGCTGGTCCCCAGACCCCCCACGAAGTAGTAATACTTTGGTATAAAGTCGATGTCCGACAGGGAGGCGCCGCCGATTCTGCCTATGAGGTCCAGGGCCGACACTATCGACAACAGCAGCGCCGCCATGTTCTTGTCGAAGCCCTGAGAGATGGCATAGGACGGTAGGAGGATCATGAAGTTGGTGTTGCTGATCGCCGAGGTGGAGTTCGAGATCATGATCACCAGGTAGATCGGGTCGCGCAGGACCCCGAAGTCGAAGAACTTGTTGGAAGAGCTAGATCCGCTGCTCTGCGACTTGTCGCTCTTGCTCCCGGTGCAGGACGTCACCGACTTGGTGTCCTTCTCGGACCCGCTCTTCCTGGGCGACTGAGTCTTGAAGAGCCTTCGGAACATGCCCGGCACGTTCAGGCGAGGACTCAGCGCGATGGGGCCCATCTCGGAGACGATGCTGTGCTGACGGGACAGGTGGAAGCTCTCGTGCTTTACCGGACGCTGGACGGAGTTGTTCCTGCTCAGAAGTGAAGGACCGACCACTATCTTGGGGAGCGAGTCGACCCGTTCGCTCTCTACCGAAGGAGTCGTTCCGGAATCAACCTCGGATTCGAGAGTAGTCTCCAATTTGTCCTGGTCCACCTCGCTCTCCAGATTCCGATGGTTCTCGGTCGAGACTTCCTCGGACGACTCTGCCGGTCGCGCCTTCTCATTCAGGATGTCACAGGACGTCTTCTCCAGGATCTGAGAGAGACTCGACAGCTGAGCGGCCGTCTCCTCCCGAGGATGCGCGTCCTGTAGACTCCGGTTTGGCTTCGACAGATCCAACTCCAGCTTGTTCGAGGCTGGCTCGTCCAGAGTCAAGGCCTCGTTGTCGATGCCCTCTTCCGCGGCAATCGGCACGACCTTTGTGTAATTAAATGAACGAATTTTTATTCGATCCCAGTAGGTATCGATATTTTTTTTTTTTTATGAAAGTAATAAGTGAAAATATCGATACCATGGCGATGCACCCCTACCTTCATGTGCTGTTCCACCGGGTGGTACAGCAAGGCGCACACCAGGGTGTTTAACGTGATCGCTCCCATGATCAGCACGGCTCCTCTGAAAACACCGGTATTAGTTCACGGGAAGGCCCTGTACATGTTGCATGGAAAATCGCTACCAAATTGTCTCGTTAAAATGACTTAAAATGGCTTAAAATTACCGATATCCAAAATGGTTGAGGAGGTACTGCAGGAAGGGCGGTAGCACTATCGTCCCGATTGCGCTGCCTGAGATGCACAATCCGTTGGCAAACCCTCGCAGTCTCTCGAAATACGCCGTCACGATGTAAACCGTAGGTGGAAACGTCAAGCCGGCTCCAATACCAACCATAAGTCCATAACTGCACAACCAGGGAGTTGATAATTACTACAAGGTTAACCGCTCTTGGTACATCCAATTACATTTTCCCGAAAACGTGGCAAGGACAGCCAGTGCAATTTTCGCGGCAATTATCCTATCGGTGCATTTATACCGATGATGTCGGCAATACCTGACGGAACATTAACGGACGGGGTGATAAACACTGGACATCATACAATATACACGTAAATGCAATAAAGTGTACGAATGTAGTATAGACTTCATAGAGCAGCTTTGCGGATTATCCTGACATTATGGAGTCGATCTTGCGATCTTTGGGCATTGCGGATTAAGCCGTGGTTACTCGCCGCACAAGAGCGGTCGTCAATCTTACCTAACTCGACTCGAGTTAATCTAATCTAATGCACAGGATGCACGGACTCTTCTTCCGATGTCCAGGGTCTTACCTAACGTAAAGATAGGAAACCGAGTCGGCGAAGTAACTCAGCATCATCCCGCTGGCGGCAAAAGTGCCGCCGATGAGAGTGACTGTCTTGTAGGAGAACTTCATGGACAAGACGCTCGACAATGGTCCTAGAAATAGAAAAAAAGAGGTCCAGTTAAGTGGAGACAGGAATTTCGATCAGGGAATAAAGCGGTATCTCTTATCGCGCACCTAGAGAACTGTAGAGGAAGTAGCAGAGAGCCGGCATCCAGGAGGCCGCCGTTGGCGACGCCTTGAAGACCTGGAGAAACTCGACGAAGAGCACCCCGAAGGACTTGACCGTTCCCGGGATGAGAAAGTTGACCAGCAGGGCTGACACGAGCACCACCCATCCCCATCCACCATCGGGAGGAACCAGCTTCGTCTTCGCCGTCTTCACCGGCTTCATCGTCTTCATCGTCATCGTCGGCTATTCGGAGAGATCCTTGCGGGAGCGACGAGTCGACGTCAACCTGCGAATCGCGTGTCGCGACAACTTATATATTATCGGCGGCAATAAGGAACTCAGGGGCGATTGGGTAAAGAGGAAAATGGCCCGGACACCGGCAAGGATAGCAAACACCGACGACGGAGTACCGGCGAATCAATGGCCGACCGTCTAATCGAGTTACGCTGCCGAGACGGATAAAAATGCGGAGGCAATAAGACAAAAGAAATCGCGCACGGCAATCGGGCCTAAGTGGTGAAACGATCCAATCGATTGGTTCTGGATCGCAGCCGCCGCTGCTGGTGTTCTTCCACCCTGGTATGAATGATGAGCTTGTACGTTCCGTGTCAAATTGGGTCAAATCGAGCCGAGCGACAAACAAAAGCTGCCTTACTCGTCCCATCGCCGAGCCAAAAGGTCGCCTCCAAAACGTTTCCACTGGTCGGCACGTGGTTGCGGAAACGTTTAGCGACCGGAGATCGCAGAAGATCGTCGCGTCCCGATCGCGATTTGAATAGATTAGCTATTAAGGATGCACGAAGACGCAATTAACGTCGGACAGTGCGCCACCGCGTCGCCGGTTACGCCGAGAGACACGGTTGCGTTTCGCGCCAAATGCCCGCAAGGGACGCGATAAATAATAAATTCCTCGGAGCGGTCTCGGAGACGAAGTCGAAAAGCTCCGCCGAATGCGGACACTTTTTTTTTTTTCCTTTCAACGATTCCTAGGTATTACGCAACCGTTAACGCATAAAACGCTAACGACACCAATTACGGCGATGCACGAGATCCGGCGATTCTTTACGGGGACGCGGAAGTCTCGTCTTCCTGCAAGTTTATCGCGAATCAGGCGATTGGATCTCTACCTTTAACATTTGCTATTAACATCCCTAGACCCACGTGCATCCGCATGCCGGTGACGCGTCTACTTGGCGACGCGCGTTGGCACTTTGCCTTGCGGCCATTTTTCCGAACGTTGGGGGGGGGAGGGGGAGGGTCGAAATTCAAGAGCATCCAAGTGAAAAGAAAATTAGGAAGAAAGGAGCAAGAGAGACGCGTCATTCGGATACGCGATTCGCGTTTAAAAGCGTGCCCGTGACCTTATCGTAAACCAGGCCTTGGGTGGTCGGCATGCGTGACGTATAGAGACTCGGTCTCTTGGCGGCGCCTCCGAGTTCGCGAACTCGCGATCGTTCGTTCGGACGAATCGATCGAGGCCACCAGGATTCTCGTGCCGGCCGTTTACCTCGGCGGAAGAACGCTTTTTGCGCGGCGGAAATTTTGCGCCGATCGACCAGGTGAGCCGATCGTTCCAACGGCTAGAAATACCCGGCGAGTAAACGGCGCCATAAATTTAGAAACTCGCGACCCGATAAGAGGTCCTGTTGAACGAACGATCTATCTTTATAGAGAGCCGGTGAGATTTGTAAACGCGGCGCCCAGGTGTAGATAGCCGCTTCGTTGGGCTTTCCATTGTTGACTCGCGGTTCGCTTCAATTTCAGACGCTAACTTTCGGAAATCCAGCGACTCGACGACGTCGCTCATCTTCCCCGGTAGCGGATTATTTATCGATACCGTGGAAATTAACTCGGGGGTTAAGTTTCGCACGAACGGCCGCGATAAATCATCGCTCGCGCGTGAACGAAGCCGGCGTAGTAGGGAGCGTGTTTACCGACGGGCCGACGAAACTCTTCGTTGCGGAAGAGACGCACTCCGGTAAACATGTCATTATGAAACGTGGCAGGCTCGGAGGCACGCGCGAGATGCGTAAAGTCGAGAGAGGGTCTCATTTGCTGTCGCAGTCTCGCGAAGCGGGATTTTCGGTCGTGCCTTCCAAATGGAGGAACTCCGAGCTGCTCATTAATTCTCGCACCGTGACTCCTCTTTGCCGAGACGACATCGACGGCGCGTATCGATACCCTTTGGCCGTTCGACGCGGATTTAGGACCTTGCATCGATACAATTTTAATCACTTCTCGATTATCATTTTTCGAACGATTAACAAGGACAAGGTTTCGCCAAATCGGTTATATTTATTCCAGAGTCGTCGTGAAGAGAACCCATCGGAAAAGTCCTGAAAGTCGGCAATTAAGTGCCTCATTGTTTTCCGAGGCTGAACGAACGATAGCATCCCTCTTCCACAGAAATTCATGATTTTTAAGGTAATATGACAGTGTCATATATATACACATACACCAAAAGTGAAAATATTTATGAAACTGTTCTCTAAATTGGGTGCACCGAATCACTTGAAACTTCATCGGGAGATTATGGAGGCCCTCTTTGAGACGTTTTCTTTCGAAAAATGAAATTTCACGAGCTTCGCGTTCTTCCTTAGGGCCTCCGTAACCTCATGTTAAAGTTTCAGATAATTCGGTGCACCCAGTTTGGAGTAAAGATTTATTAATATTTTCACGGTTTGATACATATAGAACGACCCTTTCGTATCACCTTAAACGATACACGTTGTAACGACGTCTTGATTATTTTTTTTTTTTCTTCGGATAGGCAGGGAGGACAAATTATTTTGTCGAGGTTTCACCAAATCGGGACCGTTTAATTTCGGAATTTTCGGTAATGGCGCCACGAAGAGAGTCCACGTGTCCGTGCAAAGAGGCCTCGAAGCGACAGAGAGCCTCGAAAAGGTCGACCATCGGCGTCGCTTTTGATAAACATCCAACTAGTGCGCAACTTCCAATTTGGTGTCGTCATTAGTGCGTACGTCGACGGGAAATGGTGCCGCAGCTGCGAGAGGCGACCTTACGAGTCGCCTCCGAAGCCGGGTGGAAAGGTCCACGAAAGTCGGGTAAAACGACAATCTGGCAAAGACCCGAGACGTTTCCTTCGCCAATTGGCACCGAGTCCCCTCGCATTAGCAGAGCAACGATCGAAGAGGAGGACCTCGGAGAGGATTCTTCCTCTCGAGTCGTGGACGTCGAACCTCAACGAGCTCCCTCGATTGGGAGCTCGAAAAGGCCAAAGCGCAAATGCACGTCGCTCGATGAGTGGAAAATCTTTGAGTGATTCACCCTCGAGGACCCACGGTGCCGAATTAATGGATCCGCGCGATTCGCGTCATTGGAAACGACCAACGACGCTCTCGATCGACGTTGGGATAGGTCGAAACCGAGACGACGCTAAACGGCCGCTCGAAAACCCTCGAGCCCTTGAAGAAATATCGACCCCGAGGTATTCCCGGATTAAACACAATGCACGGTTTGCGTTAAAATCCTAAACGAGAACCTGAGCGATCGGCTGCTTACCAAAAACGATGTTTCTCGTCGGAGTGTCTTGATCTTCTTCGAGGGAGGTCAACCGCGAGGAGAGCATTTTCTCGGGGTCTCCAACGAGACGATTTAACGTTTCAACGGTTCCATAACTAACGTCGTCCCGACCGGTTACGTTAAATTAATCTCAGATCAACGCTAATTCGGGGTGAGGCGCGACATATCGATAATCTTCGGCCGATCCATGTCGATCGATCGCAGGACACTCCGAGGCCGAAAACTATGGCACTAATCCGTATTCGCGCAAGCGTCGGTCTACTGCCGAACTTGAGCGTCGTGCTTATTTATATCTTCACGGTCGAGTTTGCGGAGGAAAAAAAAAACCGTCCAAGCTTTTCGAATCTCGCGGGTAATCCTCGTTTATACGTGAACGACTAGGAGCGATCGCGTCGGGTATAATTCGTTTTCCTCCGACGAGTCGTCCAGTCGATATTTTTTTCTTATCGTTAATTAGAAGCAAGGGAAGTGCTCCGCCTATTTTCTCAATTTCGATGTCCCTCCTCCGTGTGCGGTTATTACCGGCATAAATTATTCGGGGAGAGGGTGCCGAATGCATGTGTACTCCGTGGAATGACGCCGAGTCAGATTTAATCCGCGTTAAGCGCACTTAGGCCTAAGACTATAGACATTTATCGCGCCAGGGTTCGCTTTGTAGACTTGACACGGTTTTCTGGGGCATTTGCGATTTCACCGGCTCTCGATGTATGCAAATTGACTAGGTCTTCGCTAATCAAAGGACTTTTTTATCCTCGCCTCCGTGGAATTTCCCGAATTTTGGACACAGAGATTGCCTAGAGATCGTGGGAGTGGCGCGAATGCGTTAGTGCATGGAAAAGTTCCGACATCTTTTTTATTGGGTCTCGTTAGGGGAAATAAAACGTCGCGAGAGAGCTTCGCGTGAACGATTAAGATCAACGACGACCGGCGAGCAAGGCGACCGATTAATGGCCCCACGCCATGAACGAAGACGATCAGAGGTCTTCTTCGGGATCGAGCCCCTCATTAAATATAATTAAAGACATACGGAGTCGTTTGTTGAACGTTCTCTGGTAAACTTCCGCGGTCCCAAATGTATCAGAACTAATTCGAACATTGACGACCACAAGAAAGTCTGGGCGCAATATCAGCTGATCGCTAAAAAACCAAAATTTTCAAGGGACACCATAAATCGGTTGCATCGAAGCTGGACTAAAAATTTTATACATAGAGGCGCGGTACAAAAACGTTGCCCCATAAGTCCGTTTCTTGCATAAAAAAAATATTTCAGGAGGTAAAATTGAGAGATATTAATTAATAATGTATTCTCGGATTTTTCGATCCCTCGCTTGAGAAGAATAACGAGAAAAGTATACATAATATGGGCCAACCTAACGCATCCTGGTGAACGAATGGTTAACGAAAGGGCCCTGAAAATAGAAGCAGAACAATATCCGACATTAGTATTGTCGCATAAATTTATATTTATTATTCCAGCATATGTCACGAAACGTATAAACGCAGATGTAAAGGCCTTCCAGGATGCCTCGCGTAGCGGGAAGAATCGGGCACAAGAATTGCAGAAAATTAAACATGGCGCCCTATGTTCGGTAATTTACTTATTGCGATTCTTACCGTTACGCTTACGGTTACCGTCACGCGAGGTATCCGTGCAGGTGGATGCGTCTTTACTCACTCGAGCATTCGAAAATGTGCAAGCCTGAGATAGCGTGAAATGCGAAACCTCGAGCTCCGACAAGTCGAGAAAGAAAAAAAAAATCGGGAATTCGATCCCTTAGATAAAACGTAAAGAGAATAAGAACGTAATTTTGCGTAAAAAAATTCCAGGGTTCCAGGTAGAATTGCATGGTATTTTCCATGTTGTCGTCCCCACGTGTCCGATATTCGTTACCCGGAATTTTGGGTCGGTACCCGGTATTGGATATGGGATATGCCATAAGCAACGAAAACGAAGACGAAATTCCACGTCGAGATGATAAAGTCCGTCGATAAGAGGCAGGAAAAATGAAGAATTGGCAAATCGAGGGGAGGTCTGAGCCTGGGACTGCTCGCTCACCTGAGCGGTCCTCGTTTCGGTGATGGTCCCGGTGATGGTCCCGGTGTCGGTCCCGGTGTCGGTCCCGGTGCCAGGATGCGCACGGCGAAGACGGATCGCGAGTCTCGACTGGACGAAGGTGGGTCCCGAGAAAGAAGTCCAGCTTCTGAGCTCGAGAGGCCGCGCGAGGGGCGGTGGGCCCCCGAAAAGAGGAACGAGAGGAGGCAGAGAAGAAGAGGAAGAGGGACCGGCGCGAGCGCGAGAGACTCCGCGTCAAGACTAGCCAGGGACCGATCGCCTCGGACGAATCGTGGCGACGATTTGCGCGGACGATTGACAGGTGAGTCGGAGAAGTAGAGGAGAAGAAGAAGAGGTGGAGGCTCCGGGCGGAGGGGAAGGGGGCGAGGTGGACGATGACCAGCCGAGAGGTGAGCACTGACCCGAAGGTTAAGGAGGGTCCGAGGAAAGAGCGCCACTCCGCTAGAGAAAGGGAGGATCCGCGAGCCACGATCCACGGCTAAAACGATTCAACGATGTCGACTCGAAAAGTACCTCAAGAAGTCCCGTCGAAACGGGGAATTGCCATTTCGGAGGTCTTTTCGTCGGGTCGGATCTCGTAGGGAAATCAGACGCACTGGTTCTCGTAAGGTACGTCGACGGGGCAGCGAGAATGGACCTTACGGTAGAGGCGTAACCGTAGTCGTCTAGGTCGAGAATCCCATCTCGGCCCTCGCTCGATTCCACCACCGGACTGGTCCGCGCTTTTCGTCTTCCTTTTCGTCTCGCCCTTTTTCTTTATTCCCGTCTCGCCAATGCCAGCGGTCGCTTGGGTTTCTCTCCGTGCCTCTACCTCTCTCTCCCTGCTCGGCGACTGTGCGAAAAAAAAATTCTCCTTAATCTTTGAATTTTTCCGCGAAAATCGACGATCGCCAGCGCGAGGTCCTCGAGTCCCGCCGATCTCCCCGCCGCGCGACGGTGACGCGGCGTTTCGCAAGGGCGCCCCGAAACTTGCAATATCTGCGAAAATACGCCGATTCTGGGCGGATATAACAAACAAATGCCGGCTAAAATGCATATCGAGAGCGAGAAATTTCGCCGAGCGGTCGCGATCGCTCGTCGGCGGGAAAATTCTCCGGCGCTAAGTGGACGCAAAAATGGCCGACTCTTGCGCGGTGGTTACAAGGCTTTCGTAGAAAGTGTGTCGAAAAATGCCTGTTTGCTCCTTGGCACGCCCTTCGCGAGTCACTCCCAGCGACGTTTAACGCGCTTTTCAGCGTCCGTGAAACCCGCGTAAGCGTATCGTGCAACTTGGGATTAAATAGTAAACCGGAGCACGCGCAACGACCACTTCATTTACTGTAAACCGTTCGTTACTCGTGATCCAGACCAAGCGTTTTAATTTGCATTCCGCTCGAGCGATCCTTTCCATTCGGCACACTTCAAGAAAAACCGTAAACAGATATTGGCAACGCCGTTAAAAAAAAAAATTCTAATTCTGGTAACATTTTATTGATAGAAACCCGTTATAAATTCCGTATGCAAGCGTGAAATCACATGGAAATTATGTCGCGGCGTTATGGAATGATAAATTCGTTTAGAAATATATAACGAATGCGTACCATTTCATTTCTAAGACGTGAAATTTACAATTTCACGACCTTACGCACTAAAAGCACGAATTTTATGCGCGCTTCCAGCGGGGTAGCCATCCGAGGTGGGAAATTGTTGGAATCGCGCGGTTTATTTTCGGAAAATCGCCAGCGACTGTTTTGAGATCTTCTTTACCGATGCCCAGTTCGTTAAATATATCTCACGTGCGCTGGGTTTTTTTCCATACGATTTTACGATCCTCTCCATTAAAGCAGCCGAGCTGTTCGTCAACTCGCGCGGTTCAGCGAAACGATTTTCCTACCGTATTCGTGCCTCGCAATTAGTATTCACCTGATTGCCATACTCCCGACGAATAGTAACTACCCGTAATAAAATTAAGAGAATGGCAATGGTTACATCTCGCCGATTACTGCCTTTATCCTGGAACAGGATTTAGCAATCTCATTGAAAGATCGGCTCCCTCGGTACGGTCTACTAGAAAATTCAAAATGGCGGACTCTAAAGAGAAGAGAGAGAAAAAAAAAGCCGATAAACTCGCGAAGGAAAAAAAATGTGTTTCGGGTCACTCGTTTGCGCATTCCTGGAAGCTGCACCTCTCGACCGGTGACAGATTTGATAGACGTTCATGGTACACAAATTGCCCCTCTCTTTAATCGCAACCTGTCGTCGGATTAAAAAATGGCTAAACCTTGTTCTTCCTTGAGTGGATCCATCGGTGAATAATCGTAATGACGATTTAATGGCGCGGATACTCGTCCGAGGTTTTTGATTTATGTCAAAGTCGTGTACGGGTATGTTAATGAACGAATATCGAGGTACGTGCGAGCAATAACGCCGGCGGGCTATGAAATCCGCGGTTTCATCAAGCGCCGTTAAACGGCGCCGGAATTGCCGCAGACGCGCGGCAAAAACCGGCCGCGCAAAAATCGACGCCGAGAGATCGTTTAACGATTGTCCCTTTAATGGGAAACGACCCCCTCCGATAAACTTGAAAATTATTCGAAGAATAGTACATAGAAGAGCGCAATACGCGTTAAAGCGTCGATTTCGAGTCATGGGACGATATCCACCCCATAAATTGTCTCGAACGTCAACGTCCGACTCCGAAAACGATTTAAACGGTAAAAAAAACACGAAGAAATTTCTACCCCGCGTCTCCTCAATTTTTACGGGCTCTGAAATTTAATAATCGTCTTTTTCGCTGCCTTCGTCAGAGTTTTGAGGAATTGTTCCCAGCTTCCAACCCCCCTTGGATCTCGGATTGGCATGACCGTTGCGGGGCGAATATTTAAACGGAATCGCTAGCAATGCGGAAAAGCTCGGGGCGTAGCGGTCCGTTCGTCCAAATACGAATGCGCCGTTATTTGGAGACCGGCATCTCGTGCCGGACGTCTGGAGACACCTTCCTGGTAGTCGGTCGCACCTGCGGGTCACTGGGTAAGCCGGCAACAGGTGCGTACCGACCGAAGTCCGACGAGGATCCTAAAACCACGGACGCGGTCGCGGGATCGGAACCGCCCCCGTCTAGAGTCACTCGTCGGCCCTGCCTCGCCGACTCGAGATAGAAAGTGTTCGTAAACGGAGAAAGTTCGACGGGCTTTTTCCTGGCAGGCAATTCCGAGCGGCGTCCTCATGGGTCTCACGGAGCGCGGCGCGTTAACGCGTCTAGGGCGACGGAGCGATTCGGGCCCCCCGCGGTTCCGATTGACTTTTCCTCCGAGGTAAAGTCAACCGGATTTATCCGGGAGTTTTGTCCGAAGTGGTCTCACCTTAATCGAGGCGGCGGCTTCCGTCTCTCGGGCGAAGAATCCGCGTCTTTTCGTCGCGCCGTAGAAAGCGCGGCTTTCCACCGAATGTACGTCGCGCCATCCGCGGCCGGCGCGAGAATTGATTAGGAAGGGAGAAAAAGACGGAGACTCGGAGGGTCACCGTCGGTCGAGTCGAGCCTTTCACGGTACGAGGACCATCGCGCCGGGTTGGCGGGTCGTCTTTTTCTTTCGTTTGGTCCCGATCGAAAGGGTTGGCCGGCTATCTCGACCCGCCGGCGAGCGCGCTCCGTATTTCACCGTATATTTATGTAGCCCCCCGCTCGCTCGGGGCCCGACCGCTCTCCGTGGCAGGAGGGGAAAACGAATTTCGCCGGACGGGGAGCGGAGGCGAGCCGGGAAAGGCATTAAATCCTTAAAGGAAACCCGGACCGGATATACCTCCCCGAAACAAAGGTCGTCCTTAGAGCGAGATTCCCCGAGTTTCGCGGCGCGTGAGGAAGGCGCGACCCGAAGCTAGCCGAGTCCTTCCGAAGATACCCGACGGTGCCGGCGGAGGGTGCCGGCCGGACCTCGAGGCATCTCCGGCGCCCGTCTCTCCTGGAAGCTGGTTCCCATGGTATTAACTATTTTTACCGGGGCGAAACTGGTCGGCTGAAAATAGCCCGGCTCGTGCGTGCGCGCGCACAGCCTTAATAACGAAGAAGCCAGTTCGAGTTCTTTCCGTGACCGGTATTACGACGCACCGGGAGCATCGGCACTGCCACCGCCCAAGGGAATCCACCGGGAGAGGCCGTGCCCCGAAGAACCCGCCCGATTTCGGGGAAAAGAAAAACGAGGAACTCCTTTCCGATCGGACGCTTCGCGGAGATAGAATTACCTGGAGAGCGAACCCCTTAAAGCGGACGACGAGGGCAAGACCAAGGCCGAGACTACGATGGTCTCGGACTTTGCCCTGAGAAAAAAAAAATGTCGAATTATTTCACTCGAATAAATTCCAATTAATCGAACGCAACGTTTACTCGGAATTAAGACTATTTATTTCAGTAGGATAATAATCTTGAAATTAACCAAATATTTCTTAGGTTCAATGAATCTTTTTTTTTTCTTCTCAGGGTCTTGGACCCTTTGTCAATCCAAGACAAGGATCGACTTATAAACTGACGCGCTCCGTATTTTTCGCGGATATCGAGGATGATTATAACGATTCGTCACCGGGTTTGCGCCGGCAATCGCGATGCTTACGCGTCGCGCCCTCAATATCGTTATTCGTGTATCGCGTTGGCATTTAATATCAAGAAAAGTCGTGGAGTTAACGTCACGTGTAAATTCATCTTGGAACGCATTGCGATACCAGGCGCAGCGTGGAGTAAACAATCCGGGCAGAGGTGCGCTCGTCGAGGTGAATCAAAAGAACTCGGGAGGTCGGCTTTCGAAGTCGATAAGAAAAGCCTCTTTAAAGAGTCGTGTCGATGCCCTGGAGACGAGAGATCGCCGATCGTAGGCATAGATCATGCATCGCGTTCGCAGAGGCGCGAACGACCGGATTTCTAGGCCGATGCCTAAGAAACTCGGTGCAAGACCTTTGATAATGGCGCGTAACAATGCTCGGAGGCTGGTCTCGAATACAGAAGAAAGGGTACGTGCGGTGGATGGTAAAAAGGCTCGATCTAGCTACACGGATCGCCGATTAACATGTGCTAGCTTAGAAACTGACCGTCGTTATTCCCCCCGAAGAGATTTCAAAAGATTTCAAGACATGTCAAATAACCCACGTGTGCGACTCGGCATGTATTTGTCGCGAAACTCAACCTTATGGTTCGCAATCGGCCCGAGATTACGACATCGCGTTTTGTTTACGCGATATCGATATCCTCGCGTGGCATCCTTGCCAGTACAGGCTCGCGTTATTATGCATGTATGTATTTTATATATGTACATACACCAATCTCGCTTGTTTTTCGGATCTAATTACAATTCGCCGAAGCTGCCTCCGGCTCCCGCTGAAATAGTTATCAATTATTTGAGGAAGGGTCGATATCCTCCCTCTGACCTGGATGGGATATTTACGCCTAACTTCGCGTCATATATCGGCGATACGATCCCTCCTCGTAATTTCACGGCAATTTCCCGATAGTACGGACGTCCTTGCACTCCGACCTCGTCGAGTTTCCTTTCTCTTTCTCACCGCTCGCGAATCATTTTACTAAACTCCTCCCATCGCGGAAAACTTAACGTAACAGGACATGAAACGCACCATCGAGTTCGCCAATCATTCGGGTCGGCATGCGTAGCGTGATATCGATACGAGAGTCGGTACCGAAATATTCCCCGCGTGTGCATCGGCACTAATTCTTCTCAAAAATGCACTTCCAAGAACGACAAGATATGGCCTAATTGCGGGATAATGGCCTCGCGGTAGTGGAAATTTTCACCTTGGACCTCTGCCCTCCCGAAATGATTAAATACGATCGGTAATGATAATTCATTACATTTAAGGATTAAATTGACCAAGCACCCAAATTTAGCCGCCTCCTTGCGGACATACCGGAAGGGTAGTAAAACTCATTTCGTGGCAAACAATCGGGAGGCTATATTTAACTCGAGCGTACGTCGCGGACGCGTCTTGCTTCTCTAAGTCCGAAATTCAGCCGATTCACTCTTCGCCTCCGTTAAAACAAAGGGCAAACAAATCGCGGCCAAATAGTTTAATGCTTTCGCGAGTCCTAGAAATTGGCGCGCTAAATCCCAGAACAAATATTTCGCTCTTAGCACCGACTAAGCCTCGTCCACCTGACGTCTTATCGACGTCCACTCGACGTGACGACATTCGGCCGTTCCTTTCGGAACCGCTAATGGTTCTCCAAAATGGCCGCCACCGTCCCGTCGAATGAATCGCGTCGAATCACCTCTCGGGCCCGTGTTATCTCGAGATCTCGAAAATCGTAAAAGCCAACTCGAATCGAGGAAAAAACACAGATACAAAGAATACACGCGTGCCAACGCGGAACTCCCTGAAACGATATAAACACCGGGGAACAAGGAAACGTATCGAAGCGATCGAATACATGGAAAGGAAAATAGAGCAACGTCCTTCCCGCGTTGATTTACTTATTAATGACTCAAGGAAAACCGCGTCTCGGACTAGTGTTATTTCTTTTTTTTTTCCCCCAATTAATGGGAGTACAAACCGTTCTTCGCGACAATTTATACGAACCCGTGCAATGACCGGCCAATACCGGTGACGGTTAATTATTCCGGTTCGCCGTGACACGAGAAGCGTCAATCGGGGTGAATTAAAAAAAGGGGCTCGAAAGAAAAGAAGCCGATCGACTTTCTGGAAAACTTTCGGCGCACTTTCCGTTGCATCTACTCGCATACATTTAATCGGTAGGATAATGCGATCTCTCGTGGATCCTCCTTATCCCCTACGAGCGATGCGCCGTACGGTACGTTGGCTGACTAATAACCAGTTTAATTTATTCAAGGCCGTCAGAAGTCAATAGGGAAATAGGAACGGAATTTGCATACGAGCGGGAACGATCGCGTGAAATCACGGGACGGCGATCCGCGTCATTTCGAGTGCAGCCCCTGCAGCGACCGCGTCCGAATATGTCGAAATGCGTCCCGATGCAATTAAGGAACCGTATTCCCTCGAGATTAAGGGGACTGTCGAAACGCTCTGCCTCGTGTAATTATGTCTAATCGATCGGCGTCACCGGCACTCTCCTCGTTTTCATCGACCGGCGGGGAGAGAGGGGATGGAATTAATGAGAAAATCCGCAAAAAATCGCAACCTCGCCTCAGGCTTCTTTCCTCGGTGACGCGATGCGCCGATCGCGATGATTTATTAAACGATAGGACGAACTCCCGTGTTCCTAAAAATCCTTACCGCAAGGTATAACGGTATGCGAAAGTCCAGTGCCGTAATTCTGCACTTTCCTGCGGATTCGCGGGGAGAAAGTAAATGCCAAAGTTACAAAGTTTGCTGTCGCTCGAAACGTATCGCGAGCTAGGGATCGACCGATCATTGAAATTCCCCCGTAGATCCCGTTTTCCCCCCAGATCCATCTGGGAAAATCGAAGAAATTAAAGATTCACCGGTACAAATATTTTTTTTTTTTATGAGATTTCAAGTACATTGACATTGGGCACCGATGTGTTACATTTTACGATGCCCTCTCTATACGTTCACGGTTTTTATCACCTGTTCGACGGTGGGTCGGTTTCGACTAACGATCGAGGGGAAAATCGTCTCAGCTTTCACTGATCGATGCCAATAAGGGGACTGACTTTTCCTCGCAGACAATTGGCTTGGTGCAGATTTTTCCGCTCGGGTAAATAGAAAAAAGTGCACCTTGTTTAGGAATGACTTCGGCGTACGCACCGACCTCGATAACGTAGCACTATCGTGACTTTATTTCCATTTGCGCTTCTGCCGTTGCATTTTTCTATCTTTCGTGCCAACGCACCGAAGGAAGGACAATGTCCGTCGAGGGAAATAGTTTTTCTCGCGATACTCTCGGCCAACGAGTGCTCCCTGTGATCCACACTTTTAAGTTACGAACTCCTTCCTTCGGTCTTAAGGCATGGAGAGAAAAGCAGCGTCGGGGTCTTTTCTCTATTTCAATTCCGTAAGTCTGCACCTTAACGACTCTGACTATAACGATGAAATCGCCCGTATTCGATTAGTCATTTTATGTGTCATTATACGATGTAATACCTGGCAGTTATTACATGGGACCCGGAAAAATGGATCACCTGTGTTCTCGGAATTCATTAAGTAATCGTACGTAACCATTTACTGTGATTACAGAAATAAAGCATGCGACGACGTCGATGCGCGTTAAGCGACTGTCATATCATCGCGGCTGGTAAGAAAAGTTGCACAATTTTTTAAATGTAACGTGAAAGAAAGAAACGACGATCCGAGGAACGCCGATGAGAAATCCAGGTTACATCGTCTATGAAACTTCCCGCTGTTTAATTTTATTTTGAAACTTTTCGTGCAAGATATATTTCCTATCGATGCTCATGAAATATGCAACGAGTCGAGCATGCGTTTCTTACACTTTTTATTTCATAGTTACTTATTAGACAATAGTTTGTCCAATAATTGATCGTTTACATTACTCGTTTTACTTGTTTCATCAAGAATTACTGCAGTACCATGTTATTACTGAATTAAAACAAGTTACCATTAAGCGAATTTCCGTTACTGTTTCACAAAGCTATACATCACCTCCATTTATACACTGATATTCTTATTTAGTTGTTATTCTAAGTATAGTTGACACTTCTTAAGTACGTGAAATATAAGTACGCCATGAAAAGTACATGGTAGATCTTGGATAACGATCACCCACGATACGTAAATAACTTACGATATTGTGCCATGTCTTAATTCCACGGTGTGGTTTGTTCCCATGCATTGTACCACATTAATGGTACAACTTTTACAATCTAATTCGAATGTATCAAGACAACCAATACAAATTATTCCTTATGAGTAGTGTCTCTACTTATTAGCTTGACGTCGAAGATAACAAAGAGCGATCATCCGGAGCAACCTCGTCATTGTGTTCGTTCTTAACCGGTATGTCCTCTGTATTCGAGAGAGTATTGACGTTGCACTGATTTGATACTATCAAAGAGTTATTTATGGGCTGCATGGAATTAATATTATTCATATTCCGGGTGGTACTCACTAACTGAGCATTCGTACCGTTATCACATTGTTCCACGTTTACGTTAACTGGATGTTTCTTCATGTGAGTCGTAAGGTTGCCACTGTGATAGAACTCTTTACCGCAGACCTTACACTGAAAAGGCTTAATTCCAGAATGTATCCTTTCGTGTATGGATAAATTACCACTGTGCCTAAATTCCTTGGCACAAACACTGCACTTGTATGGTTTAACTCCCGAGTGAGTCCTTAAATGGGTCGACAAGTTACCACTGTGGCTAAACATTTTTCCACATATTTGACAAGCATAGGGTCTTTCGCCTGAGTGCGTTCTCATGTGAATCGCCAAATTGCCGCTATGTGTGAAACATTTTTCACACTGCGTACACTTGTATGGCCTTTCGCCATTATGCGTCCTCATGTGAATGAACAAGTTGCTCTTATGACCAAACACTTTAAAACAGATCTCACACTGACACTTTAGTTTCTTTGAGGTACCAGACGTAGAAGAAGACTTTGGTGGCCTCCCAGGGCCATTGTGCTTCACTGGCGTAGTTGACTGAGTAGCTAATAATGTTTGATCTACAGTGACCTGATGCGGCATAATTTGAGTAAGGTGATTCTGATGATTCTCCTGGGTCTGATTCGTTTGACTCATTTGGGGCTGATGATCCCCTTCTTGTTGAGGTTGAGCATGGTTTACTTGAAATGGCATTCCATGTTGCTGGAGGTAACTTGCCACCGAAAACTGTGGCACAGACTGCTATACCAAAAAAAAAAAATATTTACGAACCATCCGTTACTTTAAGAAGTTGCATGGGTATTAGAAAAATATTTCTGATGCATTTAATAGGTACTAACAGCCATCTGAGGTATGTCAGTGCGGATAGTATTATCAGCCTTAGATGGAAGATCATTAGGAAGTTGATTAACTTGCAAAGGGGCTTGGTTCCAAAACTGTGGCAGCTGTCGATACATGTAATCAACATCTTGATTTGTAAATGCAGGATATTCTAAATTTCCTTGAATGTTATTAGTATTAGGTTGATTGACGTCTTCCACACCTGGATATTCCTGCTTTATTTGTACGGGACTGAACATCTATTTTTGAAAATACAAAATAAATAAAAAGCATGTAACTTAATTCTGCTACAAACACTACCAAACGTACTTACATTGTAGCTCAAGAAATAATTTCCTAATGTAAACAATGACAATTCCAGCGATTCAAGACCTGCTAAAAATAAACAGTTTAATAAAATCCATTCTTCGTATTACCTACACTACCTAATCATAACTGCTCATTATGCTCTAAAAACTTATAAATAGTCATTCATAAGCGGGTGCTTACCCGTTCATACGTTCTAAACAAGGTTCATTCCTCTAAGAACAAATTTTTCCATATTCATCTTAAGCATGGTTGAAAGTGATTTAATCCAAAAGACACGTGTTTTATATGTCAAGTGAAACGCCAAGGGAAGCCGCTGTATCAAAATCGCCTCACTCGTCATATCAGTTACTAGCGTGATGCACAACCCTTGACAGGAAAATGCTAACGACCCTCAAAGTGACGGCCGCATCTCATTCGGTTGAGAAACGCGGCTTGGCCTGTGGAAAGGAAGCAGATTGTAAAAAGTTTAGCTGCACTTGCTCTCATGGCATATCGGATATGGTCATTCAGCCAAAGATGGCGCTTCTAATTTTCGTAATTACGTTTCAAACAAGGTCAACAGACGGAGCGGTAGAATTTGGACTGATTTGGACGCATGTACCTTCGTACGGACACAACATCATTGTTCGCGGTGTGTCGCGTTCGATCCTCAGGAAATCATTCTTTTTTGGTCTCCTCGGTCTCCTGTCATCACGCTTTGGATCTTATTTGGGCAAGGCAGAAAACCGACCAACTGACGGCACCGAGCAACACACACACGCTGAGAAAGCATCAACAATCGTGGGTGAAGTTGCTGCGAGAAAGAAATCAAAAGAAATAATTAAAAAATCAAGCACTGGCAAGGAAACTATTAAGACGACCAACTCCTAGAATTTTTACTAACTCTTCCGAGTGACGCACGGGTTGAGCGCAGTTCTGATTGGCCGATAAATATCTAGTAAGTGTGAAACAGTTTCGACATAAAACCGCTAGGCGGCAGCGACGAACCTGGATTATGGACGCTCTCTGTTATATACCAGCAGAGATGACCAGAGATGAGTTGGGAGATTGCTCACGGGCAGAATCGTGCGATCGCATCCTGTGCTGCTCTCTGGTTTCATACGTTAGCTTTCACCGTTTTTTGTCCCCAAGGGCGGCGCAACGAATTTCTGATAGGAGCTCGCGCACTCGCAATGGCGGTACCATCTACTGTCGATAAGCGTAGGTAAGCCACCACCGTCAACTGCCGCATGCCAACGATGACTGGTAGATGGCACCGCCATCGCGAGTGCACGATCCCCTACCAGAAATTCGTTGCGCCGCCCTTGGGGGCAAAAAACGGTGAAAGCTAACGTACGAAACCAGAGGGCAGACAGGATGCGATCGCTCCACCCTGCCCGTGAGCAATCTCCCAACTCATGTCTGTATATACTACTCTCTGATAGAATAATTTAAAACAAAATGTAAAATGACCAAAAGTGGACCGCGAGAAATGATTTCCAATGAAACTGATGAATCTACACACATCGAAGAGCAGCCAATGACTGAAAAAGAAGAATTCAGCCACACGGAACTGGTTAAATTAACTAAGGAAGCACTTGAAAAAATAATCGAGAGCGATCCCCTGTTTTCTGGTTTACCTGCAGATGTTACAATCGAAGAGCTCAGGGCACAAACTGCCGTTGCTCAGGGCCAAGCAATAACGTTATTCTTAAATCGAGGAGAATTACCAAAACTTGCCATTGTAGTAAGTACTTCTGTTATTTAAATTTATATATATATGCTGTTAACCAATGCAATTAATTCATGCGATAAAAAGGTACCCTTACACAATACTACTGTCTTGGATTTGAAGAAGGCAATACGTCGCCATACAAACTTAGCGTTAAAGCGAAAAAATGTACAGAAGAAGGTAAGTTGGAAACACGTTTGGAAGAAATATCATATTATGTTCAATGATGTTCCTTTAACCGATGATTCTGAAAACATTCGGAATTATGGAATTAGCAATAAAGTAGAACTACATTATAGTAAACGTCGCAGAAGGAAAAACAAAGTAGTTTAAAAGAATTGTATAGATGCTTCATTTATACTTTCAAACTGTATTTTAATTATTTGTTACGATGTCTTAAACTTCAAACTAATAAATGAATAATATGATATTCTTATTTTCAATAATACTCTCATTAATACCTAATTTTTCTTAACTCCATTCATCCTTTCTTCTTACTGGAACTGGTTCCCGTAGATGACATTTTAAAGTTGGTATGCAATCTTGCAACATCAAGCATGTTATGTCAAATGCTTGCGAGCCATAATAATTTGTTACGATTAACGTCTTCAAGTCGGTAATTTTGTAAATAGACTCCAGACCACGTTCTGTAATTTTTGGGCAACTTGAAATATCCAGATATTCCAACTGAGGAAAATTTCCAGTTATCTTATCGAGACACCAATCGTCAAAATTAGGACAATTTCTGAAACTAGCCCATGTTACTTTTGTTAAATTGCGTAGATTATCTAGTCCTTCATAAATTATGTTCATCCCTGATAGATCGATGGCTTTAAGAATATAATTAGGATTAAACTTATTAGGCATGTTACACTCATCATCCTTATCCAGTTTTGTCCATTCAGAATGTTCATCAAATTTAACCCTACCACCACGGTAGACGATAAAGTAAGCCGCTGCTAGGTCAGAGCCAAGACTTCCATGTCTCTCGGGGCGAAATCGCTGATCAACTTTTATACTTTCTTTCACCTTTTTCTCACACCACCTTATTACTTCCAGAGGTAATGGATCTCGCGAAGAACGTAAAAACTGCAAGAACTGATTTGGTTCTTTATCTCTATTAAACATTTGCAAGAAACTCTTTTCCTGTTCTATTGGTTTTCGCCATTCCTTTATGCCTTTTCTAACCAGCTGTTCTTCAGGTTTTCTTGAAAGACATCTGTATAATTGTCTGGAGATAAGGGTCTTACTGTTACATACGACTTTCACGTACTGAGCGATCATCCCGAATGTATCTAAAACAACAAGGTGAATAACAGTAAATAAGGTTAGAAAAATGCAAATCGATAAATTCAAACTGACTCAAACCATGTTTACATGGAGATGCATGGAGATAAGTTGGGAAATTCCTCACGGGCAGGGTCGAACGACAGAGATGAGCTGGGAGATTGCTCACGGGCAGGGTCGTGCAATCGCTTCCTATGCTGCCCTCTGGTTTCGTACGTCAGCTTTCACCGTTTTTTGCCCCCAAGGGCGGCGCAACGAATTTCTGGTAGGGGCTCGCGCACTCGCGATGGCGATACCATCTACCAGTAACCGTTGACGGCTGACGTACTCGTGATGGTAATACCATGCGAGTGTTGACGGTAGTGGTGAACATTCTTGGCACCCACTTTGACTTTACCCTTCACTTACCTTACTTATTTTACGAGAAAGTGAAATTTGACCTTAATTAAATTCTACTTCACAGCTAGTTCGCGGATCGGTATAAGGATGATACCGATCCCCCAGGTCCCGCCACGAGGAGGCCGCTGCGATTGGGACCCGCCTAAGCATAGGCACCTGGTTCCGTTGAGTTCCCGGCGTCCCAGGAACTCACAGAACCAGGATTTCATCACCCATACAACACACTACTCGCATACCATTCGCATCCGTCCATACAACACACCACTCGCATACCATACTCATCCGTCCATACAACGCTCGCCGCAGAATACAGGGTAAGTCGCCAAGTACATTGCCAGTTAGCATAGAATTACGGATATAATTTGCCGGAAGGGCATACTACTTCTAACGCGAACAATCCAGCAGCTTCCATCGTCACCGACGACTAACCCGGCTCGGCTGTCGGCCCGCGAATACGAGTTTCAGTCGACGGGCTTGTCCCGGCTTACAGCAGGCAGAGCCCCCGCGGGATGCCGTCAGAGCGAAACAACGTATCGCGCAACCGACAACCTGAGCCAGGTAGCCTTGCACGCCGTAGCTTAGCTACGACGTACTAGGTGCCGACGGAAGCTGCCGGATACACTAAAGGTACGGCAATACCGTACCTGCAAAAATCTACTTCGGTTAGTACGCAAATCCGGAATTACTAGCTGCATGGAAACGTACCCAACAACTTCCTGTCCGCAATTTACAATTACGCACGCACGCAATGAGTGCTTCCACTTTTAACTACGTTAAGCTACTGTCATACAAAAAAAAAAAACACGCTTAGTGGAATCACTCGCGCAGCTATTTGCGGACCGGAGGTTTTCAACGATAGTTGGAAACCACCGGTCCCCCAGGCTCACCACGTGGAGGTTGCTGCGCACCGAAGCCCTTTACAAACGTAATAAATTAAGTTAAATATATTAAGAAAGGGAACGGAAGAGAGGGGGGATGTGTCCCATAAGGCCCGGTTTCACAACCCAAGTTAACCGAAGTTTGAGTTTTAACCGTTAGGTTAAACCGTAGGTTAAAAGTAGGGTTAACCGTTAGGTTTAACCATAGGTTAAAACTGGGGTTAACCGTTAGGTTTAACCATAGGTTAAAACTGGGGTTAACCGTTAGGTTTAACCGTGGGTTAAAATTGGAGTTAACCACAGGTTAAATCTGGGGTTAACCGTTAAGTTTAACTGTGGGTTAAAACGGGGGTTAACCGTTAGATTTAACCGTGGGTTAAAACTGAGGTTAACCGTTAGATTTAACCGTAGGTTAAAACTGGGGTTAAACCAGTTACGGTACAAGCAGGTAACCCGATGCTTACCCTTCGGAAGACCAAAGGGTACTGATGCTCCGAGCGCGCGCTCGGCCTTATATAGTGTCCCCGACCCCGGCATGCGCATGCGCAGTTCTTTATAACACCTTTGTATATTCCAATTTCGGAATTTCTTCATAATAACGGAATTTCATGGCTACGGAACCCTTTTTTAGGATCTTTATACTCACGTTATAAAATTTCAAACGATTAGGTACACTTAGTTTTGTGAAAAATTTCCTTATCAACCGACCCCTCGGTTGCCTCTTTCTCGTCACCTTAACGGAAAATCCATAATTATAACATGATGCACTGGGAGTACAAGGGTACCTTTTTCAGGTATCTGCGGTCAGGTGTCGACCGGGTGAAGCGACGGTACGGTAATTGAGGACTCCCGATTATCACAAAATCCTAATCATCCTAAAATCCCCAAATTCTAATAATCAATTTTGATATTTATTAATCAACTATGTATTATCTGATTCGACGAATTAAATTGACGATAATCCTCGAAATAAATATTTATTATGAAAGATTCACCGACGCAATCCACACACTTTCTATTAAAATATCCCGATTAATCGTAAATTAGCAGGGATTTATATTGAAAGATAGATTTCCTTTCACTGTACCAAAACATGTCCCACATCCATTTCGCGTTTACGAGACTTTAGGGGACAAATGCGTGAAGATCGCCTCAATACGCTGTCAATGGTCCTGTCACTTTGATTAATCCCCTTTTTCACCTCTCCCGGATTTGCAAAATTTAAGCTGCAACACTTTTCGTAATTCTTTTCCTTTCTCGTCAATTTTACACGTGCCGTTCATTTTATTTCTAATTCTTAACGCAATGACAGATGCACGTTCTATCGAAAATTCTCCGGAGCTAATTAACCTTGCAACGTGACCAAGATGTCGACGCATAGTACAATTATCAACGAAAGTGGATTTGGATTCGTACCAGGAAGGCTAGACGATTCCAGGGAAAAGGTTAAAGAAATTGTTCGAAGGTACATCGTGTATATTTCGATGTATCTCAATTTTTATTATCACAATTGGTTCATTTCACATTTTGCTTACTTGGCCGTGCGATTTTCCCCCGATTATACCATCGACCCTAATTTCCATGTTTACATAGTTACACCATGACGAATAAAAAAGGTGCATCCGTGGGAGTGATATCCTGGAATGCCGCGATACAATCCATAAGGGTTCCGAATAATCGAGGAGCTTTCGCCGACCTCGTCCTCGGATACGACAGGACTCAAGGTAAATTAGGGACCCCAGGGGCACCAGGAAGTCTCGACATGGAATACCCCATAAGGAAACGATCTAAGTGGTCCTTCGCGACCCAGGTTACGCGAACCAGTCGTTGGGTGCCGGAATTGCGATAGAAGCGGTGCCAAAGGAAGAGTTGGTCGAGGCAGTCGACACCAACTGGGAGTCCCGAGTCCTGGGAAAGGAGGTGGTAAGAAACCAAGACCGTACAATTGATAATTTATAATTTATTGGCGCGAGACTCGTAGTGTCGAGCAATAGAGTTCTAAGATGACGATTACTTAATCGACTTCGATCTGAGCGTCAGATCGACGCCGATGGAAAGGTACTTCCAGGTTATGACCAACGTCGCTCGTATCGGACCAAATGGTCGCATGGGTCACCTGATGGTGCAGGCCAGATATTCGTGGACCGACGAAAATCAGCTGTGCGTTGAAATCCGCCTTTCGTCTACCGAAGCGATCGCCCTCGACGTCGTCAATCGCTGCCTCGTCAACCTGGCCGGTCACGTAAGGCAGACGGTACACCAAAGGCGCATATATGAAGCAGTAGGCAATTATACGTGTATAGAAATTATAGCATATATCTCACCACATGGTCCTGGAGGAATTTAATACCGCACCGTATGAGCCTTTGGTGTTGGGCCCAAGACATCTGCGAATCCCCAAACTGGTGAAATCGGGGAGTGGGATTTAATTTCTGGAAATTCCTCCAGGGCGCGGGCTCGAAGAAGCTGACCGATCACATCGTAGCGATCAACGCCGAGGAGGAAAACTCGACGAAGGTGGGGTCGATTTTCGACCTGCGTTTCCCGACCCGGTTGACCAAGGGTCGACTGTATCGAGTGCCGGGTGGAGGTTACGATCACGATTTTCCGATAGCTTCATCGACTTCCGACCGCTGGTGTCATAGACTCCACGCCAGGTACCATTAGTGAAGTTATACCAAAAAAGGATACCGTCCATCGCGAATTGACGGCTCGTCCTCTCTTCAGGGTCGAGCACCCGGAGTCTGGTAGGTTCCTGGAGGTCTCCTCCAATCAACCCAGTCTACGTTTCTATACGGCAAACGATTTGTCCGAGGTTGGTTCGCCATCGATACGCAGCCCTGTTGGACCACGACCACGGTGTTCCAGATTGGTATTTTCGGAGGCCCCGAGGATGAAAGGAGGTGTCATCTGCAGACGACACGGAGGATTCCTTCTGGCACCTCGACCCCTCGAAGATGGTCGACCATTTCTGCTCCTACCGGGCAGAGTTCTTCTGCACGAGACCATCTACTGCTTTGGCACTCTTTCGACTCCACAGAAACGTTTAACAGTCATTACAAAAAAAAAAAAAAGAAAATAACATCGAGAGTTGAACAAAAATGCCTCTAAAGACGGAGAAGCCGTCTCGACGCGGCGTTACTTTCTTTATTCTTACTCTTTACATGTCTAATTTAAATACCTGCCGTTGCAAATGTGAACCTAATGGAAAGGGGGGAAGCAGGCAGTACAGTTATTTCCTTTTATCACGGATATAGGTTTTCTTCCATGGTCGACCAGGTCCTAGTCTCTGGTACCGTAGTTTGTCGGTTAACGTAACTAGCTAGGTTTCTAAAGAACGACACTAGGTGGTAATGCTAATCACGCCTTCCTTGCAATGTCGTTTGCGTCGGTTTGGTCATTTCTACCTCGTACCGAAGTCCGTACCGTAGCTTTAGCCGTGACCACTCGAACGAACCATCGGCGGTTGTCTTATGCGCAACAATAAGCACTATGTTAATGTTCCAGATGTTATAATCGTTAAATTAAACGTACAAAATACCGATTTTAAGTTACAACTAAAACGCAGATTTTTCACTTGGAAAGGAATGTCCACTTCGTCGGCCATGTTCGTTTGGTTGCGCCACCGGCTGCTTAATAACAAAATAATTACGTAAAAATGTGTAGAATCGTTTATTCTCTAACATACGAGAAACAAAGCATTTTTTTAGCCACGTTAAAAACGACTCTCCGTGAAAATCGTCCATCGCTCTTCGAGGGACAAATTAGATGTCTTTAAGTCCCGCGAAGACTGTAATAACGCAAATTTTTTTATATCGGTACAAAGTATAAAAAACTTCGGTACTTCGTCTTCGCTCAAAAAGATCTTCCACGAAATGTGCGACCGCTATTATCAAAACGTACGAATGGTCTATCAACTAATTATTGTTTGCAGTTTGACTTAAGGTCCATTTACCATGGAATTGATCGATGCAGTGAATTACAGTGGTCGATCAAATGTTATTAAGTAAGTTATTTTTCGTAAAAGAAAGGGCGATATTAAAGGCTTTGTTTCTCCATAAATGCGAGTATCTAATCGCTAGCCAAAACGCACCCACTACACTTAGAGCCTCCACTCAGTAAAGACAATGTCTTTATTGAAACGTACTTAATACTTATTACTCAGGACGCCCCAGGAGTACAAGACATGTTCTTCGTAGTGGCTCAGGGGTTTTGAGCGCAGGATAAAATGGGTACAGACGACACCTGAAACCGCCGACGAGCACAAAGGAAAATTGGGCATACGGCACGGACAATCGAGGAAAATAACCGAGGAAAATCTTTGGGTACCTGGTCGGTTATCTAAAGGTAACACGCATGCTGATACGGACTTTATCGCAATTAAAAGACGAGACGAGGTCGCCCTGTCTCCTTAGGACCAAGAACGCAGTAAATAAACTAAATGGTTCCATCGACAAACGATATACAATTAAAATGCCATTAAAAAGTCGAAGTGCAGTGGTGGACATTAACGCCTTCTCGACCCACCCTCGAGTTCATACGATCAACTTTTGCATGCTAAATCGACAGTTTCGCGGCTGTGTGGACCTGGAATCCAGCTTGAGGCACCAACAAAATGAACAGGCTTATTAGAATTTTATTGACTAAAAACCAGATACTATTAAAAAAAAAAATAAACAAATTCTGAAAACGAGCATTTTAACGTTTTTGAGGTTCCGGGAGGCTCTGAATTTCCCTAACGTGACGTTCCTTCGCAACAATGGGAAATTTTTCACGTCAATCTATTCGTACGCGATAAACATCCTTATGAACTGAAGAGTCGGTCCCAAGGGAAGGCATTCGTGTCCGCCAGGGTACAGGGGGTAAACTTCCTGCAGGGTAATACACCATATACATGTAAGATGAGACTGGAACCGTCTCATTTCTCGCCCCAAGTCCGTCGTTCCTGTTCAAGTACAAGACATTCGTCGAACGGGTCTCTTCCACTCGTACGGTGTAACAATGGCGCAACGAGGAGAAAGGAAAAGGAAAGCGTCCATCGAATAAATCCGACGTAAGTAATCGGTGCAAGAAAACGATAATTCGGTTTCAGCTTGGACACCGGTGCACAACTGGTGCGTCATTTAACGGTGTTCCTGGCGAGACCGCTAAAACGCGACGATTCTAGTTGAAAATAAAGTGCATGCACGGTGGAGATCCGACCAAGAACACCATCGACTAGGCCCGCTGCACCGACAGCGTATATTTCCGAAGTTAAGTACTATTCCGATACGTGGACGATCTCGTGATCTCGGCCGTTTATCGATTATCATTTGCCCTGATAACCGGCCAGGATTACTTCGCCTAAAGTGGCGTCGAACTTTGTTCGCGCGTCGACCGGCGTCGCGTATCGGAAACCCGGTAGAGTTTCACGCCAAATACATTTTGGCACGAAGGGAGCCCTACCGAGTGCAAAGATCCGCAGAGATCGTTGGTACGTTAATCCGATGCGAGGATGAATTTCCGAAAAAGTGTCTAAACAAGGATCGTGCAATCGAAGTGGGAAGCTTTCCCGGTGGGGCTTTCGCGAAAACGCGAACGGCCACCGGGGAGAGATTCTTCCGCGCATCGGAGGTGTACAAGTTTGCCTAATCAAGGACCAGCTTCCTAGGATCTACGCTACAACCTAGAGTCCTTTCGACGCGTCGAAAGTGCTGATCCCTCGCCACGGACGTGGACTTGTGCTCCCTAAGGTTTCGTTTATCCCACCGTCCACGCATTCGCGACAACGGCGATCGTTACGTTTAAGGCCGCCAAGGGCGCATCCTCGCCATATTCGCGAGTACCGTCGAATTTGCTAACGCTCACCCTTGATTATCAACCCTTTAAGACGCCGTGAAAGTGGCGTCAAAAAGGTCTCATTCGTGAATTCTCCAAACTGGGTGTACCGAATCGATTCAAACATTACAATATAAAGTATAAGGAAAATCCTGACACTCATGGAATTTCAATTTTTTTCACTTTTTTTTTTCATAGATACTGTTAAAATTTGTTATAAAAAAAAAATTAAATTCCACGAGTGCCAGGACCATCCTTACAGTCTTCGTATTCACAGTGTGAGGTTGAAACGATTCGGCACTCCCAGTTTGGAGATAGGTTTCATGAACGATTGCCACTTCGGATGCCACTTTCACATCCCCTTAACACCAGCTGCTCGCGATCTAAGATCCACGATCAGCCCGATATCATTTTCGATCCGCGTCCCTCCACTCCCTGTCGCGTCCTGGCAGCGCTTAATCGCAATATGCAGACCGACAGCGAGTAACGCTACATAATCTAGTTTTTCGTCGTCGACGTCGAAGGTGTTCCATCCCCGCGTTACAAGAATCCTACACGAGCTCGCCAGCGTGCGTTTCCTCGTACATGCGCGCGTTTTAACGCGATCTCGTTGGTTGATAATCATAGATTACAATCGGGTCGCGTCTCTATACTTAGAATCACCACTACGACGCCCTACGTAGGACTACTCTATCGTTGCAAATTTCAGCATCGAGACCGCTCTTCTCCCTTAGCATAGTCTTTCGTGGCACCACAATGCACTTTCAAAGGATCTATATAAAAATATGGTGTGGTCGTCGCATCCGGGTTTTTCGTTTTTCTCTTTTTCTCTTTTTTTTTTGTTTCTCCCTTTCTTTTCTTTTCATTTAACGACAGAGGAAAGGGGGTTAGTATGCGACGATTGTGTTTCTTTTTTTCTTTGGTCCCGTCCCACGATAACGTCGGTACTCGCAAAACATTTTCGAAAGTTCAGGACGCGATCACCTGGGTCCGAGCTCGTCGGACTCGCGTTATTTTTTTTTTTTTCCCTCGCATCCTTATCGGTGGTAAAACCGCGACCGCCAAGGCCGCTTGCACGAGTACCGGCAAAACCGGCGACGGCACCGAATTTTCTGCCAAAGACAATGTAACTTCCATGTATTTACATTATTACCGTCGACAAAAAAAAAAAACACCGATGCACCAGTTTCGCCGGTCGGATGCAAACGGCCTAAGTGGCTGTCGATTCGAAAGAGATGCAAACGCTTCTAATTTCTTTTCTCCCTTCGTTTTAGAAAGCATACATATTTGTAAAGTGCACGTTCCGAAAACCCTCCCGACGACGTTAAGAAAATATAACCGACTAAGTGTAATTTAATCTCCCCGTTAAATATCGTCGCTTAACGTCGTAGCGGTTCCCTAAAAAGAACTTGTACGCAGGATATCGTCGCCGTTAACCTTCGCGTTATAAGTGTACTCGTACACTACGCTCGGAGCGCTACCTTAGAAAACAACTGTCAGAAAATGAGTAAAGCCATTTCGCGCGTTTACTTGCCCGGTAGAAAAGAATTAGTTACTCCTATTAGGCTGTTGGTCTTCTTCCACCGACCGCGCGGTAACAAGCAATACTGGAAATGTCTCGCGATAAAGGCCGACTGGGGCCGAACGCAACGCCGAGGGGCATCGGGCTCTCCTCTTTTCCCTCCCCCCCTGTCCCGCGCGCGTGCGTGTGTGTTTACATATATATATTTATATATATATACCCGGACGAACTAAATGACTAGAAATACGATCGCTCTCCCTTAACGTTACTTTTTACAGAGTTTTATATAAAATCACATGATATTTAACAGGAGTACACTCGTTAACTATCTGTAACTATTCGCGTTACAAGCAACGATCCGCGCCTCGAGGGTACTCGAAGGGAATACTCGAGTGTACTCGGAGCTTCCGCCATTATGGCGTCTCGAATTTCGCCGAAGGAGCGGATCCGCCGCCCTTACCAGGGAAGGCGCGTATCTCCGTTGCCTTCGTGGGAACGACTCCTCGGAAATTGCCGGCAATTCGAGCCGTCGCTATCCGGATCCAAGGGACCTCGTACTCGGAGAACCGAACCGATCTACTAAGTTAAGTCAACGTTTCAGGCACAGTTTCGGGCCGGTAATAGTCCGCAGCGGGTATCGGGACTCTCGCATCCCTTGTCCGCGTACCATCCGTCCTCGTCCCTCCCACGAAGTACCTCGCTCGAGCCTAAAATCTGGTACTTTGCCTGGTCGAGCGGCGATGAAAAAAGTCGACGTCCCAAGATACGGCTTAAAGTCGAGCGCTTCGACCTTCCCCCCCGGTATCATGGTTAACGCGAAAATCGAACGAGTTATATAAAAGACGGAACACCCTAATCGTCCCCGATATCGCGTACCTACGACAGTATATAAACGGTAAGGTTACGTTGATCCCTAGTTTTAAAACCTATTTGTTCCGCCGAGGAATGCGACTTTTTCGCGATGAGCCGGGTACGCACCAGAGCGGGAACGCGGAAGAGGCGAAGCGAACATACGAGGGTGGACGATCAATCGAAGTGCGGCAAACTGCCTCCGATCATTCGTTACCCTATCCAGGACCGTTCGAATGCGATTCGTGAAGATGTCCGGTCATCGCCTCGTACGCGTTCGGGTTCGGATATGTACCCGGACGTGGGCGGGCGACTCGAGGTGGTCCGATGTCGAGCGGAAACGTAGGAGGCGTGCAAGAGTTCGCGCCGAACGAGACAGCCCGTTGGTTTGTTCGTTAGTAGGAGTGCTGCGGCTGCAAGGACGACACTCAGCTGTGCGCGGAGGTGTCGGAACTTTGGCTGTTCCCCAGCCCCCCCATCCCGGGCTGGGAGATGAATCTGCTGGCCGACTGCGAACCCGTGGGGATGATGGCGTGCACGATGCCGTGGTGCCTGGCGGTCGCGGTTCCGGTTCCGGCACCGGATCCGGTAGCCGATCCGGCTCCCAGACCACTTCCTAGACCCGTTCCCAGACCAGTCTCGGGGACCAGGTGAGGCGTCCTGCTCGAAATCGGTGGCAGCACCGGACTGGCTGGCCAAGGATGCAGCGACATGGAACTAGGCGCGCTGGGGACGCTGCGAGAATGTGGAAGTAGCGGCGAATTCGAGAGACCGGTCAGCGGGTGTGGGGCGGACCCCACGACCGCACCCCCCATGACGGCGTCGCCGATTCCGCAACCCCCCGCGAAGCCGCCGCTGCCGCTCGACATAGCTATCGCCACGGCCGTGTCGGGGTGCAGGAAATTCCGCCGTTGGTCCAGACGTTCCGAGTGCTGCGTCATACTCCTCGTCAACGCCTCCGGCAATATCTCCAGCTGTTCCTGCAGCGACGTCAGCTTCTCGTCCAGGTTGATCAATCGCTCCTCCAGCGCGTCCTGTCGCGTGCTCATGTCCGACACTATCTCGTACACGGTGTTCTGCGTCTGCGCGTGCAAGAAATTTAATTACTATCCCGGAAATCGTGAATCCCGAGGGGACGTACCTTCGCCATATCCGTGATCGTGTTTGCGTTGTCCATTAATTTTCGTTGATCCATCTTGACTTTCCTGAGTCTGAAATATGAATGTTCCTCAGTAGGCGCTAAGCTTGGGGTTATGATTTTCCTGCTTTTTATAGTACGTGACAGTAGTCGTATTTATAGAGTGGGCTGGCTCGGAGCTTCGTACTTACGCATAAATGGCTAAAAGAAACTTTCGTTGGTGAGTCCGCACGCGACCTGGATTCACTCGCTTTACCAGTCTGGTGTGCTTATAAATGAGCCAGGTTTCTCGAAGGACGTTCGCAGCGGCGTTCTTTAACTGGACAGAATAGGGTAAAAGCGTGTATATATACGTGGTACCCGTGATCAGGAATAATATAGCCGTAAACCGAGGTTAAGTAACGAGAGATCACCCTTTTCGTCAGCTGCGTGTCCATCATGAAATTGTGCACGTGTTTCTCGGCCCTCGTCAGCTCCAATTTTCTGGAAACAACGGCGACCAGTAACGCGGTACAGCCAGCTCCCTGGAAAAACAAGAATAGAAAAGGAGGAATTAAACGTCGATCCGCCCTCTCCCCCAGGTTTCGGCTTGAGCATATCCGTATGTCATCAATGTTATTTACGGTTACTTTTAAGGAACATGCTGCATAGACGTTTCTTTCATTAGTATGCATTAGTTGTTGCTATTTAAGTGCAGCCCCGCCGCCTCGTCCGACTCGTACGAGATGCAACGTTAGCGACCGCGGCGAGTTTTAAAAATCAACAGAGATCCTTAGGAGTGCACGTTCTCAAAAATAAACGAGAGTAAACGTTCAAGGGAGAGGACACAAGAGAGTTGTCATTCGTATCACTTGGCAGAAAAACACTGGATGCAAAGGCGACATTATTCGCAAAGGTCTCTAAAGGACTAACAATAAGGAAAGCACTCGTAAGTGAGACCTTAGACGGGAATTTAAGCGACGGCAGTTCGGAACTACGCTACGTCCCCTGAAACGTGGAACGATATCGCGTTTGTCGGCAAAAGAACGAATTCAGAAGGAAACCGGATGCGCAACCCTCGACCATCCGGTCTGCCGGGGCAGGAGTCGGAGGACTGGGAGACCGTCCTTTCTTTCGCAACAAAGGTCCTCCCGACGTCGATTCCGGGACGAGATCGGGGGATAAACGACTGTGCAGAACCACCCTTATTACCGTAGAATCTTTCTCCTGGATACTTTCTTAACATTTAAAACTCCCCTACTCTCCGTTACCCTACTTAATTAACGCTAGAACTACCGGCCGATTTTTTTCAGCCGTGATGGGCCATCCGAAAGCAGCCATTTTGACTGAATTTGGTAGATCCAGGGTTAACGCATCGCGATCAATTCCTTTCGTTGCCATTCCTAAACGGAACGAGACCGATGCGAAGTCTCCCCCGGGCCGTCGACCGGGAGGACCGGGAGGTAGAGGTAGAGACTCCTTCGTCGGGCGATTCACCGCGAGGACGCCCAACGGGCAAGATAAATACCCAGGAATACCTACGAAGGTACAACAAGCCGCGCTAAGCGAGGGATCGATCAATTGATTGCGCAAAACGTACAAAGGTAGTATATAATATCTATGTCATACAACAAGAAGCTTCTAAGGCGAACAATCGACGTAGACGTGGTGACAATGAGAAATAATAGCTGTACAACACGGTATAGTTGCGAAACATCGAAATACAAGAAGAAAGGTACAAGGTGTTAAAAGATAACGAAAGAGAAAGAGAGAGAGATAGAGATAGTGAAAGATATATAGAGAGAAAGATATAGGAGAGCGGTTATAGGATAGAAGGAGAAGAAAGAAAAATTACAGACGCAAGGGACTATCAAGCGGAACGAAGACAGACTCATGGTACCCAGGTGGAATCGTTGCCGACGTCGCCGAGGTGTCATTCCGATACGAATCGACGACGCGAAGGTTGCCATAGTTGGTTCCGACTAGTCCTTCGCACTCTTCTCTTGGTCTAGACCGAGGCTAGGATCAGCTAGAGGCAGTAGACAAGTCTTCGGTCAATCTTGCTCGCGCTCCGTCTTTCTTACTCGCGAGTCGCGTCCCGGACCGACTCGAACTCGACGGATCGCGGGGAATTTTCTCGAGAGAGACGAGTGCTCGACTCCGGGGACCGACTCTCGCCGACCCCACCTGGAGGAACACCCGAGACCTGACGAGTCCTGCCGCAGCGTCGGACCGAAAATTCAGCCCGTCGTTTCTGCCGCCGCTTGAATTTCCGACGGCCGGACGCCAACGGGGAAGGCGAGCCGACCGACTCCCGGGGGAGTCCACGGCGACGCGAGGACGACTTCTTCCGACCTTGCCCCCGCCCTAGTCTCGTCCCGGTCCGGCTCTGATCCCGCTCTTTGGACTCTAAAACGTCCTCGTGTTCCTCGAACACGTTTCCACGAGCCCGTGGATGGAGTCGTATCGAGTATCGAGTATTGCATCGAAAATCCAACCCGATACGACTCGCTGTACAATCTACATCGAGAAAGAGAAAGATTCACCGAGCAAATGAAATATATCCTCGGACGGTACCAAACAAATATTCGGTTAATTTCATAGAATTAACTTAATTACTTCACTCAAATGAACTGAAGCTGTCGATATTTTGGAGGAAACATTGCATCCGATTTATTCGAGTTCATTTGAATCGAGTAATTATTCTTTGAGTTTACGATATATTCCTGTGGTACTATTCGGAGAAATATTTCTTTGCTTCGAGGAGATTCTTTTCTCGGTGGGACGAAGCGACTCGTCAACGCGATCGCTTAACTATATCCAACGAATATGCGTCGAGCTTACCATCATCCCCGTGGACACGGCAATTCCCCTTCCGCAGTACGTGTTCGGGACGATGTCGCCGAATCCGACGCTCAGGAACGTGATGGCGATCAGCCACATGGCGTTGAGGAGATTCGCGTGTTCCTCGTCGTGGAACCTGTCGACGAGACTCGAATAGAATTATCGATAATTAAGAGCGACGGTTAAGGTGACGTGAAAGTGGCGTCGAAGAGGTTTCGTTTATGAAACATTTTCCCCCGAATTGGGTTCCGAATCGTTTTAAGCGTTCCAACATGAATATGGAGACTATAACGAGGGTCCCGAAAGGAAGAAATGAAAATCCACGGACCTCTCGCACTGTCTCAAGGTCCAGGAGGCGATGATCCAGAGAGACACCATGAAGACCAGGAGAACGGTCCCTGGGCAAATGGTCATCAGCGTCTTGAGGACGAACCTCGTGTTGAAGTTGATGCGATTCAAGGCTCCTATACTCCTCGAGGAGGCGTCGGTGAACAGCTTCGAGTGCAAGAGCATCACTCGGCAGATCAGGTAGAGCCTCAGGAACATCGGGAGGGAGAGGGTGACGTCGTATGGCACCCACTTGGAGCCCATGTCGCCAGTCTTGTTAACGAGTTTGGTCGTCCATAGAAAATAATATTCTCCTGGTATCGGGTGAATCGCGCAGATGATCAGTTCGATACAGATCTGCGACATTCGTTGCCAGGTCATAGCGATCCGCCAGTCGTCGGCGCAGTTATCGATCATAAATAACTGGAAAATGAAGTCGTTGAGTCGAGGCTCGGGATAGACTACGTCGATGCAAGTTGAGACGTCTGACCGACATCCCGACAGGCAGCTCGCACTGGGCTCGCGACTAATTCCATACACTCGGAAAGAAAGAAAAAGTATCACCGAACCAAGAGATATTTCTTCAAAATTGCTTCACGCATCGTTTCTCCGGAATGACGACAATTTATTTGAGTTTACCCGAGCCAAATGATTATTTTCTGAATTCAGGATATATTTCTTCGGTTCAGGGAATTCTCTTTTCTCAGGGTAGAAACGCGTTCTTAAATGCGAAACGGAGGAATCCGAGAGTGTCCCGGTCGGGTTTCTCGATCGATGGGCACGAGCACGGAATCGCAGCTTCCGACGATCGATCGATAGATCGATCGAAGTAAGCGAGCTGCAGCGGGCTAAGTCGTGGGTCGACGACTCCGGGTCGGCCGCTTACCTGAACTTCCAAGGCGTGATAAGCGAATATGAGGCCAAGTAGTATCACAGTAGACACGGAGATCAGGGTCTTCAACGCCGTCGAGTAAAACGAGGCCTGGAACAGGACGGAAAACGGTAAGGACGGCGACGCGACGATTCGAGTACTCCGCGGACTCGAGTCACTCGAATTCGAGGACGTAGCCCACTCGAGATCCGGAGTCCGAGGCGAGTCGGCGATTATAAGCCTCGTTTACCCGAGTAGAGTTTCTAGGTAAGAACTAAGTGCCATCGGAATATAAACCCCTCGAGGCGGCGACAATAGAGAAGAAAAGAAAAAAAAAAGAAATACCAGCGGTTAATCTGCAAGGAATATCAGAGGCGGAGTGATACCCTCCTCTCCCTCCGGCAGTCTACCGCGGAAGAGAATAAAACAAAGAAAAAGTTCACGGTACCAAAGAATTTTTCAAATTTCAAACTAATAATTATTTGACCCAAGTAAACCGAAATAAATTGTCACGATACAATTTATTCCAGCTTATTCAAGTAAAATAATGATTTTCTTTTTTTTTAAGTTAATGGAGCATCGGTCCGACGCGTTCTCCTCACCTTGGTGTAAACGCCAGCACTGGACAGTTCGTTTTCCACGACCATGACGATGATGCCGAACATGCCCATGACAAGGGCGTAGTCGCTGATGCGTTTGCGCTTCTCGAAGAGGGCTTTCCGGCGTCCAAGGCGATACCCGACGTTGGGCTTGTGCTTGGAGGCAGGGCCGATGCTGCCTGAGGGTCCCTTGGTGGACCCGCCGCCGAGGCAGCGTTCCTCGACGTAGCGAGGGTACTCGGAGTGTACGCCGACCAGGGCGATGCCGGCCTCGTCGGCGCTGCCCCTGCCGCCGGGGCCGGCGCCTCCGACCTGGACGCCGCTGGCGCCGGGCCCTCCGCCTGCCGCCATGCCGCCGCCCCCGGCGCTGGCGCCGCCGCCTCCACCGCAGCTCTTCATCGCTCCGGGAATCGACAGAGTCGAGACTGGCTTCCGCAGCTGCAAGACACCGGGGCGCTCTGAGACCAAGGGGGGGAATGGGGGTGGCTTCGCGCCGGCCCTCGGAGCGGTCCCGCGAGAGCGATCGACGCCGAAAGCGAGCCGCGGCCTAATTAGCGGCGGCTTACGCGCGTTATTGCCGTACTTACCAACCGCTCGCGCCACGTGCCGCGCGTTCATTCGCGAGCTGCGCCGTCAGCTGATCTCGGCGCCGAGGACGGATTTCGGCCGCCCAAGAGTCTAGGGACAACGGGGAGGACCGGGGCACGTCCCCCGATCGAACGCGGTCTGCGGTTTCCGTCCCTCTTTTCGACGCCGGACGAGGTCCTTGTTTCGTATCGAACGATCGGCGGAGGACTCGGCTCCTTTCCCGAGATCTCGGACCCCGAGTGGTTCCCGTTCCAGGACTCTCGTTCACCTCGCCGCTACCCCCCGCGCTCCCGAGCGCGCCTCGCGGACCGACCCGTCGCGCATGCCGACTCGACGGCGACTCGGAGGACGGCGCGAAGCGCTCCTTTGCCGAGGCTGCACCCCGGCGCGATAGAGTTCGCTAATTTAGCGGGCAACCTGCCAACCGCCTCGATGAAAACCCTCCTGCTATTTTAATCGGGGCGGCGAGTCGCGAATCGATCGTCGCCGAGCCGTGGCCCGCCTTCGAAATTCGAGCGATCGACTCTTCGCCGAGGGCCTCGCGGAGGGCCGTCGTTGAAGTTCAAGCGATCAACTTCCGGTAACGCTCGTGGGATGGATCGGACGACTCGCGGGGAGGCTCGTCAGAGAAATTCGAGCGATTATTCCAGGCGATTAATTCGAGGGATCAACTTCCGGTAACGTTTGGGCGTCTCATGGTTCACGGAACGGGCCAAAGGACCGACCGCCGAATTTCGAGCGATCGACACCCGCGACTCGTATAGACTTACCGCCACCGCGCTCGGAGCCCGCAGTCGGAAGGCGGGGCTCTCGCGAGGAGGAGATCGGGATCGGTCGGGACCCGCGGCGGACTCGCGAGAGCCGGGCGGGTCCGGCGACCGGGCCGCGGGCTCGCCGACTCTCCCGCTCCCCCGCGGACCGACCGGAGCTCCTTCGGGAGCCCGAAGGACGAGGGCGAGACCAAGGGGAGGGGCGGGACGCGTCGCGGCACGGCCGTCCAGGCGCCGTGGCGCTCCCGACAGGACTGCGTCGATCCCGCTCTTCGTCCCCCTTGGCGCCCGCCCGCATCCTTTCCCCCTCTACTCGCATCCTCGCGCTGTCGCGAGCGCGCGACCATCCAGTCGAGAGTCGCGCCGATTGCCCGGGCGAGCGGCGCCGCCGAGGCGCCTCTTCCGGTACGAGGGGCGCGCGCCCCTCGAGTGGGGCGAAATCACCATAGAGAACCGAAGGTCCTCGCTCGCGTCTCCGCGAGTTTCGGTCGGACCAGCGCTCGAATCCCGAGTCGTCGTCGAGACGTCGCGAAGAAAAGGACGCGTCGGCCGAGGGGCGAAATCACCAATAAAAAAAATCGAAGATCCTCGTTCGCGTCTTCGCGAGTCGTCGCGAGGCAATCGACGCGTCGGTCTTGGTGCAAGCATCCCCTCGAGGGGAGCGACATTGTTGTTAAAAAAGCGAAGGTCCTCGCTCGGGTCTCGGCGAGGTTCGGGGGGACCAGCGCTTAAATGCCGAGGAAATCGACCCGAAGGCGTCGGTCGAGGTGCAAGCGCGACGCTACTCGCCGGTGGTGCGGACCGAGACGTGCACGAAGCCAGGGTGCAGGAGCTTGCGGGTGACGGGGCTCGCCGTTCGGGGTGGAGGGTGCTAGAGAAGCAAAGTCGATCGTGATTCCCACCGTCTTGACGTAGCTGAGGGTCTCGGCGGTGGCATCGGTGAGGGCCCGGCGCAGTCTGGACCGCCGGAGCTGGGCGAGCGTGCGTGGGCAGAGAACGACGCCCTGCGCGCCGGAACCCGAGCCCGAGCCCGACGCCGACGCCGAGGCCGAGCCGGAACTCGCCACCGGGGCAACCGGGGCCACCGGGGCCGGCGGAGTCATCGCTGCCGTGCTCGGCGACGATTTGCACCACCACGGGAACTGAGTGTTTTACATCAAGGAGGAGATCGCATTACCACCACTCCGATACCTATGGCATCTACTCTACTCTACGACGCGGGGCGGGACTACCTCGTTAGGATGCGACCGGACGAGTTACCCCCCAGATCTACCTCTATTCGACATAATTGCTATTTCTGCTCGAATGACAGCGGGTTTACAAAATTGGAAACATCGGGTCCGACGCCGATCGGTGATCCTCCTCGCGCATGCGTACCGAGAGCTATTTTCTTGAGAGAAAAGATGACTCCTTGTTCCGGATGTGAGTTCAACCGGTTGACTGGTCGAGGGGAAAAGACTATCCTACATGGAGAATTTTCGGAAACTAAGTGGATCGGTTTGCTCTTCGAATCCTTGGGTATAAAATTCATTTGTCCGAAAGGAGAGCGGTAATTCTACTCGGCGGGAACTGGCTTACATAAGGATAAGGATCGTCGGCAAAGTTGAAGAATGAGGAAATCAGCGGTTGGTACACGCGAGTTGACATTGAAATCGAGGATTCGTATCGTCGCGGGTTTCGTTGGCTTTGAATTTACGGGAAAGGAGGTCGACCCGCGCGAATTTTCGGTTCCTGACGGGGAATAAACGGACCGGGATTCGACGTCGGCACATCCTGGCGGGTTAACTTATCTGCGAGCCTTCCGACAGGATTCGCCGTTGACGCTAACGCCTTGGAGGGAAAAACTATTGGAAAAGAAAAAATGGAAAGGAATTAAAACACGTACGCAAACACACACCCAAGCCATAGACAAGCATTTGACGGAACGGCGAAACGTACGGCAACGGAGTCGGTAACGGAAGACACATGTACCGGTTAGAGAGATACCGAAAACACAATACGTACCTCCAGAGATGACAACGTCCGCTACGTTCAACGAGAAAGCGATCTAGAGTGCCCACGATACCGAGTAGGACGCGCCAAGTGGTCGCTGCTCGTCGTTAGACGAACACGAAGACAAGAAACTACATTTGCGCGTTAAGCCTAAAGCTTCCTCGACCGATTCCTGGCAAACCGAAGGAGGAAACATCCGAGAAACCTCGTAACGAACGTCGACGAACGCGATCGCCACCACGTCTACGGGAAACGTAAAGAGGTACGCGTCGTCGCGGTCCTCGAAAGGAAGCGGTGCCTCAAAAGGAAAAAAAAAAGAAATGACAACCAGGACCTTGCCCAAGGAGTGACGATCTTCGAGGAAGATCCTACGACGTACACTGAGCGAAAAAAATGACTTTCCACGTAAGAAAACATAAAAACAACAAAAGGAATTCTCGCTAGGAAAAAAGATTTACTTCCTATCGGTATAAATTTCAGGGTTGGGATGAAATAAAATACAACAACATGGGGAGAAGAAATTTCTTTGGAAGGAGGTATTAATATCGCTGACGAGAAAAAATTCACGTTGCGTAGAAAATGAATTTTTTCGCCCAGGGTAAGGTACGACCTGGGGTCTGTTGGCCGCGGGTGTAGAGTGGACTCGGTCCAGAGAACCAAGGACCGTTTTCTCCGGAATCGAGCCTTACCTGTCGAAACTGTCGGATCCCGCCGTTGATCCGCAGCGAGTCGGCCGCGATGCCGGCGATCCCGTCGCCGGGTTCCCTGAGCTGTCTGAGGGAGGCGGCGCTCGGCGCCCCGGCGGCCGCGGCGTGTAACGGACAGCAGCACCCTGAACAGCAGCACATACTCGCCGACTCGGGCTGAGAGCTCTGCCGGATAATCCTCGAGCTCGGCGAGCCGGTCGTCACGAGGACGTGCGGCGTCTGTCCCGCCAGCTGACAAGGACAGCAATGGTGCGCCCCGCTCCTGACGCTTTCCCTGCGAACGGAAAGAAGGCACTTTTCTAAGTACATCGTCGGACACAAGTGCCTTCCCGGCATGCACTACGCTGTTAAAAAAAAAAAATACTATAATTCATAACGTTGCTTTTATCCAACCTCGGTACCCGAATTTCGCGTGACATTTTCAAGACGACGTTCGACGATCTTGCAACGCATTATAAATCTAGTATACCGATTGTCCGCTACCAAGACTTGGGTGATGCGGCGTTTAACGCGTTAAAGGGTTAACAGCGGTATGATCTAAGAGAAGCGGTCCGGCGTGGTCCTTCGGGCGGTGGGTGGCCTCACCTGGAGGTGCTGCGCGCGAGGTAGAGCGCCGAGGAGGGAGCCAGGGAGTCCCTGCGGTCGCAGCGACACTTGCTCGAGGGTGGGTGCACCGGTTGCCGGGTGAGGCTCGGCCTTGCCGTCAGGTAGGTCGTCGCGTGCGGCGGCAGCGGTGGCGGCGGCGGAACCGCGACCGGCTGCTGCTGGGAGTCGCGTTCGAGCCTACAGTCGAGCTCGATGTCCGGTACGGAGCGAGTCGCGGGCTCCTCGTTGGTAGCGCTCTCCTCGGAGCCGCCCAGCCCGGAGCCCGAGAGCCGCGGCGACGTGACCAGGAAGGTGGCGCGGTCCTGCCGCGTCAGGACGGGCTTCGCGCTCGGCACCAGGATCGGGGGTGGCGGTCTGCTGAGGAGCGCAGCGGTCTCGTCGGCGCTCCCATATTCCGCAGGACCAGCTCCGCGTTCCGCCTCCGCCTCCGTTTCTGCCTCCTCCGGCCCGTCGACGGTCCTGTGTTCCTTCTCGCTCCTCGATTCGCCTCCACCCCCGCCGCCCCCGCTGCCGGTGTTCGCGTTCATCCTTGCGACGAGCCGGCCCGACTGGCGGGTGCCGGGATGCAGGTTACGTCGAGGTCACCTGAAATGGGAACGCTTGTAAATGGAAGTAAATGGAAATATATATAATATAACGGGATGACATAAAAAAAATAAAAGTTAAATTTCACGACCAGCAGTCCTGGGGAAACGCCAGAGCTCCACTCCTTGGCGTGGAATAAGTCGTTAAGAAAGTGTCATATATATGAAAAAGTGAAAATATGAAACTTTTTTCCAAACTGCGTGCACCGAATAATCTGAAACCTTAACCCGTAATCGTGGAGGTCCCATCGAAGGGCTGGAAACTGGGGAAATTTTAAATTCCAAAAAAAATATTTTATTCACCCCGGACAGGGAGCAAAAGAATTTCTTTTTAAAAAAATGATATTTTGCGCGATTCAAGGCCTTGATTAGGACTTTCGGGATTACGCGCTGAAGTTCCGAATTATTCGGTGCGCGCAGTTTGGAAAAGAGTGTTATTAATATTTGGACGTTTTGTTATATGTGGTATGATAGTTTCGTACCATCTTAAGAGTCAATAAGTTATCTAGTGAGTCGAGGAGGTGAAAATCCCTCTTCCTTGTACTCACGCGTTTTTTGGTTCACTTGGTGTTAATTTATTCGACTTCGTTATCTCGACGCTTCTCGATTGTAAATGAAATCAGGCGTGGAAGGGGCGGGACTCTCGTTAACCCCGTCGCGCATCGGTTCGAGTTAAATTTCCGCATGCAACGAATACGTCGGCCGCATCGCGGGGCGCTCCAAGTGGCAAAGAAACAGCTCTTCTACGAGCATAAGCCACGTACTCGTGACCGCAGTGTCCCAATTATGCGACATTGTCTCTCAAAGGGCAAGGTACAAGATTTCGCTGAAGGACCCCGGCATATATGGAGCGGGCACGTACTCGAAAACATTATTTTCAGATGAAATTTACGAGGTCAACCGGTCCTGCCGTTCCGCGCACGCGCGGCACTTTAATACCAGCCGACGTAGAAACGAGGAGTCGCGGTTGCTGGAGAAGTGCGTTCATTATTCACGTTTCGATAAAGTTTAGTAACCTCCCCCATCCGTGGGGAGGTAATCGAATTTCCACCCGGTATCCCGAGTGCCGAGTAAAATATAACCGCCGGGTTAATCCCAACTTACGGAAGTCACTGCTTCGAAAGGTCCTCCAATTCCGCTGGCGGCGGAGCCTGTTGAAATCCGGAGAGCACCGCACATTCTCGCCGATGAGCTTGTCGGAATCGATATGCCGGATCCGCCGATGTGTCATTGAACGTGCACCCTCTAGGCTACCTGCAATGCAATAACGAACCGTGTAAATTCCCGCCGGTTAACGAGCGAGACCTATATTTATCGTCGTTTTACGGCATTTCGCGGGGGTCGCTCTCGAATCGATCGATCGAACCGACGTCGTTCGACTCGGTCGGAATCCGCGGGCCGTAAAGAGGAAAGGAGAGAAGAAGAAGCCCGCGAGAGACGACGATCCTCGGGCGCGGCTTCGGGTCACCTCGACTCGACGAGGTCGAGAGTCGAGGGGATGGACCGCTCGTCGTTCCGTCCGAGAGGTGACGTCGACCTGGCAGGAGCAAAAAGACTGACTTTGAGTCGGTAGTCTAATCGAGGCAGGCGGAAGGGGAGGAATTCCGACGAAAAAATTCCGGCGAAGCGATCCAACTCGGTCGGACCGCGCAATGGTCCCTGCCGTCCTCGAGCTTTTGAAAGGCCGATTCGGACGTACCCGCGAATCGCACGGAATTTCTGCAGAAGTATAGGAATATTCCGAAAGACTACTTCGTGTACATGCATTACATAGGTGCAGGGGCGCGCACTGCACGGATACGGCGCGGACGCGGCAGGGTCCTCGTCGTCCTCCGGACGGCGAGGGCGCGCCGGCACGGAGGCCCCCGGTGGCCCGAGGTCAACGTACATCGGTGCACCGACCGCTTCCGCCGACTCCCCCGTCGGAGGGCACTTTCGATCGGCGCACTCCGCGGCGCGCCTCGGTCCGCGGAGGCGAACGACCGGGCCGGGCCTGCCGCTCCCTTCGGCTGGTCCGCGAGAGTCGGCCTCGAGCGAGCGCCCGACCGAAGAAAGCCGCGTCAGCGGCCAGCCCGCGCGCGCGAGCTCCGAGTCCAACCCGCGCGACCCCCTACCGACTACTGAGGAAAACGTGGTTGCCCCCGGCGACGCGACGCGGCCGGCCCCGCGCAGACTCGGCCGAGTTCGGACGCCCTCGGCCACCCTCGGCCGCCTCGCGCGCCTTCGATCCGACCAAGGCGTCCTAACGACCGGCCGAGACCGGCCGCGACCGTCGCCACCGGCCGGCGGGCTTCCTCGTTTCCCCGGCAACCTCCGCCGAGGAAATACAAACTCGAGCCGCGAGCCGAATCGAACCGACCCCTCGGATACATTTTTTAACGGCGCTCTTTCGATACTCAAAACGAGTTCCTCCACCTGGGAAGTATCTCCGCCTACCTCGGATGCCGAGCGTCCCCGACGCGGGGATCGATAAAAGAGACCGTTTCCGAGTCCGCTGCGCGGATTCGCGTTTCCGGACGGAGCGCGGTCACGTGGCCGGTCGTCCTCCGCCCTCTGGGACGCCCCGCGGAAATATTAATACCCTCGTGCCCGTCCCCGAAAACTCTTCTCGAGAATTAAAAATGAAAGGGGGACTCGCGATCTCCTCTCCCCTGGGAACCGTTTTTATGAAAACCAACTCGAGGAGAGAGGGCGGGACGTCCTCCACTCTGGGTAATCAAAATTGCGCATATAAATGGAAACGTCGAGGCTAGCGCGCCGGTTCTCTCGCCGCTGGGAATCGAAAACGGGGTCGCCTTCCCGCCACCACTGATTATCATCGAGATACTCGGTTAATTGGAACGATGTAATAACCGACGAAGCGTTAAACGAGCCACTCGCGACGGTCGCGGGCGAGGGACCGGAGGAATGCGCCGGAGGCGAGGCCGACCTCCGGGTTTGGCGTCGGCGTCGCGCCACATGCGAATCATGCGTCTTAATTAAGCGCGTGGCATGGGGTGGAGTGCTCGATCGGTCGCGGAGTTGAGCGATAACGCGCGCTCAGCGGGGGGGAGCGGGAAGATGCGCGGGGGACAGCTGGAGCGGAACGAAGGCTCGGCGGGCTCGCATCGGCGAGCGACACGCCAGTCCGGAGCCGTCCTCTTGTCTCGGCCGACGCCGTCGACGCCGTCGACGCCCCGGGTCCGACTCACCGAGAGCGCGGCCTCCCCCTTGCGGAGGTCGGCCGAGGCCCCGAGAGGTCTAAGAGGAGAGATAGAGGAAAAAGGTAGGTCAAAGAGGAGAAAAAGAGGAAACGGATAGGTCGACCCTCCTAAGAGCGGAGGAGGCGGAGGACGACTTTCCGCGATCTCTCAAAAGTTAAACCACCCTCCTCGAAGACCTCGGGGAGGTTTTTTAAATTCCACGAGAACTTCCCGGAGACCGAGCGAAATGTCGCCCGGGGGGATCTTTACTTAGGAGTGCTTGGCGCGTCCCGACTGGAGAATATTTTTATTTATGTTTTCGGGATCGAGCGAGATATATATATTTTTTTTTTTATTGAAAGAAAATTCTAAGTTGCTGAGGTAATTGGGGATTTTAGTGGAGTGGAGGAATCGCAACGTGGCGCGACCCACGTGGTGCTGGAGAGTCGTTGAAATTTGGTCCGGCAGGGTGACGACGAGGTTGCGTATGTAGATACGACGCCGTTCGAAAGAGATGAATTAACGACTGAGGAGACGAGGACCGACTCGACGTCGGTTGGATGGGAAGAAAGAGGGGGCGGAGGGAGGTGGGAAGCCGAAGTACGAGGAAGACGAAGAAAGCGGAGCTTGTCTCTCGCGGACGTGGAAGCTGCGGGCTCCAGATAACGCGGGCGTTGCGCTCCCTTCCCCCGACCGGATCTCCTCGTCTCCGCGTGGAGAGCACGAGGGCGTCGGTCGCGTATCGCGGACTTCTCGGCGTCGATCGGTTTCCGCTTCTCGGCAGTAGGCCGAGATCACGGAAATCGAACGCTCTTCTTCGCGGAATCCGAAGACCGCGGGAATATCGGCGTCACGTAGTGACCTCCTTCCGCGAGCCTCGCGTGTCGACGATAAGGACGTATTTGTAACGCCTCTCGCGATATCTGACTTTATCTCAGGGCGGTAACGCGGTGCTTCCGGAAACCGCTGCGACCCCGTAGGCGGCTCGTCCAAGCCTCCGGATCTCGCAAGTGGTCCACGGCTGGTCATTGCGAAGCTGCTCGCGAGCCCGCCACTGCGGAGTCGACGTCGACCGTCGTTTAACCGATATCGACCGGCGTTCGACCGATATCGACCGTCATCCGACCGACCCCGACCGTCATCAACCTCCACCGGGAGTGCAGCCGACCGACTCCGGGAGAGGCGGCGACGCCGCGCCAGCATGAGGTCCTCGCCATCGACGACCGCGGTCGTCCTGGCGGCCGCGATCCTCCTGCTGACGGTGGGCCGCGCCACTCCGGACACCCGCCGCTCCGCGGCCGGACAGCCGCTGGACCGCAACGACACCCTGCGACCGCCGGCACCTCTCGGGTAAGCACTCTCAACCTCGCTTTTATCGAATCGGACCACTCTCGAGGATCTTCCTCCCGGTATTCTTTTTTTTTTTCGCGGAATCGAAAACGAAAAAAATTTTAAATTTTCGTCGGGATCGAAAGTGCTCGGTTTAGGCGTCATACCACAGGAGCGAGTATTTATATCTTATCTAAAAGGATGCGTAGATTTATTAAATTATTATATCAATGCTCCCACGGTGAGAGTCGCTTTATTAAATCGAAAATAGTTGGAAGTAACGTTTAGGTAAAAATTCCCGTTCTTCGACGAGTCGAGTGCCAAAGTGTCAAGGGTGCGGAGGGAAGGTCCGATTCCGCGTTTGGACCGCTGTCGACGATAGTGGGCAGAAAACGGCGGAGCGTAAAGGCCAAGAGCCGATACGCTATCGTCCATTTATCATAGTCTATCGCGCGTTCTTCGCTCTTGCGCTCTACTTGTTCCCGTTCGAGGCGCGGCCCGGTGCGGAACGGCCGGACGGAAAGATCCCGATAATTCCTCTTCCAGGCCGAACGTCTGCAGGACGAGGCACAAGATTTACTGCTGTCCCGGGTGGGTCAGGAAACCCGAGACCGACCTCTGCATCGTCCGTAAGTACGAGGGGGCCTCGAAACTCGGTCAACCGATTCGAGACTCGATCGCCTCGAAGCCTTCAACCTCTGACCGTGACTTTTGCGCCGGCAGGAACGCATCGCGATAAACCGACCGGGCAACAGCGAGAAGAAGCGAGCGGATGTCGATTGCAGTGCATCAATGGCAACTGCGTAAGCGGAAGATGTCAATGCAGACCAGGGTATCGGGGTAGCGTCTGCAACGAGCGTAAGAAATTTTTCTCCACAAAGTCGATCCGCTCCATCCGACATCGAGCCGCGATATGCGTCCTCTTGCAGCTATCCATACCTCTATCCCTATCCAGCGTCTATGAAATGTGCTGCACCGGGTTGCATACGGTGCATCCAGCTTTAAGCGGCGCCGGTCCGTCTCTTATACCACGAATCTCCAGAGAATCGACCATGCTATCGTGTATCGACCATGTTATCGTTGTATCCAGCGATCTGCCGGGAACCGTGCCTGAATCGAGGAAGATGCATCGGGCCGGAGCGGTGCGCCTGCGTCTACGGGTTCACGGGGCGCCGATGCGAGGTCGACTACGCGACCGGGCCCTGTTACACCGAGGTGCGGAACGGCCAATGTCTGCGGAGTCTGCAAGGAGTGACGTGTACGAGGCAGCTGTGCTGCGCGACCATCGGCAAAGGATGGGGCCACCCATGCGAGAGGTGTCCCGGACGTCTGGAGTGTGGCACTGGGTTTTTGAAGACGCAGCAGGGAGAGTGCGTGGGTAGGTACGCGGATCGGCCCTCGGCGTCGAACCTTGAGCCTGGACGTCGACGTCAAACCTCGAGGTCCGACCTCGACTCTTGACCTCGATCCGACGTCCACGTCGTGCTCGTTTCCAGATATCGACGAGTGCGAAGCGATTCCTGGTCTATGCCTGGGCGGAAAGTGCGTAAACACGGTAGGCTCGTTTGCGTGCGAGTGCGCCCCGGGTCAGGAAAGGGCCGGCCCGGCGAGCGCGTGCACGGACGTCGACGAGTGCGCGATTCCTGGGACCTGCGCCGACGGTCGATGCGTGGACACCCCCGGAGGATTCTACTGCCTCTGCGACCCCGGTTTCATCCAGAGTCGAGACCGAAAATCCTGTATCGGTAGGTTCTTCCCCTAGATTATTTCTTTTATTCGATGAATTTTTTTTTTTTTAACAGCGCAGGGTTATCCTGGAATTTTTTTTCTGCTCTTCAGATGGAAGGCAAGGATTCTGCTACACCACTCTCGGCGGGAGGGACCGATGTGCCGATCCTCTGGCAGTGAGACTCAGCAAAAAGGACTGCTGCTGCGGGAAGGACATGGGTCGAGGGTGGGGCGACGAGTGCTACGTGTGCCCCAACAGCGGAAGCGGTGCGTAGGCGTAAACGCCCTCGTTTAGTTTCCTCCAGTTTCCGCCTGAATGCGACTACTCATTAAATCTAGAGCGGCCTGACGCGAGGTTTTCCACCTCCTTTAGAGAATTCTGGAAATTAATTTCCTCGATTGACCTTAATCTTTTAATTTTCCTCGGATGTTTCAGGGGAGCACAAGAAGCTCTGCTCCTCGACGGAGTCGCAAGAGCTGACCCTGGTGGACGAGTGTGCCCTTCGTCCCGACATCTGCGGCGAGGGCGGTAAATGTATAGACACCAAACAAGGTTATGAGTGCGAATGTCGACCCGGGTTCACCCGAAGAGGAGGACGATGCGAGGATGTCGACGAGTGTCGTCTAGGATACTGTCAAGGTGGTACCTGTCGAAATTCGGAAGGCAGCTTCACCTGCCACTGCCCTCCCGGGTTCGTTGTCTCCGACGAGGGTCGTCGTTGCGAGGGTACTCTATTTTTCGTCAGCATTAAGGGTATATGAAAGTGGCATCCGAGGTATCAATCGTTAATAACACTTTTCTCCAAACTGGGTATACCAAATCATTCCAAACTTTGCAACGTGAATATGAAGACTAGAGAGAAGGTCCTAACAGCCGTGAGATTTTATTTTCATTTTATACAAAAAAATTTTTAATGTCTATAAAAGAAATTTTTAAAAAATTGAAATTTCAATCGGGGATCTGGACCTTCCTTAAAACGGGATTTCTTGGATTCCACTTTTGCATCCCCTTGGGTCGAGTTCCGGGGATTAATTAATAAACGTGCGTTTCCTTAGCAGATACCGACGAGTGTCGCGAGAGCGGCGCATGCGCGAACGGGCGGTGCGTTAACGCCGGAGATGGCTCGCCCACCTGTAGATGCAACGAGGGGTACTCCTTGTCGCAGCTGTCGCGAACCTGCATCGGTAATATTCCCATTTCCCGCAAGATTTCTCGCCAACGGATCGAGCGTTTCGGTTCGATTTCGTAGATATCGACGAGTGCGCCGATAATCCGAGAGTCTGCCTGAACGGTCGGTGCGAGAACACCCCCGGGTCGTACAGCTGCACCTGCCAGCCGGGCTTCGTCGCGTCCAGGGACAAGACGTTCTGCGTCGACCTGGACGAGTGTGCCACAGGTGAGATGTGCGAGCACGGACGTTGCGTCAACACGGAGGGCTCCTTTAAGTGCGTCTGCGATCCCGGATTCCGTCTCGACGAGGATCATCAGCGGTGCGTCGGTGAGTCGAAATTCCCTTCCTCTGGTCTCTCGCTCCCTCCGACTATCGTCGTCTCACTCTGATCTCTATTAACGAAGACGTTCGCGCGCAGATATCGACGAGTGCCAAAGTACGCCGTGTAGAAACGGAGAATGCATCAACACTCTCGGGAGCTTCGGGTGCGAGTGTCACTCGGGATTTAATTTAGACCCTGACGGCAGATCCTGTTCCGGTAAGTGCTCGAATATATTTTTTTTTTCTTTGCGAATATCGGATTTTTTCACGGAATTATCGTTCCTTGGGATTTTTCCAGACTCCAGGAGGGACTTGTGTTACACTCAGTACAGAGGCGGTCAGTGCGCCAATCCATCTTCCACGGCCGTGACGAGGTCCAGTTGTTGCTGCTGCACCGTCGTCCTCAACCAACCCATGGGCTGGGGAACCAATTGTCAACCGTGCCCCATGCCAGGAACCTCTGAATTCGACACTCTCTGTCCACATGGTTCCGGAATGACCTACAACGGCGACGGTATAGATTATTTTTCCTTTCCGGATTTACTACGGAAATTAATTATTATTGGCAATCTGTATTTTCTTTTTTCTTTCGCTACGACTTGAAACAAGAACAATACCAAGACTGTAAAATTAGGGTCGATTTTGCTCCTCACTACTTGACACATTTCGGATCGAGGAGGGAAACGGTGACGTCATTGGGGCTTTTTCCCAGATATCAACGAGTGCGCCCAGAATCTCAACGTTTGCGTGAACGGCGGATGCGAGAACCTGATGGGCACGTATCGATGCATCTGCGACTCCGGTTACGAGGTGGACGCGACAGGGAAGATCTGCAGCGACATTAACGAGTGCGAGCTGGAAGAGTCCCTGTGTATAGGAGGTCAGTGTAAGAATACACCCGGAAGCTTCCAGGTAAGGATTAGGTACGCCATTACCGTCAAACCATTACCGCCCGTACGTCTCGAGGATTCGTTTCCGCGATGAAGCTTGGCCAGTCGGGGACGGGCGATTTCCTTACGATCTCTGATTCGGCGCGGCATTCCAGTGCATCTGCCCAACGGGCACGAGACTGAACGAGGACAACCAAATGTGCGAGGACATCGACGAGTGCGTCGAGCTGGGTCCTGAGATCTGCTTCAACGGATACTGCGTCAACACTCGTGGCTCCTACGAGTGCGAGTGTTCACCTGGATACGTCCTGGATAACACGGGCCACGTCTGTACAGGTGCGACTCCACCAGATTTATAAATCGGTGGTGGCGGCGGTCGGTGTATGAAATTGGCAAGTGCCTTCGATTATGCTAATTCTTGCTCATCGGTGATGATCCGTTGCAGACAACAGGAAGGGCTCCTGTTGGACGAAGGCGGTGAACGGCAGGTGCGAGAATAATCTGCCGCGACTCGCGTCCAAGTCCGAGTGCTGCTGCTCCGTGGGACTAGCCTGGGGCAGCCCCTGCGAGATCTGCGAGCCCGGGCTGTGCAAGTGTCCCCGAGGGTATGCGCCGACCAGGGCGGACGGCGGGGAGAGCGGCGAGTCTTGCGCCGACGTCAACGAGTGCGAGCTCGACGACAAGATCTGCAAAGGAGGCGGCACGTGCGTCAACACCGACGGGTCGTTTCGCTGCGAGTGTCCAACCGGACTGACTCTGGACAGCAGTCGTAAGTGGACACTCGGGTTTAAAAGCAATCCGGACCGGGATATTGGGATAAAAATCCGAGACGTTATTTCAATATAAATCCAAGTTGTTATTCCAATATATGCCAGGGAAATCTCCGACCGGCATTAATTTTCGCGATATCCAGGTAACCGGTGCTTTTAAAAAAAATGTGGACGTGTTCCTCCGAATCCCTGATCTTTCCCAGAGACGGCTTGCGTCGACGCAAGGTTAGAGACCTGCTACACCGAGTACCGGCACGGCAGGTGCACCCTGGCGCTCGCGGGTCGACATTCCCGAGCCCTCTGTTGCTGTTCACTGGGTCGAGCTTGGGGTCGGGGCGGCGACGAGTGCGAGGCCTGTCCTCGACCAGGAAGTCGAGCCCACCGCGAGCTCTGCCCTAGGGGCGCCGGTTTCACCGGTCGCGGGGACGTGAACGAGTGCGTCGACTTTCCTGGGGTCTGCGCCAACGGGAAGTGCAGGAACACCCCGGGCAGCTTCTCCTGCCGCTGCAAGCCAGGGTACGCGCTCGACGAGGGCGGCATCTCCTGCATCGGTGAATACATCTCGTATTAATGATCACTATCTTAATGAAAAAAAAAAAAAAAATTGGTACTGACCTTACTCACTTTGACGACAGACATCGACGAGTGCGAGATCATGCGAGGAGTATGCGGCAATGGAACTTGCCGCAACACTCCGGGTCGTTTCGAGTGCGACTGCGAACCAGGATACCGCAGCGGCGGAGCCGTCGAGACCTGCACCGGTAAGACCGTCGATTTAGGTTTTTCTTTTTTTTTTTCAAGGATGTGGTTTATTTTGTTCGTCGCGATACTCTTTCAGACGTAAACGAGTGCGAGGAGACGCCGGGTCTCTGCAGGGGAGGCACCTGCTCGAACGAAGAGGGCGGCTTCCGGTGCATCTGCCCGGCAGGGCACGAGCTGGGCCCCGACGGTCGATCCTGCAAGGACATCGACGAGTGCTCCAGGACTAGCGGCATCTGCTCGAACGGCGTCTGCGAGAACCTCATGGGCACCTACCAGTGCATCTGCGACGACGGGTACGAGCAGACCGGGCACAAGTCCCACTGCGAGGACATCGACGAGTGCGCGGACGGCAACGGGGGCTGCGAGCACTCCTGCCTCAACACCGCCGGCAGCTTCTCCTGCAGGTGCAGGTAATTATCAGCCAATGTTAACATCTCGCGCGTTCCCCTTCGACTCGGGCTCGAAGAGAAGACGCCTCACGATTTAACCTTTTTACCTTTTTACCACTTTCTCCCGGTAAATACCCTTAACGAACCTAACGGAATAGCGCCGGATTCGCACTGAATGTCGATGGACGATCTTGCGCAGACGTAAACGAGTGCGCCGAAGACCCCAGGGTCTGCAACGGCGGAAATTGTACCAATACCCACGGGGGGTATCTCTGTACATGTACGGACGGGCTATTGCCCGGGAAGGAGGGGACCTCGTGCATCGGTGAGTTCGGATCAACTACCCTGACTTAAGTCCTAAGCAAGGGCGAGACCTGACCTCTTCTTCGCCTCTTCCAACAGACGTCGACGAGTGCGCTACGAGGCCGCTGGTCTGCGGCGGCCACGGGGAGTGTCGCAACACGGTGGGGTCGTTCACCTGCAGGTGCGAGGACGGCTACTCGGTGAAGCCTGGCCTGGGGCCCGAGTGCACCGACGACGACGAGTGCGCCTTGAACGCTTACTCCTGCGGCGAGTTCGCCGAGTGCAGGAACGTGGAGGGCTCCTATGTGTGCAGCTGCAAGGAAGGCTTCGCTGGTGACGGCCTCGACTGTCGGGATCTGAACGAGTGCCTGGCCGATAACGGTGGATGCGATTCCAACGCCCAGTGCGTCAACACCGAAGGCTCTTTTGAGGTAATGAAACTCCTCCAGGGGTCGACGACACCCTCTGACCGGACCTCTTCGTGTTGCAGTGCGTCTGCGACGCCGGCTTCACGGGCGACGGCATCTCCTGCAGGGACGTCGACGAGTGCGTCGAGGACCGCGCCCTCTGCGAGAACGGGCACTGCCTGAACTACCCGGGTTCCTTCCGCTGCGAGTGCGAGATGGGCTTCGCCCACCCTGACGAGAGCGACGAGCGCGCCTGCGTCGACATCGACGAGTGCGAGGCCTTCAGCAACCTCTGCGTCTTCGGCCGCTGCGAGAACGTCTTCGGCATGTTCCGATGCGTCTGCGACGACGGCTACAAGCTGGACGGCTCGGGCGGCAACTGCACGGACGTCGACGAGTGCGAGAGTCCGCACTCCTGCCTCTACGGCCGCTGCCGGAACACCCAGGGTGGATACGAGTGCGAGTGCCCGCCCGACCACGAGCTCGTCGACGAGGGCAACGCCTGCGTGGGTAAGGAGACGCGAACTTTTCATTCCAGGCCGTGGTTCTATCATTCGATCATTCCGCAGACAGGAGGGAGTCGCTGTGCTTCGCCGGACCCGGATCGAGGTGCGTCCTCGAGGTAGCCGCCTCGGTCACCAAGGCCACCTGCTGCTGCAGCATCGGCACTGCCTGGGGCAACAGGTGCGAGGAATGCCCTCGGCCTGGGACCCGATCCTTCGAGGAGCTATGTCCAGGTGGGCCGGGCTACCGACCGAATCGCTTCACCGCCGTCCTCGAGGACATCAACGAGTGCGAGGACCACGAGGACCTCTGTCGGAACGGACACTGCACAAACACCTTCGGCAGCTTCATGTGCTCCTGCAACGAGGGCTTCCGCCTGGACGAGACCAGGACCCAGTGCATCGGTAGGCAGTCGGTACTCGGCAATGCGCTAAAAATGTAGAGATCATCAGGAAGTAATTTTTCTTTTAAATACTTGCCAAGATAAGGTATAAAAATCTAAAAAAGCGATTGAACGGAGATCGACTCCGATTTTTTAGGCTTTGATTCGACCGCCGAGAATAGAGGTCTGACCTGACGTACACCTTTTCCACTTGGTTCCAGATATCGACGAATGCGCTCTCCACGAGCGCATCTGCGGAGTCGGGCGTTGCGTGAACGACCAGGGAAGATACCACTGCGAGTGCCCTGAGGGGTACATGGCCATGCCTGGTGAAAGTCAGTAGTTTTAGTCACCCTGGAGAATGTACCGCCGGGACGAGGGCGGCTACTGTACTTAACTCCCGAATTTTCAGAGGAATGCGTGGACACGAGAAAGGAGCAATGCTACACGAGATACCGACCCGAGGGGTGCGACCTCCCGATGGTGCACCCGCAGACCAAGATGCTGTGCTGCTGCTCCGTGGGCGTAGCCTGGGGCCAGCCTTGCGAGAAGTGCCCGGACGAGAGATCTCGTGAGTACCCGACGGAGGTGACCGGGAAAGAGTGCGATAAACGTGCCATTTTGTTCCAGGCGACCGGGAGATCCTCTGCGGCATGGTACCCGGGCAGATAATGAACCCGTTGACCAACCACACGGAGGAGATCGACGAGTGCGCCCTGATGCCGAACGCCTGCACCAACGGGCAGTGCGTCAACACGCCGGGTAGCTTTGAGTGCAGGTGCAACCGGGGATACGTCTACGACGAGGCGGCGCACCAGTGCAACGACGACAACGAATGCCTGCGAGAACCGGGGCCGTGCGTGGGCAACGCCAGGTGCGTCAACCGCCCTGGCTACTTCGAGTGCGCGTGTCCACCAGGTTACAAGCTAGGTCCAAGCCAACGAGACTGCGTCGACGTGGACGAGTGTTACGAGCGTCCCGGGCTCTGCCTCGAGGGGGTCTGCAACAACCTCCAGGGCAGCTTCCAGTGCGTCTGCCGTCCGGGCTTCGCGCTCGCTTGGAACCGCGACGGCTGCGTCGACGTCGACGAGTGTCAGCGCAACCCCAACGTCTGCAACAACGGGACCTGCGTCAACACCCTTGGGAGTTACAAGTGCCAGTGCTACGCCGGCTTCAAGCTGAGTCCTGCCAACGACTGCGCCGGTAGGTGCAGCGCACTGAGCCCCTCGACGACGCACGAGATGTCCCCTTTCCGGTGTTTCAGATGTCGACGAGTGCAGGATCATGCCGTTCCTCTGCCGCAACGGCAGGTGTCGTAACACCGTCGGCTCCTTCTCCTGCGAGTGCGCCGAGGGCTACGTCCTGGCGCAGGATGGACAACACTGCCGAGACGTGGACGAGTGTCGAGAGGTACTCGATTAATTCCCGCGACTCGGTCGACGAGTCGATCCTTCACGGCGAAAGAGTGAAAATTCGACTTTCAGGTCGCTGGCTTGTGTCCGCTCCCAGGGAAGTGTCAGAACCTGATGGGCTCGTTCGTCTGCAGCTGTCCCCCGGGATACGAGCTGGACCACGCTAGAAAAAGATGCATCGGTAAGTCCAGGTGGAAGCGAAGAGAACTTTGACTGGATTTATCCATAGAATACCACCGAGAACTATGCGCAATTAAATTCATAACTCTTTCCTCTCTTCTTCCTTCATCTCCTTTACAGACGTGGATGAGTGCGCCGAGACCAAGGACATCTGCGAGAACGGTCGGTGCATCAACACGGAGGGTGGAGTGGTGTGCGAGTGCCCGGTCGGTTTTCGACCGAGCGAGGGTGCGGACGCGACGAAGTGCGTCGACGCCCGGGAGGAGACCTGTTACGAGGAGTACGCGCGAGGTAGGTGCTCCGCCGCCCGACCTGGACCCACTACGAGAAGACAATGCTGCTGCACCATGGCGGCAGCCTGGGGACACCTCTGCGAGGCCTGTCCACCGAGAAACAGCAGCGAATTTTCGCGACTCTGCCCGGAGGGCGCTGGCCGAGACGACGCGGGGATCGACCTGGACGAGTGCCTCCTGGTGCCGGGCGTCTGCGCCTCCGGCGAGTGCGTCAACACCGACGGCTCCTTCCGGTGCGAGTGTCCACCCGGGTACGTCCTGGACGAATCTGGCCGGCGCTGCGTCGACGAGGACGAGTGTCGCACCGTGCCCACCCTATGCGGCAACGGCACCTGCTCCAACCTCCAGGGCGGCTTTGAGTGCGACTGCGAGGACGGCTTCGCACCTGGGGCCAACCAGGTGTGCGAGGACGTCAACGAATGCCTAGAGCCGGGGAACGAGTGCGCCTTCCGCTGCCGCAACGTGCCCGGCTCCTTCAGGTGCGTCTGCCCCTACGGGTACACCCTGGCCGCGGACGGCCGCCACTGTACGGGTGAGTATAACGACATCGAGAACTTATTCTGAGGGTAGATTTAACCTGGTTCGATTGTTCGCAGATGTGGACGAGTGCGCCACCCCGGCCAACCGATGCAAATTTCATTGTAAGAACCTGATCGGCTCCTTCGCGTGCATCTGTCCTCCAGGGTATCATCAGATCGGCACGGCCGATCGCTGCGAGGACACCGACGAGTGCGCCGTGGATTCTGGGTTGTGTCCTCATGGACGGTGCATTAACCTGGAGGGTACCTACGAGTGTCGCTGCTACGACGGATTTGAGCCCACTCCTGATCGCAAGTCCTGCGTTGGTACGTAGGGCCTTGTTTAAATTATTGGCGGGTGATGGAAAACGATGGAAAGTGACGGAAAGTTGACGGAGGACAAGTCTAACGTGAGACTTATTTTTTAGACCGCAGAGTCGGCCACTGCTTCCAGCGGACGATCGGCGGCAGGTGTCCCCCCATGCTTCCGTCGCCGGAGACACATCGCACCGCCGTGACCAAAGCGGATTGCTGCTGCACCATGGGAGCCGCATGGGGACCGCACTGCGAGATCTGCCCCACGAGGGACTCCGGGAACTACGCCGAACTGTGTCTGGACAAAGGATTCTCCGTCGACGGACAAGGTAGTAGGCGCGCCCACGGTTCGCGCTCGACGATCTCTTCGCCCAGGATAGATCGAATTTCTTTTAGATATCGATGAATGCCGGACGATTCCCGACCTCTGCGGAAATGGACTCTGCGTCAACACCCTGGGATCGTACAGATGCATCTGTCACAGGGGCTACAGAGCCGACAAATCCGGAACGAGCTGCGTCGGTATGTTCCTTGTTCATATTTAAAATCATTAATGAGATGATCGATAGGTATTCGATCATGACGGAAACTCGTATTTGCAGACGTTAACGAGTGTCAGTCGAGCACGAAGCCATGCAAGTTCAATTGCCACAACACCGAGGGGAGTTTCATCTGCTCGTGTCCAGTTGGGTACATCTTGAACGCCGATGGAGTGACCTGTCGCGATTTGAACGAATGTGCCATCGGAAACCACCTCTGTCAGCAGGAGTGCATAAACACGCAGGGGAGTTACTCTTGTGGGTGCAAAGAGGGGTATGCACAAAATGGAGACTCCTGTCGCGGTAAGTCTAATTCCTAGATTGGTGGCTAATCGGCGTGTAATCCGAGATTGTTATCCGATCGGAACGAGGTGCTTCCCTCTTCTTTTCCATTTGAACGCGTAACGCGATGTTGCCTTTTGTTTTTTCTAGACATAAATGAGTGCGAGCAGGCTGGTATATGTCCAAAGCCTGGAGTGTGCATTAATACTCTTGGAAGTTTCAAATGCATCTGTCCGAGAGGTTATAAACTGGATCGGTCTAAGACGTACTGCGTAGACAATGACGAATGCGCCGATGATGCAAACTGCGAACACGACTGTCAGGTATGGTACGATATTGCGATTGTTGTTGACTCTTCCTTCGCATAGGAGTTTACCTGAGACAGGTTGCGTTAAGCGGGACAATGGAACTAGGAAAGGAATGCTTGCTTTCAGAATCTGATGGGATCCTATCGATGTGGTTGTCCGGAAGGATTTTCTCAACATCCATATTACAATCGATGCATCGATGAAAACGAATGTGATTCTTCACCCTGTGGAAGTAGTAATTGTATCAATACGATTGGCAGTTACAAGTGCGGATGTCCCGATGGATACCAATTTGACAACAATGTTCAAATATGTGTTCAGGTAAAGATTGAATTTTTAGTACAAATTGTATTTCAGTGGAAATTTTGTGCGATGCTATTAATGACATTATTGTTGTTAATATTAGGTAAATTTAGGCTGCGCAGGAAGTCCCTGTGCTTTTGGTTGCATTTCCACGAAACAGGGATTCGTGTGCGGTTGTCCCAGTGGGTACCAGCGAGTTGGACAGGTACCAGCAATTATCTCAGTTAAATTAATTCCTTCCTATTTTTTTTATATAATCAAAAGCAAAAATTAAACCATCATTTTTTTTTTAATTACTACTTTCAGGGACATTGCTTATTGGGCGCGACTCCTTTGGTTCAAGATGGTTACAGTGGAATTGGTAACGTTGGGCCTAATTCTGATTCCTACCATATACCGCCAGCTGGTGGTAAAATCATTTCAACGGAAGGATGCTTTTCGTGCAAGGTACTTGGAGAATATAAATTTTCTTTGCAACAGTCTGCTAGTACTATCTAAACACCTTTTCGATTCCTTGTCAAAATCATTGATAATCACAGGTGGCTGGTAAAGACCGACAGAGACGAGAAATAGAAATTGGATCAATCGGAGTAAATGACACGTTTGATGTAAAAGAACCGCTTGTGCTTTTAAAAGAAGAGGATCGGACTGTTCAACAATTACGTACACATGATCCACAAAAAAATAACTCTGGTGGTGAAAGCATCTTAAAAATTAATCTTAACCAAACAAAGTATAGAAGATCTGTAATAACACTACTATCAGCAATGAAGGTACTGAGAAATTAAATTCTATTATGATTCATTAATAATATTCTTACAATTTGCATGACAAAAAAGGTAAACATATTAAATATTGTCTGTATTTTTATCTGTGCCTACTTTACATTTAGGACAAAGAAATGGGATATAATATCACACGTGGTAACGAAAAGAAGCACTTCGACATTGTACAGAAGCAAGAATACTGGCACCTTCATTTTAAGACTCGATTAAAACGAGCTCAACAGTTTGACATTGAGATTCATGGAAGACCTCTGAATGTAGCTCAGTACGATCAACTAGGAGAAAATTTCTTATATCTTAGACTGCATCTTATAGTTACTGACTAATTTTGCCAAATCGCTTGTTCCCACGTGAACAGACAATTTTATATAAAGTGTTGAAATAAAAAAACGAATTAGAAATATAAATTTGATTACATAATATATGATATAATTGAAACATTTTCCTACACAAATTATTTGTTTAACGTTAATTTATATCACAGAACTGATGCACTGGTCAATAACTTCAATAAGATGATTATTTTCCAAGGCAGCAGCAACCCTTTCCTTGTCATTAAGTTGTTTATTAACAGCAAGTTCGGAGTTGTGCGTTCCCGGTGCAATAACCACTTTTACCTTAAATCTAGCTGGTAACGCTCTTATCAACTGCACTTGAATCGAGAGGCCAATCAGCGTCGCCATACTGCAGTGAGGAATAGTTGGTGTAAACCTCACCACAACTTTGTTACCTTCGTCATCGACCTACAATATTTTTTAAACATCAATTTAAAGGAACATTTTTTATAATTGTACTTTAAGAAAGAAATAGGTACGGTTTCCTTACTTCCACTTGACTTTGCTCGACAACATTTAATTCTTCCAACGTTAAGGGATGTTCCGGATCATTGATGTTTCGAATTAAATCTGAAAGAGGTGATGATCGATCAGTGTTATTTCTGTGGTAGATGCTTCTAGAATTAATTAAATTAAATAATGTGAAAACTAACAAACATTCATTTAGGTTAGAATTACCGAATATTTCTCTGGAGTCAAACTGATCGATGACTTCCTCGTTGGCGTCATCTCCCGTGACCGGTCTCTCATGAACTTTTTTGTACAACTTTGGGTTGAAGTTTTCTAACGTTTCACGATTATCACTCATTGTAAAGCATTGAAACGTATCAGACGATAATAAAAACCAGCATAACCTAACAAAATTTAATTCAGGGACTACCGCACAAATTTCTTCAAAGTTTAGGAATAGGGATAAAAATGTGATGCACTCGTAATGCCTAAGTTTTATGTACGACGAAATCGCACGAAGAACTATCTGGAATTGGCTGCAGCAACAGGAACATAATCTGAAAACTGATCTTAAGAGATGTCCGAGTTTTATTATTCACTTCTTCTCAATTCGGCCATTGACTAACTGCTTTATCGATGAAGCCGAATGTTGGATCACGGTTGGTACATACAGTCGTGTGGATGCACGATCGTGGCCTTACCCAAAGAGTATCAATCCATTACCAATTTCTTCTACGGAAGCGATACAAGGTAATGCAGAGGAATGAAACCCAATGAAAATCTACGGTTTTATTGTGGTTTAATTCTTTACGTTCCGTGGCCGAATGAACTTTGTACCCAATAAGGAAACTAGAGTTGTTACCGAAGTTCAATTATCTGTTGGTGGAATTTAGTGCAGTACGTTTTTGGCTGTGTAATCGAAGGAAATAACGTAACTTTATATCAGAAATGTTCTCCACGTGTGCTAAGGTTCTAAGAAGCAACCGTAAAGTAAGTATACTTCATATTCCAGCATTCATGAATATTCTTGATAACTGAATAAATTACATAATTGATAACTGCAAAGGTGGTTGTGTTTTGTTAGCACACTCTGGAATTAAACTAGTATTGAATTTTATGACTCCAATTTCAGGACAGTCGAAGAGTAATGTGTTTTGTACAATGAGAAAATAATATATTTGAAATTTTTGTTTCAGTTCAATTTTATATTACAACACTATGAATCGACGTTAGTGATCGCTGAGCATAACAATGAAACGTTGTCTCCGATTGTGCAAAACACTATAAGTGCGGCTGAAAAAATTGGAGGGGAAGTGTCAGTGCTAGTCGCTGGTACAAAATGTTCTTCGGTTGCTGCTGCTGCAAGTAAAGCGAGTGGTATTGCAAAAGTTCTTGTTGCCGAAAATGAAGCTTTTAAGGGTTTTACTCCAGAGTCGTTAACACCATTGATTCTGTCAATTCAGAAGCAATTTAATTTTACACATATATTGGCTGGTGCTACTGCATTTGGAAAAGCGCTATTACCAAGGGTCAGTATTATGTAAAGTGATAAAGGATGATAAATATATCTGCATTCATTGTAATTGCCATTCGTGTAATCATTATGTGATTAACTTCTTTAGGTAGCAGCTAAGTTAGACGTTTCACCAGTAAGTGACATTATAGGGGTTAAGTCTCCTGATACTTTCATTCGTTCAATCTATGCTGGAAATGCTATACAAACCATACAGGTAATAGATGGCATAAAAGTAATCTCTGTGCGAGGAACATCATTCAAGCCAGTTTCTTTAGAAGGTGGTAACGCAAAGATAGAGCAGGCTCCAGCTGGTGATTATAAATCAAGCTTGATAGAATTTATTAAGCAGGAGTTAAGTAAGTCGGAGAGGCCAGAACTGACATCGGCCAAGGTTGTCATTTCTGGAGGACGTGGCATGAAATCTGGGGAGAATTTCAAGCTACTGTACACTTTGGCTGATAAATTAAATGCTGCCGTTGGAGCTTCTCGTGCTGCAGTAGATGCAGGTTTCGTGCCTAACGACCTCCAGGTTGGTCAAACAGGAAAAATCGTAGCACCGGTAAGTTATTATCAAATTAAAAAATAACATCGATTAAAATTTTAATTCAAGCAAGCATATAAATATTTGGATTACATATTCCAGGAACTCTATGTAGCTGTGGGTATTTCTGGAGCGATACAACATCTGGCTGGAATGAAGGATTCTAAGACGATCGTTGCCATAAACAAAGATCCGGAGGCACCCATTTTCCAAGTTGCCGACTACGGATTGGTTGCCGATCTGTTCAAAGCTGTGCCCGAACTTACTGCCAAGTTGTAAACTCGATTACCACGTGCCGACCTTTGCGGTTATAAATGTAAATACTGTCCGATGAAGGCATAGCTATTCGGGCCTTAATCATGTCTTTCCACAAATACTTTATATTTTAAATATTAAATCGTAAACTCTCTGACTTACTGAAACTTACTGAAACTTTATCCCAGAAGCAACAGTTCTTGAGTCATACTTTCTTTGAAACTCAAGATCAGGTGAATCGTCTCAGACTGGAGGTTGAACATTGTCGATAAAATAATCGTAAAATTGTTAATTTTGGGGCAAAGGATATCTCGACTAAAAAAGCAACTTTTGGATAATTTATAATTTATGTTGACTTAATATACCGGAATATACCACATTTGGAATTCTACTGAATTCTACCTCCACCGTCTCCACCCGCCTCAAGGGTGAGATCTGGTGGCGGAAGACATCGCGAGATGGCGCGAGACGACGCAAGATGGCGCCGCGAGCGAGGGGCGGCCCGGTCGAACGTTCGACTCGCACACGGCCGCGCAGTACCGCACCGCGCGGAGTCGATCCAGTCCCGCTCCCGAAGGAGACTCGTCATCGTCCTGGGACATCTGAAGAAACGAGGGGACCTAATTTCGAACGCTTCGAAGTTACCAGGGCGAAGGAAAAGGGGGAATCGCGAAGACGAGGCGCGAGACACCCGGTGCGGGGTTTTCGGTTTTCTCGGGGGGTCCACCGGGACATTCGGGAGCTGTCGCAGACCGAGGTGGGGCAAACGCCCCACGAAGGTCGACGACCGTGGGTGTCGGGTACTCCGGTCACGCGGCCACCCCCCGCGAGGCGAGCGGAAAAAAGTCTCGCCAAAGTCGCGCCTCGGCCTCTGACGAGCTTAGAAATAACTTAGTTTTAAGTGAGACACGATTTTTTCGACATTCGACCGCGCGCGCGCTTGGAGGCTGCGGAGAAGGTCGAAAGGAGTTCCTCGAGAGCATCGACTCAAGAAGCCAGGAGAAGGTGCAGCGAAGAGACGTACACCGTGGCCCTGGAAAAAGCATCGGGAACATCGGTGAAGAGGGAAGTATCTACGGAAGAAGGGAGGGCGGTCAAAGGTGGGACGTCAGGGCGGAGTTTCAAGGCCATCGAGGGAAGGACTCCGGACTTACGAAGCGATCGACGAGGGAAAACGGCGACTTCGCCATGGAACCTCCTCGTCTAGCCGTCTCAACATAGAAGGAATACTGTAGATCGGCGAACTCGAAGAGTCCACTGGGTGACCCGAACGAATTTCCCCCAGAGATTATTTTCGGACCTCGGGGGAGGCGTTTAGGGATCGACGTTACGATCTTTACTCCAATACGGGGCTGAATACCATCAAAAGACGCCGCCTCCGATTCACATCCGCGTTTCGAATCGCGTTGCGACCAAGCATGAGCGAATTTAAGGACGACGCGTCTTCGACTTCTCCTAAGGAAGGTCGAGCCTTCCGCGATCCCGAGGAACTTCTTTCGCGGCGTTACCGAGAAGAGTTCCCAGGCGTTTGCGAGGATTCCGAGGGGGCTCGTCCTTGGAGAGGATCGTCTCGGTTCTAGGAGGGGACGAATGAACGAACGAGCGAATTAATAACGAAAGCCCCGACGCGGTCTCTCCTTTTGCGGGAAAGCGAGGGGGCGAGCTCTTGAAAGCCAGACATGTAAATAACTCCCGGCATATATATTCAGTCAAGGGGATCGATATGCCGTTTTAGAAGCTCCTTGTATTTCCAGCTTATCCGCGAAAAAGGGACCGGGGTCGACGCAAGGGAAGAGGTCCGCAGACCGGGCGGGGTGTCCCTTTAGAGGAAGCGATCACCCGAAACGCGAACCCCTTCCCGATGACGCCGATAATGACCCACCGGAAGGACCCAGAACCCAGGGGGAAAAGGAGGAAGGAGGGATTCTAGCGCGAGGGAGAACTCGATTTCTGTGGAAGATCCGTTTTACGGGAATCCTTTCCTTCGAAGGAAAGGAAATCGAGGAAGGGCGAGATACGAGACGAGAACACTCCGAACGGCCTAATGCCTCGAAACGACATGGGACTGCTTATGTTCCTAGCAGTGACGGCCTCGCTTTTGGTCTACTGCCAGACTGACGAAAAAGGTAGCTACTTACGAGACCCCATGGAATATCGATCGAATAATGCTCCTCTTTCAACCTCTCGGTGCGAACGAACTCGCTACTGGGTGGATTTCATTTAATCCGATTTAATCGATTGCCTTTGGCGTGTGGATTGAACGGGATTGATACCGACGAGAGAAGTGCCATTTTTAGCTTCTTCCTTAAAGTCGCCTTTAAGATCCGTATTCGTACCTCATATTAGGGTTAAATGGTGTTTTTTCTTTTTTTTTACCTCTTAAAGATATCTTTTGGCTATTTAAAGACTATGGATAAGAGACTTTTTAGGACGCTAAAATGAGGTACGAAGAAGGATCCAAATGCCTAGTCTAGCTTTTGGGAAACGTTCCACACATTATTCCATTGTGGGCTTTTTAATTACAGTTTCCTTTTACGGGGCGAGTTATATTCATTTGCCGATCCAAGAAGCTAAGGGCACCACAGACATCAGATTCAAATTCCGGACCCAACTTTCGGATGCAGTTCTGCTGCTGGCTGCTGGGAAAACGGATTATTGTCTCATCAAGCTGGAAGCTGGGAGACTCAAGGTCCATTTTTATTTCTCCTCGATTCGAAGCGTTGTACCTTTCTTACTCATCTAGAGTGTTTAAATGCTCCTCCATTATTACGGATGAATGTAGCGGATATGACACCGAAGGCATTTCAGAATATCGTGCCAAATATTGAACGATAGAACGTTTTAATAGTTAACTCTTAACCTGAAGTTGGAGTTGGTACGCTGGTTAATTGGACACCATTCCAGACAACAATTCTCGTCCCGGAATTAGAAGAAATTGATTCTAAATGACAATTAGTATCACTTAAGTTCTCTTAAGGACTTAAGACACGGAAGTTGATAAGGGGGCTGAAACGTTTAATCGTTTCTCGTGTCGGCAAAAATTAAATTAAATTTATTGCAAATTGAGAAAATTTCATTCGGCTTTGTTTTATATTTATACAATATTTTATAAACAGCGAGAAGCGTCTCATTGAAGTGCCCTCGCAGATAGCGGTAATTACTCGTATTTGAGTAATTAGCAACGGCTGTTTATGTCTTCCTATCCGGTAGTAATTGACTAATAATGCCGGCTTTGTGTCTTCGGGTCAGTGTCGGTACTCTCGCGTTTCGTGCCTTATTATTGCATCGATTTGTCTGCATAATTTCTACTTGCGGAACATCTATTACACGATGTAAATATATCCGTCTAGGACTAGCGTTAAGTCTCCTCCAGGAGTTAAAAATATTCCGTTCCCATCTCGTACCGTGAGTCATATTTAATTCTAGGATGTATCGTGACTTATCCTTTTTTTTTATCTTCAGGTACACATCAATTTAGGCGCCGGCGAAAGTGAACTGGTCAGTGCCAAGGGATTGACGCTGAACGACCTTAGTTGGCACGAAGTCAATTTAACGAGACGCGAAGCCAACATTACGCTGCAAATCGATGTGATTCATTTTACCCGGTCTTTACTGCCCGGCAGATTTTTCGAGCTGAATATCCATTATGGGGTCTTCATCGGTGGCCAGGGTGACTTCAACGAATTATTCTTAGGTCAGCCTTCCGTTATCCTTTTTCAATTATTTGCGACACAATTTGTTTTACTTCGTTATCAATTGATACTAACCGGAAGCATCTCGAATCTCTCTCCTCCAGGTCACATAGACAGTTTAAGGGGATGCATGGCGGACATAATCTACAACGGCGCGAATGTGATAGAATTAGCGAGATCTAGAAAAGGACAATCCGAAGCTACCTCCGTCACGTGGGGATGTTCTTCAGAGTTCGATGCAATCAGAAGTACCGAAGTCAGTTTCGTGGAAGATGGGTCTTTCATTTCGATTCCGCGACCGATACCTCGATCCGGTTCAAGGTATTTTCCAACGGGTCCATTTTTTCGTACATCGTCAGTTTTTCAGCGGTGGCCGACTTCTCGATTTCACGGCGAATAAATTATTTGCACTCGTTGCAGATGGGAATTCGAGTTGAAGACCGTAGCAGAGAGCGGACTGTTGCTTTACAACGCCGGCCAGTCTTCCTATGCCGATTACTTAGGTGTCGAGCTTGCTGACAAGAAAATCCGACTGTTGATGAACAAGGGAAATGGGCCCACCGAGTTGATCCATGGGGCCATTGTCTCGGATGGGAAATGGCACCGTATCGTGGTCGACTTCAGTCCCAGCATGATCGGCATCAGCGTGGACAGCAAGGAGAACACGATGAATCTTCCATCAGGAGGGAACCGATACCTGGACCTTGCCGACACCTTGTACATCGGAGGAACTGAATTGAACAAACGAGCCAGGGCTCTAGGGAAGGGGTTGAAATCCGGAGACTTGAGCTACAAGGGGTGTTTGCGCAATATGTTGCTCGAAAAAAGGGAATTGGGCCTACCGGACGTCAAAGTCAGCCAAGGGATCGTCGTAGGCTGCGTATGGAGTTTTCCCTGCGTTGATGCTGTACCCTGTATACCAGGTGCATCTTGCTCGCAATTAGGAGTCGGCTCGTTTAAGTGCACCTGCGATCAGCCACTTTGCATCAAGGCCGATTACGCCGAAGATTACAAGGTGGGTGACACGAGAGCCTGCCGCTCCAGTATTTCGGTCGAGTTAATTTTTCACCGCCGAGACTGTGGATCAATATTTGTCCTTGAATTGAAATCGTCGTTAGTCGATTTATTCATGTGAGCCGTACCTAGATTTCGTGCGGACGTTTGCGAGAAGAGCACCCTTGGCGAGCTCGTTGTTGCCATTAGGTACACGATACTGCCATATTTCGTGGCTATTTCCAGCCAACTTTGCATTTCTATTCTTGAAGCGCGCGCACTGAAAGAAATTCTCCCTTTGCGTGAATCGCTCGTTCGAATAGCCGGGCATGGTGCTCGCCCGAAATACTCGAGTATCCAGATTACTTCATTGGTGCACCTCAATCTGGAACACCTTTCCAGACAATTAACCCGAAATTTACACCGACCTTGCGAGATTGTCAGACTCTCTCGCTTTTCAGATTTACTCCAGAGCAAATCTGCCGGTCGACCTCGAGATTTTGTCTTTAAGACCCTTGTCGGTTTTCGAGGGAGATGCAATTCCAGTGACGAGCCAGAACATCGCCATGGTCCTCGACATTGCAAAATATGGGGTGGAGGAGAACGGCGTTAGATTCACCCTGGTCGTGCCTCCTGCCCATGGGACTTTAACTCTAGATTTACTAACTTCCAGATCTGACCATTCGTTCACCCTGCAGGACATCAATCAGAACAAGGTAAAGGTTGTAAGCATCGATACTTCTGAAAATGACCATAGAAAAATGTACACAAATATTCTTGAAATTGAAATTCGGCGAGCACTTGGAAGGGTTTTTAAAAATTCTTTTGGCGATGGATTGGCGTCTTATGTCAGACTTGAAGTCATGTCGCAAAGCTACTCTAACTACTTTGCAGTCTGAAACGTTACTCAAACTATTCCAGACGAAGCGGCCGTAGTTACTATTAATAACCTTCTGAACTTTCGTCCCGTTTAAAGGAAAGCTGCCGCACCGTTCCCATGAACTCTTTCCATTTTCGAGCCCACCAAAAGCAAAACGGAAAACAGAACGGAAGGGGAAAGTCATGTGTTTTTCCAGTCCGTTATAATACCAAGCTATAGATAGCTCCGCATCTTAAGGGCTAACTTTAGAATCACCGGGGTTGCTGCTTCGAAGTACCGCGATGGTGCCTTCGCTGTATATTTAGGGTACCGTAATATTCCATTTATCGAGGGTCTCATTAATAATAATCGTCCCTCTTGAATCGGGTGAAAATGAATTCGCTCCTCCCTGCAGCCAACTATAGTGCTGAGAACGAATTAGTTGAAACATTTTTCTATGGGGTATTACGTTCTGTCCGATGATAATAATGTATTTTTCTTCATTCTCGTTTTATTAAATCATTTACAGATACAGTACATGCACGATGGCAGTGAGATTACCGAAGACAATATGATCTTGGAGTTGACGTTAGTGGCAGGTCCGAGTTACACTCTCCCAGGATATCTTCAGGGTCGTCTGAGGTTCCCTTTGCATGTAAACGTTACTCCTGTAAACGATCCTCCTCTTTTGGAGATACCGACAGCTAAGGTGCTGAGATTAGCACAGGTAAGGAAATGTTTATTAATATCGAGGATTGACTTTTTAAAATGGAGAAACGCGTTACAAATAAGAGATTTACGGGTCGATTCTGGTTACAGGGAACCAGGAAAACGCTGACGAAGGAACTGGTGTGGGCAGTCGATGCGGACACACCTTCTGAAATGTTAATTTACACCGTTCTTCGAGGAGACACCGATGCCGGGCACATAGAAAAGTTGACATCACCTACGCAGGTCGTCACCGCCTTCACTCAGGCCGAGCTTCTTCAAGGATTAATAGCTTATGTTCACAAGGGAAACTGTGAGTGATCGTAGAGTCCTTCTCGGCGATGTAACCAAAAAGAAATTCAGGGGTTCTCGCGTTATAGTTTCACAGAGTTTTCCCGAATAATTTTGGTAAATGGAAAAAGTCAAAAAACTGTAATGCTTTCTAGTAGGAAGGGTACCTTCGAATTTCTTTAAGCGGCGTATGGCGTTACCGTATGTTTCCGATGGCACCCTGCGGATTTTTCAGCCAAGGCGAACGCTATGTTGGGACTTCAAGTAAACGATGGCATCGAAAGCAGCCAGCCAGCTTATTTACGAGTCTCGGCCTACCCTCTGCAGATCAAGCTGCAACACAACACGGGAATAGTGGTGGTCCATCGTTCGTTCACCTTTCTGACTCCGGCGAATTTATCCTTCGTAACGAATTCGGACGACACGAGCATCGAGATTCGCTACGACGTGGTAGCCCCACCTCAGTACGGGGCCTTGCAGAAATTGAAAGACATGACAACGTCCTGGGAGAACGTCGACCGCTTCACCAGCAGGGATGTCGAACTCCACGGCGTTCGGTACATTCACAACGTGGGGAGTCCAGGAAAGGACGGTTTCAAATTCCAAGCGAGCGTCAGAGAAGTCCGCACCCAACAGACCTTCGACTTCAGAATCACCTTCATCGACCTGGAACTGCGGGAATCGAAATTATTTCCCGTAAATTTCTCCGGCTCCGACGAGGCCACCGTGAGTCCTAGGAACCTGAAGTACCTGACGAATCCCTTGTCGACGTCGCCTGGCAGGATCAAATACACCGTAAGAAGCGTCCCTATGTATGGGCACTTGTTATTAGCCGATAAGAGACTGGTACCGGGTGATACGTTCACCCAGGAAGACGTGGATTCCAATAGATTGAAGTATCGTCTGTTCAGAAGAGCCTATTCCGAGATAGAAGACGAGTTTCTCTTCAAGGTCTTCGCTCCCCAGTGCACGGAGATAACGTCCACTCTATCTCTGAGATACATCCCCCATTTTGGCAGCAAACCGTTGGAAGGTACCGAAAGAATTAAGGTGAACGAAGGGTCAAGGGTGGTGCTAAAAACCAGCCGAATCGACTTCAGGGACTACAACGTAACGGGCCTGAAGTACAACGTTACCGTGAGTCCTCGACATGGCTGGTTGACGGCTCTGAACGAGTCCAATGTTAGCGTGAGACTCAATACGACATATTTCACTTCCGAGGAGATGTTTTCGGACTTAATTTACTATTGTCATGACGACAGCGAGACGACTGAGGATCACCTTCGGTACGTGGCCATCGCCGTGGACAGCGTCGACTTCATGTACTCGGGGACCTTTCTGATAGACGTGAGCTTGACAAACGACAACCCACCCGAGAGGGTGAGCAACAACGTCTTCCACGTCGCCATGAACAGCGAGAGGATCATCACGAAGAAGGACCTCCTATACGTGGACAAGGATCTGAACACCAGTCCTAGTGACCTGGTGTACTCCAAGAGGGACATTACTAACGGCGAGGTAGTAAACGCCACCACCTCTGTGCAAATCTTCGAGTTCACCCAGGAGGACATCAACGAGGAACAGGTCCTCTTCCGACATCGCGGGGCAAGCCGAGGAACCTTCAGCTTTGGAGTCACCGATGGTCATTACTACACCGTGGGTGTTTTAGAAATTCAAGCCAGTCCTCCGTATATTCGTTTGAGAGGAACCAACGCGTCGGTTGCGCAATTCAACAGGACGGTGATCGTCACCCCCAAGGAGCTGGACGTGGAGACCAACGTCAACGCGAACGACACCGATGTACGATACGGTGTCCTGGAGAAGCCGAAGCACGGAGTCCTGCTGAAGCACTCCAGAGTGACCTCCAACTTCAGTCAGGATGATTTAGGGCATGGCGCCGTTGTGTATCGTCACCTAGGAGGGTCCCTCGCGAAGGACGACGTCAAGTTTAAGGTCACTGCCAAAGGTGCCGAGTCCGAAGGCGTCCTGATCATCAGGATCTACCCGGAGAGCTACTGGGAGCCTCTGATCATTGAAAACAATAAGACGGTCTTTGTCGAGGAGGCTACCAGCGTCCTCATCGGCAAGAAGACTCTCTGCATCGTGCACCCCAAGATACCCGCTGGAGAGATCACCTATCTCATCAGAGAGTGGCCCAGATTTGGGTACCTGGAAGTCCAAACCCCGGATGAACATAGCGAGGAGGAGAGGGAGGATCTCGACGACCTCAAAGTGAAACAATTCGACCAGAGCATGGTGAACGATGGTCGTCTCCATTACGTCCAGTCCGTCACCAACCAGACCCAGGATAGATTCGTTTTCGATGTGACCAATGGCGTCACGTGGTTACACGGATTAATGGTCAACCTCCTCATCGTCCCCGACAAGTTTTACGTCATGGCGAATAATATTAGCGTCGTAGAGGGTAAGAGCGTTGCCTTGAATTCGGCGGACTTTGTAGTGTTGACCAGTTATTACGTAGGCAAGATTACCGATTACCGAGTGGTGGAGAAGCCGAAGCATGGAACCGTCATGGACTCCACAAAGTATTCCCAGGTGAAGAAGTTCTCGCAGAAGCACTTGAACGCTGGAGTGATATTGTACAAGCATAATGGAGACGAAGTCGCGGAGGACTCCTTCAGGATGGCCGCCATGGCTGGAGAAAAATCCAGCGAGTCCTTCCTCGTTCGCGTCCATGTACAGGCGGTTAACGACGAGATCCCGGTGCTGGTGAACAAAACAGATCTCAGAATGTGGCAAGGTGGCTCCTTGGCTCTGACTTCTGCCCAGCTCGCTGCTCTGGATAACGATACCTCGCCAAGGGACATCGTCTTCAACGTCTCCATCTGCAGACACGGATTCATCTCCTTCAGGGAGGATCCTAAGGTGAAGGTCTTCGACTTCACTCAGGAGGACGTTAACCAACGCAGAGTCCTGTTCACGCATACGAGTTAGTTACCGCTTTTACATGTGTATAGAAATTACCGACTCGCTGCATGTTTTTTTTTTAAACAATGAAAATTTCACCAAGGACTTTTTATATTCTTTTAGACGGTACCGACGCTGACTTCACGTTCACCTTGAACGACGGCGTCCACATGACGGAAAGCCACACGGTTTTGGTAACGACGAGCGCCGTTCGTCTGTCGTTGAGGAACAACGAACTTCTCAATATATTCCCGCTGACCAGGAAGCCGATTTCCTCGAAGCTCCTTCTGGCTGCGTCTTCGGACGACGAGAGGGAGATCAGATACTCCGTGCATAACGGCCCTCAACTTGGCAAGATCATGATGGAAACGAGCGAGGGCGTTTGGCTGGAAGTTAATCAGTTTACCCAGAAAGATGTTAATCAGAGCAGAGTCTCTTACGAGCACACGAAGCAGTTCATGGACCTCTCCGCCAACGACTCGTTCACGTTCAACGCCGAGACGCACTTTGCTCCGCCTTTAACCAATCAGGTGAGTCGCAAGACGAAAATTTAAATTCCATCAGCTACTCCACCACTGAATGAACGGTGTAGATTAATTTTGTACGACTTCGCGCGCATCATTCCAGGTATTTCAAATAGAGATTTCGGTGTCGAGCGGCGGTTTGGACCGATACATCATGGCGACGCCGGTGCGAGTCGAGGAAGGTGGATCGGCCCAGGTGACGATGAACATAACAGGGATCGTTCAATTTCTGCGAACGAAAGCAGGGATCCAAAATCCAGTGGTCCTGTCCCGTCTGGTAGCTCAACCAAATCATGGGCACGTGATGTTGCTCCCCGATCTGAACGTGACGACCTTCACCCAGCCGCAGATCGAGAGCGGCAAAGTGGCGTACTATCACGACCACTCGGACACCCTGGAGGACTGGGTGTTTTTCTCGCTGTATCTGACCCCGGGTCACGTCCTCCTCTGCAACACGAGTATCCCTGTAGTGGTGACACCGGTCAACGACCAGCCGTTCAAGCTGGTGACAAAGGCGCCCTTCATCACGGTGGTGCAGAACCAGAACCAAACGATTACCAGAGAGAATCTGCTGACGACGGACCCCGACACGGGCCCCGAAGAGCTGATCTACGACGTGATATCGGGCCCCACTCATGGGCGGCTACTCCTGCTGCCCTTCGGCCAGAATTCATCGGAAGTCCATCAGGTGAACCAGTTCTCGCAGCAGGACGTGGACTCCAACCGACTGGTCTACGAACACAGTGGACCATTCCAGGCGGTTTCCTTCTACTTCCGCGTATCCGACGGTCGATTTAATCCTATTTACATTGTATTCAACGTCCATGTCCTACCGATCAAGTTGAACGTCACGGTGGTGAACCCGGTGCGCCTGCAGCAGGGCTTGAACGTGGCGCTGATCTCTCAGGACAACGTCAGGCTGGACACCAATGCTCGACAGGACCGGGTCACCTACAATGTCACCAGGTCGCCAAGGTTCGGCAAGCTGTACGTCAGGGACGTCGCGGCGACTGTCTTCATGCACACGGATTTGATGTCGAAGAGCGTGATGTTCATGCAGACGGACATGACGGCTTCAAACGACAGTCTGGAACTGGCCGCCCAGCTCAACGGCTTCGAGGTGAGGAACTTGCAGATCGAGATCAAGGTCGAGCCCCTGATGATCACCGGTCCGATGATCGCCCTGGTTGGAGAGAAGAACCGCATCACGCTGAGACACATGGACGCGACTCCCCTGGCCAAGCTGACCAGCAGCAACCCTGTATACACGGTGACCAGGAAGCCGAAATACGGCAGGCTGAAGCGTATCATCAGGACCTCCGGCGAGAAGAGGGCGCTCCGGGAAAAGGAGGTCGCCAGGTTTACCCACCAAGAGGTGGTCTCCGGGGTGGTCTATCTAGTATGCAGGAAGATGCCCGTTCTGGAAATCGAGGGCGTTCCGGATAGCTTCCAGTTCGTCCTGGCTGCCTCCATATTTCAGCCCGCAACGGGCGAGTTCCGATTCAGGGTCAAGCTAGACGTGGACGAGTTCAACATGACCATGGGTGGACCCATGGACCCGGTGGGCCACGAAGGGGAAATGGCCATTGCGCCGAACATGAGCAACGACTATCTCCTGATTCTGGGCATGCTGTTGGGCGTGTTTCTCTTAGGCGTCGTCGTCATCGTCACCATCAGGTGCAGGCACAATAGGTATAAGCAGGCCGAAGAGGAGAAACCCGATGCATCCTCGACGGTTGGGGTGATGCCGCTTCCTAGACCACCTGACCATCTCATGCCCAGTTCTCCTAATCTCAAAAAGTTCTCCAACGACCATAACTGCGTCGGCATGAACACCCAGGTCCCGGTGCTGTCGACCATGACTTCGACTCTTCCGCAGTGTAAGGTCATTCCGCTCAATCCTTTGGAGAGTATTCCCGACTCGGACCTGGACGTTGCCGCGAGGTATCCCTATGGAGTGGCCGATGCGGACGAGTGGAGCAGCTTCGACACTTCCGAGTTGCCCTGCCAGTCCGCCACCTCCCAGAGGACGAATCCACTTCTGAGGAGGAATCAGTACTGGGTCTAGCAGGAGGTCTACGGCACCTAAGGAAATCGGTGCGGGTCGTAGCTAGAGGACGCAATGTCTCCCTATTACGAGGGAAGACGCGGTTGGACCTAGACAAGGGGGTGGAGGGAACTCGAACGGACTCTTTGGTCCATGATCTGCCACTATGGTCATCGCGCACATGACCGTACATACCTAAGTACATCGACCATTGTCATTACTACCGTGTGCCAAGAGGAATCCTAAATTCATCGTGCACCGTGATGTGGATTTTTTTTCAACCGGGCACTAAACCCGATTTCAATGTTCCTTTGGATATCTTTCGGAGGAACCTTCGAAATATGAGATGATCGAGTAATCAAGAGTGGACCGATGTTTTTAAGGACACATTTTCAAGGTGTTTCGACGAGGGTTGGATTAATATGTCTCCACCGAGGCAAGGGTTAGAGTATACTGTGCCAAATTTTTGGTAATGGGCTTAATGAGTTTCTTTTCTTTCCCAGTGTATGTTACCTGACTATCGGTACTTTTGCTGTACGTAAAGTAAGAGGTACAATTTTTAGGAGTTATGATGATAGGAGTCGTAGGATGATATGCGGCGGTCTGGCTTGTACATATTGTGGCAAGCGACGAGGAACTATTGGAACATGATCGAGGTATATTGAAAAAATATCTAAGATATCGTTGGAGAGTATTTAATGAGCGTTATCGCCGGGGAGTCGAAGAAAGGATTTTACGGACGAAAACTGCGGAACAGAAGTGGCCGATTTGTCAATTTTTGGGCATAAAGGAGAATGTACGTTGTAAAGCATCAACCTTGATTCTCGGGGTACTTCACTACTCCCATAAGTACTTTTATCGTGAATACCATTTACAGAAATAGAAACGATCGAACAATCACGAGCTAAAATGGACCTACGACCAAACGCTTTCTTCGCCGTTTGACTAAATTGTGCCTAAAATAAGACACGGAAGCGATCAATGTGTCAATGAGTAATCACGACCCGTCGACGATTATTATTGTCGAAAATTTCAAGAGGAGACGAAAACTCAAAATGGTGAAAAAACGAATCGACAGTGGAAACTTTTTCCGCGAAAATGTCGAGAAACTTTGGGAAGTTCCGCGAGAGCGAGGCCTAATTCGCGAGACTAGATTTCGATATTTCGCGGCTCTAAGAATTTTATACCGAGTAGAGGGTAGAACGTCGTTACTGGAGAATTAAACGAGCTACTGCTCGTGCTTAATGGCACGCAGGTGAAGGCCGTCTTAAGTAATGTCGAGTTAAAAATATTCGAATACGTATCACCAAGATAGAGAATAAAGGCCAATCATGCAGACCCTTTTCTTTTTACTGGCACTTTGTGGGGGATTTCCAGCCAAAGCGTCCTGGCGTTTCTTTTCCCTTCCATTTTACTCGGTTAAACGGGAGTAATTGAAACATTTGTAATGTCGGAGTCGAGGAATCAATTCAACGGATTACTGGCATTTCGGGTAAATGGGATGCCCAAAGGAAATAATAATATTTCTGATGGAGAACATCCGACAGGTCGATCGAAATTATTAGCATTAATTTCGAGGACACCTCGTTCGAGGGAAGAACAATTAATTTGCCACGGTGGAGTGACGTCGACTGGTTTAATCATATTACATTATATCGCTTCCCTCGACCAAGGGTTACGGGGTGCTTCCTTTGTATAATAATCTAATGAAATAGCCATAACGAAATCCCTGAGAAGATGGGATTTTCGGATTCGTCTGTAAATCTCGTTTTTCTTGCGCTGGATTGGGAAATTTCTCGTAAGACGTGTTGGACTGTGTTAAGGTTACACCACCGGTTACGATAATTAATATAATACGTACTCCGTTACTCCATGCGGACTCGTTGCGACAGTTGACATTTTATACGATTTGTACATAATTCCGTCGATCGTTCCGCCCCGACATTTAAACGAGTTCGGGAAAACGGCAACGATCACGACAATTCTTGACTTAAGGGTAATGTACGTCTCAAAGTCGACATTGATTGTGCAAGAATAAATTGTTTACCATAGAATAACGGCTTTAGAGTTTCTTTAATTATACCGTAAGCTTGCCTTGGGATTCATTATACATTTGGTTAAAATTCATTAAAAGCCGAGCATTTTGCCGTATTCTTTGAGAAAGTAAAATTCAGGTCGCTTTAATGACGCTCTTCTTTCCTTTTGCCGTTTGCACGAGTAGGTAAGAATTTTTTAAAAAACACCGACGGAAAGAGGTCGTTACGAATGGAAGAAAATGTTCGGTTTTACATGAGAATATATTTTCAGATATGTCTTATCATAAAAGACGCCTTAATAACGACGATTGTATCACGAGGCGAAGTCTCATGATTTAGTTTAAAAATGTTTCTATGACGAAGGCTACGATTTCCAGTACATCTAAGATACGGGGAGGCTACGTGAAAATAACGCTGAGTGAAAAGTATAAAAGTAAAAAATATGGTATAAAAAGAGGAACATGGGAGCGGATTCGTTGTGATACGTAAACCTTAATATTCGGACATTAAATTAAATGTAACGCAATGTAAAACTCAGTGACGTAGTCTTTTCGGGCTTAGATAGAAAAAAAATCCCCTTCTCATAGTTCCAGGGAGTAAGTTAATAATTATTTAAAAAATTCGCGCACACCTTGAGTGGCACCGGTTTCCGTATAACTTCAGTGAAGTAGTAATTCGAGACATAATTATTTACTCAAGTTTCCAGATCGTCTACGACTTATTGCTCTTCTTTTGACTACTTCTACGCACTTTCTCGGAATACATAATAAATGTAACACTCTTATCAGATAACATTAAAACTAGGGCTGTGAGATCTCGCTTCCTCGGTTCCACCTAAATCGGCTCTATAGGTATGTAGCACATCCTCCTGAGTAACAAAATCGGGAAGTTTGGCAGGAACACTATCGTCACTAAGACCAGTGGCGATAGGAGCAACAATAGGCTAGCATATGCTAACAGCCACCATATTGGAGAAATCCCAAGGACCGAACCTATCATTATGGTCATCGTCCAAATCCAGCTTCTCTGTTAGTGCTCCACCTGAAACGATGAAAAGTCATTTCCGTGAGACATGGGAACTTTTCAAAGGCGATGAAAATTTTCGTTAATTGTACCGTTCACGGAAACATTGTAGGGTATGTTTGTGTAAATGATACTGATCGAGGTGAGGCTCTCCTGCTCCAGATAAATCATAATTGGTCCTTGGTGAAAAAGAATTTCTTATCCGAGTTCGAGGTCCGATGATGCAACGCGTTACGAGCAGAGTGCCTTAAGTAAGAGTGGAGCCAATGTCTCGGAATATTAAGAGGCGTCCATCGCTCTCGAAAGTAGGGAAACCGTCGACCTTGCACTTTTATATGTGCGCAGGTGTCCTTGGAGAAGTCCGATTCGGGATGGGCAGAAGTCGAAAAATCCATCGATCCGCGGCGTCACGTCTCGGTGCTCCTACGCGCGATAATGCAATTGTCGAAGTTGAAATATTTTGCGAAACGATCGCTCGAGACGTACACTCGGAGAAACTGATTTTTCACTTTCCTTGTCCACGTCGCCGGACGTGCGATGCCACTCGATTGTCTCACGTTTTATCCAAACTGACGTTTAATTGTTTTCTTCCGTCGAGACGTCTACTTAAATAAATTCGGATAATGGAAAGTAGTCCATTTGGCGGAATCGTATTTTTTCGATGCACGATAAAGCGGTTCGTCGACATTAACGAGCGTCGGTATTCACGTGCCATTCCTGCAAGCTTCTATCGCATTATAGTACCGTGACTATAGTTACCCGAGCCGAGGAAAGTGAAATTTTCCCACTTGCGTAAGCCCCGGGTAATAGTATTATCCAACCGTCGCGGCAGATCGCGAAGTAACGTCATATCTAACTTGACGGCACATCGTAACCGATCGACCGAAAAAATCGCAAAGAACTAATTTTTACTTCGCGTTAAACTCTATATCTAAATTAGACTCTCTGCTCAAGCGGTCACCTTTACAATCCCACGTTTAAAATATACCGCAGTTTAAATGGCGAAAATTCTTTAACGAGGACATTCGCAATCTCGTACATGTAATTATACAAAATCAGATCGGGGTGTAATACGTAACGTTCCTCTCTAATTCGCTTTGTTCTACAGTTCTGATTTAGATTTACCGAGAAATTCTCTTGGAAGATGGCGAGCAAAAATGGCGATTACCTGTGGACGAGTCTCGGAGGCGCGTCGGAAACTCCGAGACGCTCCCGGACGCGATCCAGTCCTCCCTTCGACCATGCTCGCTCGCACTATTTGCATCCCTCGGGATGCCGTCAGGATCTTGCTTCCTTCGTCGGCACTTGACGCTTGTCTCTCATAAAAAAAAAACCACCGAATAGAGACCAGGAGGAGGCCAGAGCGTGGCACCGTCTCGATGTTCGTCCTGATACTCTCGTCGACGCGATGCCTCTTCGCGACTCTTGGAGGAACACCAATGCGCGGAATGCGCATGCGAGACTGAGTCGAGTCGCGGCCGGCCTTATACACTTTCCCTTTCTTTCGACTTTACTCACGGAATCGGTCTCCGGGATCGGCCGAGAGGTTCTCGAGTCACCCGGTTAGTTCCACAGGCGTCGACTTCGTCCCGACCACGCGGCCGAATTATTATACAGCTAAATAAACTTTTAACATCGTCATAGCCAATTATTAAAATTAATTCCTCCGCCTTAGATTATCTTAAATCGGCCAATTTTCCAAGAGTCCTTCGCGTCTCCGTCGTCGGCATTTGATAAGGGGCTTCGAATGAGTTCACGTGGATTTCATGAATTTAACTATAAACTAGAATTTTCGGGAATTACTGCGGAGGGTCGGTCGGTACCCCGGGAATTTTCCGGGAAACAGGGAAAGTTTGGGGGATCTCATGGAAATAGAAACACGGGTTTTTCGAGAAAATGGGGAAATTGGGAAATTCGAGCGAGAAAGGACGAAGTGGACGCCTCTGGTCGACCCGATCGAGTGCAAGGGTACGCGTCACCGACGTGTACCGACGTTACTCGCACTCACGCTACTCGAGTCGGTGTGCGAGGTTGTTGGCAATGACGGGTTTTAGGAATGCCTCGCGAACAAACGAACGGACGAATCCAACGCTCCGTTGAGAAAATGGTGCCACGCTCGAAAACGTTACTAACGACCTGCGAGAACGCACGCGTTTTCGTGACACTCGGCGCTTAGGCTATTCGGCGATCTCGGCAATTAAAAGAGGCAGTTAATCGCAAATGTACGCCAGATCCAGTCTTTAATTTTATTGTCCCAGCTACCTTTGGAGAGGGTCGACCGTATCGCGCGTACTTCTCGACGCATCCCCGTCTTGCAAGGATGAGAGGCAAGACGGGACGAGGCCGAGTTTCGCCGGAATACCCATAAAAATCTACTTATAGGTCGACCTCGATTTCCCTTCTGTATTTCCCTTCGCTCGCCACCCTAAATTCCCCATAACCACCGTGAATTCGTGCACCGAGGTCCTAACAGTCCTCGACATCGCGAAAGTTTCTTCAAGCTTCCTTTGGCACAGCCGTGGGCAACGGTGGCGGAGGAGCGTCTGGAACTTTCTCAGAGTCTTCTTCATCATCCGCCGTCATTTCCCCCGCATCCGCCGATGGCTTCTCTTCCTGGAACTCCTTCCTCCCGGGAGACTGCTCCTCCGACTTCGGGGTCTGATAATCCACGTAGTAGCCCCCGAAAGCGTTAAAGCTCCTGTAAACGTTGAAGTAAGGGTCGTAATGCAGCGAGTGATAATTCGGGTAAAATCTGAGCTGCTCGGCCTGGGCGTTCTTCTCGGGATTTTCCGCAGAATCGGGAGTCGATTCTCCATTTTCGCTGGACTTTTCCCCGGCACCTTCGGGCTTCGGCGTCGCCGACATCGTTTCGATCCTACTATCCCCTGGCAGCAGTAGAAGCGGCGATTGCGGAACGGGCAACGGTTGTCCGCTAACGAACGGCGGCACGTTGTAATAAAATGGCGGCACGTAACCCACCGCCGTTCTGTGGACCACGGGTTGAATCACCGGGAAGGCCCTCGATGGGGAGAGATTCTGGTTGCTAGTGATCAATGCATTATAGACTTTCGGCACCCGCAATAATCCCGGAAAGGGGAGGGCTGCACCGATCGAGATCACCAGAGCGAACGTCGGCAATCGCATCTAAAAAAGAACCATGATTACGGGATGCACTATTTGGGATCAAGGATCATTTTGCGCGACTGGTCACAGCAATCAAAATAATTTTACAAATCATAATTAGACCATAAAGCGTAAATGAGGCACGGAAAATGAACAAACTCTGTGGATCTCTGATAGTACCGTGAAACAAGATGGCGCCGCCAACGGAAGGCCTCGCCACCGGGGTGATGTCGCGTGATATGTAAATGCCCAAGAAATACTCACGATTTTTCCCTATGTGAGATATCTCGGTACTCTCGATTGTGTTTCCTGTTTCACAGTGACCGTCGAGAAGCCGATACCCGGCAACAAGAGAGCTGCGTGGAGTAATAGCATTATATGGCACAGAGGGCCCAGAGTTCAAGACTCACCTCCCACCTCAAGGATTGGCGAAAGTACTCTCCAGTCGATAGTAAAATGCCCAACTTTTGTGCCGGCTACGGTGGACACGTTGTTCAAGGTCACCTGACAATGGGCACAAGTATATAGCATCGAAACGCCGCAGCCGTTCCGTTACGGCTCGACGAAGTGTCCGTTAAAAGTATGTGAGTTTCTCGCTGAAAAATGTATTTGGCTCGAAACTCTACCGAGATTCAACGTCCACCAAGAAACGCTCAACGGTTTTCTTTTGGTTCATCCGATGCGCCAAAGACGTGGTTATGCTAACTTTTGAAAAAGAAAGTGATTTTTAATACTTATCGATATAGAAAACCGTTATTATACGTACGTTAAACAACTCCATAGTTTAAGCTTGTATCCCATTTTCATTCTTATTCGATTTCATATTGAATAAGAGAAAGAAATCTCCCCTTGTAATCGAAATGTAAGTGGATCATGAAGGATGCAATTAGCATCCCGAGCGTGGACAGGCGTCACATCTTTACCCCGCTCAATTATCTTGTTATAAACTGTTATCGTCCGAGTTGAATATTAATTTCAAACCTGAGATTTTGCGCCATCTTGCGGATGGAGAGGTAACCCAAATTGTAGTATTCTAGTTTCGCCATGAAGAATCTCCCTGCCCTCTAGAAGGGTTCCGTCGATACTATCATCGTACACGAAGTTATCGACGGAGTCGACATTCACCGATACTACTTTTTCTTACTGCTACAATTTGCATTTACCAATTTCGTGGACTCAATAAAACCGAATTAACGAGTAGACGGTTCCACCGAAAAATACGAAAGTCGAAGTCGGGTATCTAAGAGGTTACTCCGCTGCCTTGTAAGATGGCGCCACAAGTCATCCCTAGAGACGAACTATGAACAATTAGAAACGACTCGGGCCACTTGGAACAATAAATCAGGAAAAAAAAATTTACTTTCGAGAACATGCAAGGAGGGAGGTGCATATCGAAGGATAAAAATAATCCATGATATTTATTCCAGGTACGTTGACCTATTGGAACACTTTTCCACGAATTTATACCGAAAAATATTTTGTTTAGCCGTTGGCGGTAAATTACGGCGCATCATCGACTCTGGTATTCGGTATTTATACAAGAACGACAATATGATGACTTGCGGGCCAAAAGCTGTGTTGCTTCGTCACGCAACAGGTGAACTAACGTTTCAATCTCCAGAGGCAGGAATTTCGCGTGGTAAGGTAACGAATTCTCAAAACGATCTTCCCGGAATCTCGATTTTTCTTCCTCAAGACTTGGTCGACCCGATATAGGTCTTTCAAATAAAAGGCCATGGAAATTCGTTCAAGTTTTTACAATCGTCTCTTATTATACCGATCGCAACAGTACGTTCGAATTTCTTCGGCGACGAGACAACCGGCTATAAAAAAAATTCCTTCTTCATATATCTATTAAATCCTCGATGACTCGACAGTCGCAGTTTCTCACCTATACCTTTTTTATTTCAGACGGCATGTCGGATTTCGTGATTCCATCTAAAAAAAGAAGTCTGACGAACTAAAACGGAGTAAGCGCATCTATGAGGCGACCGTTTGTCGGTAATTCGATATTATTAGTAGGAAATGAAGTTGGATCGTTTTGTTCATAAAAGTAGAAGAATAATTAAAAGGAAGATGCAGTCAATTCGTCCAGGAAACGTTTCGAGTTCTCTCTAGTTCTGAACACGAGGAGACCGGATGAACTTCCGAATTCCGAGCCCTGCTCATATGCTCAGTTATATCGCAACGTTAATGGAATCCTTAATGGCTTCCACTACCGTTAAGCTGCTAAAGAATAACGCCGCATCCTGACATGTTAAACTGCTTTAAAGGAAACGAGGAAGAAATCTCGTTCCTAGGTAGAAACCTCGTCCGGTCGATCGATTTCGGCGGAAATTCCGTTGTGCGGCATACCTAAAATGAAATTCGGGTTAAAATATTGCGACGAACTCCTTCGAATGTAAAGAAATGTCTCGATGACGTATGTCGACTATCGAAAATTCCTGTAATTATTAAAACGCATTTTTTGCGTCGCGACGCATCACGCGAGCGACAAGAATACTTTTGGAATCGAGTTAAAGTAGTTTGGGTATAAAACTTGAAGAATGTCACTAAATTTAATTTTCTAAAATTAAACCCCCTTCCAAAGCTCGTTAATCAACGGTCTTAACGCGGAAAAGAAACGGTGAACATGAAATACAGCTCTTACGCGGGCGGTAATTTGAATCGAAGCAAACGATACGGCACGCGTGTAAAAACGCAAACTGTTAGTACCTCGCTTATTTCCGTAGGCTTCCGTTATTTTGCAACGTTCCCCAGCAATATTCGCACAACGTGGCGTCGCAAAACCAATGTAACGAACGGTCAAGGGCGCTCAAAGGAGTCGTCAAATTTCTCTTCTACTTCTCCGAAATAAAATCGAGTCATGTCCAAAAAATGCCAACAGCGCCGGAAATCCACAAAATCCATGAAATGCCCCAAGCGACGCGCAATACCTTGTCTGCAATTAATTACCGTATATTAATCTCTCCATTTCCACTCCTACGGGTGGGGAAAAATATTAAAAACATTTTGAATCTGAACTCTATCCGATTTCACGGTGCACCTCCGGACTAAAACGAATATCGTCAATTTTGATCGGTCGCGTCTCTCCGACTCGTCGTCGGGTGGTTTTTGACGTCGCCGAAATCGCCGAAATTACGGACGGTCCTAATCGCGAGCCTAATCGCGATAATCTTGGGAATCGGCATCGGGGAGGGCATCGATTCCGCGGCGGCGGCGGCGTCGTGGCGCGCGCCGTCCGTGGGGCGGGTAGGGCGGGCGGGAAACGCGCCACACTGTCAGTAGGATTGGTGTTTTGCCGGGACTCGCGGCGCGACCATTCGAAAAGGAAGGACCACCTCTGTTGACCGTATTTGGCAAAGTTTCCCTAATATGGTAACGTCTACTTCTAAATATGGCATCCGGGGACGCCCTCCGGGTGCCGCGTGTGCTCCTCCGCGGCCGACTCGGGCGACGAACCCGGGCGACCCGGGGCCCCCGGAAGTCGGATTTCCGGGTGAACCTGGAGCGGGGCCCGGGCGAGGTTTTTCCGGGCGAAAAGCCGAATTCAGGGCCCCTCGGAAGGGCCCTATTCGGCGAGGGCGGACTACTTCGTCCCGGCGGACGGCGATCTCGGTGGGGGCGCGGGACGCGGCGCGGCCGCTTGGCGGCGCTACGCTCGACACGTAGGTCAAGTTACTCCAGCGGAGGCGCGCTCAGTCAACGTGCAGCGCTCGCGTCGCGAGGTTCACGGAGCCCCTCGTGGCCTGGTCTAGATGGTGGTCGATCACGTGGTCCGCGCCGAGCCAACGACAGGGGACAGGGGACCGGCTCGGGAGGAGATCGCCGCTGACCGCTCCGCATCTGCGGGTAAGAGGTCGGAATAGATGCGCCTGCCGACGGTGGCGAGGGCCGCGCCGACTCCGTGATGGACAACTCCGGGGCCGCGAGAGACGGTCGGTACGCGGCACTGGGGTACGGCATGGGCTTGCTGGCGAGCGAGACGGCCGGCTCGCCCGGGCCCGAGATATACGGCCGGGCCTCGACCTCCCAGCTGGCTGCTAGTTCGCAGATGGTCCGCGGCGGCGCCGCCATCATGGCCGCCGGTGGCGCCCCCGCCGGCTCGCCCGGTGGCCACGTGCAGCAGCAGCAGCAGCGCGGCATCAAGCGCTCCACCGGCGACGTGTGCTACGACGAACCTGCCAACCCCAGGCAGGCTATGGCCCAGGGCCAGCCGATGCCGGGCATGCCCGGCCCCGGCGAGTGCGTCGCCGATAACCTCGACGAGTCCTTCTCTGGCCTCGGCCACCCCAAGAAGTCCCCGCCGTCCAACGGCAAGAAAACCAAGGGCAGGGTCAAGATTAAGATGGAGTACATCGATAACAAACTCAGAAGGTACACCACCTTCTCCAAGAGGAAGACTGGCATCATGAAGAAGGTGCGTACCACCGCTCGACGCCGACGGGTTGAGGTTGGGCCAAGTCTGGTGGAAACTTAGAGAGATAGACGAAACTTCTACGAAGTACCTTTTTTACCCCCTGGCTTCGATTAGCCGCTTTCGCCTGGATTTGTACCGCAGTCGATAATTGACGGGAGATTTTTACAGATCGCCGTGAGGTCTTTAATAATTCTGCACAATGTGCCGTGTTCATTTAAAGAGACTTTTTAAAGTATATAGCTTGTTTTGCCGTAAGCAATTTTCTCTTGAGCTTGACAGGAAAACTGGTTTTCCGAACCCGGTCGGTAATTTGGTACATCTATGGAGTAGTTGCACGATAATAAAAACACTAAAGATCTCTTGAATTTCAGCACTAGCGTTGTCAGTTTTATTTTGTACGTTCTGTTCAATTGAAATTGGATTTTAACGTCATTGCTGTCCATTTCTTCTATTTTCTATGTTAAAGCCAAAATTGGAGATAGTCGGGTAAAGTAGAGAGTGATTTATTGGGTTTTGGAATCAGACGGCAACGGCGTTGCTACGTTCGTGGATAATGGTTTATATGTACTATCGATATATCGTCATCGATAGCGAGCAACATAGGACATTGCAATTGTGTCTTACGATGTTAATACGATTACGACTCTATGCCAAAGTTATGTTATTAGTATTAAAATAGATCTATAGCTATTTGAACGCCGTTTGGATTTTGCTCTATTCTGTGTGAAACGTTCCGACTTTGCGCTGTTTATCTTAAAGAATGCCAGTTGTACTGCACGTAATAATTTTCAACGAATGCTTGTTCTATTCGAATACATAACCCGATCTACTGTTATCCGAGGTTTCATTTAACCCAGGACCAGGGATGTTTCTTTGACTAACACGTTGAACTTTAATTCGTAAATATACTCGACTAATACAAGATTTATCGGAACGACAATGCGTAGGCGCAGAGTCTTGAGTTTCGTAAGTGTTGGCGAGAAGTACTAAATGTCCCAATGAAAGAAACATCTGTTTTAACCTATTAGAATGCTAAAGGCCTTACTCTAAAGGAAGTACATGAATCATTTTCTTTAATTCTAGAGTCTGACGGGTCCATGTCGATCGATGATTTTTGCTAACGTAGCGTAAGTTAAAACTAATTCCTTGAAGTTTATCTAACATTACTTTATCTGGCCATGCTTTTCAATAATCGCACACGCAACACTTAATTTTAGATCTCTTGGGGCTGTCGTTTGCTAAGTACGCAACCACATCGATCGAACTCAACAAACTACGTTAGGGTATTTAATTATTAATAGCATTACAGGAACTTAAATAACGTCACCGAAATTCTCACCTCTGACTTACCTACATTCCTCGACAAAATTTATAATTCCTTTACTCTACTTTAATCGAGGATAATGGAGAGAAAAAAATCATAGCCCATTGGTTCCACAATTCTTCGCAGCTCATCAACCTTCTGGCAAAATTAATGCTAACGATTGTACCGAAATCTGGAAAATAGAAGGAAATTAATGACGCGTCAATGCCAATAATTGGCATAAATTTTCTAATTATTTTTAAATTTCACCATTTCTCTTACGTTACATTTAAGTCAAGACCCACCGTCAAATTGCATCGACAGATAATCTCAGACCCTCCGAAGGATTCTAAAATTGATTTAACGCATCCTGTCTATCGGTGATGGTTTCACAAGTATCGCAGCGTCACAATACGTTTCCATAACGCAGACATCGTCCTCGTAAATCTCTTTTTTTTTTTTCCCGAAGTAAAGAGTCTTTCGTCAAGTTGCATCGTTAACAGCGCTTGCGAATATTGAAGCTTGGCCGGCCGTTGGAGGTTTGCACATGAGGAAATTCTCGGTTGACTTGCAGGCGTACGAGCTGTCGACGTTGACCGGGACCCAGGTGATGCTCCTGGTGGCCAGCGAGACGGGACACGTGTACACGTTCGCTACCCGGAAGCTCCAGCCGATGATAACCAGCGAGGCCGGGAAGGCGCTCATCCAGACCTGCCTGAACAGTCCGGACCCTCCGCCCTCGGGCTCCTCGGGTGACCAGCGAATGTCGGCCACCGGGTTCGAGGAGACCGAGTTAACGTACAACATCGGCGACGAGGAGCAGAAAGTAAGGCAACTGGTGTACGGATCGTCGCACGGTGGCTCGTTACACGGCGGTTACAGCGGTGGCAGCGGGCCACCGGGAACGCAGCACGTGGCGGCTCAGCACGCACAGCACGCTCAGCATGCGCATCTGATAGCGCACGCGCACGCTGGCTCGCCGAGCTCGCACCTGGTGCCGTGCTCGAGTCCAGGACCCATGCTGACGGGAGGACCGTACCAACAGTCCTGCCCGTCTCCCTTGCCACCGCCCCACGCGACCTACCATCCGCACATGTCGCATTCTCATCCTCAACGATAGTTCGTCGAGGAACCCTTTCGCTTGTCGCGCGCACGCGCCTTCGTAGAGATGATGCCACGAGTCGAATGCCTCCTACTCGAGTCGATCGCGTACCCGAGGGTTAGGGCGAGACCTACCCTCTACTAGCACCGAGCGTTATTCGGCTCATTCGAGTTCTCTCGTCTTTTACCGAGTCTCGACTCGAGTCCTAACTCGGGTTCATGGAGCGATTCGACTCGTCGCGTCGCTGGTTCTTCGTTGTGCCCCTTGTGCTCGTCGAGATGTCTTCCCGTACCGTCCGTCCGGCTTGCAACTCCGGACCCCGGCCACGAGGGCGGCCCCGATGGCGGGGTCACCCTCCCCGGCTGTAGATGTAGCAGTTTGAGCATGCGAATAACCGTTCTTAGTTGTTTTTTTTTTTAGCATCTGCATGGTTCGAGCGACGGGGCACTGGCGGAAACTTAGGCTACGGTCCCGGCTGCATTCGTAGACCCAGGCGAGACTGGCTGCGACTAGTTGACCCGCAGAAGTCGCGTGATCTCGATGCGAGAATCGGGACCTCTCGGAGTTCTGTACGCGCGAGGGTTGTCCCGGAGGAACGGGGAGGCGACGAGTTGAGTATTTCCTCTGGTTAACCCTTTGATCGAGAGGAGCGCCCGAAGATGGCCAAGTTTTCCTTGTACCTTAACCCTGCACCTTTGTTTTCGACACATTTCTTTTTTTTTTTTCTTTTTTCAAGACCTCGGTCAAGGGGTTAACTCGGGTCCAGCATGTATTCCAGTCGATTCGAGTCATTTTTAACGTAACTCGAGGTGTTGGCACGAAGTGCGAGGTAGGAAAGTAAGAGCGAGACCGAGTCACGGGTACTTTCTTTACCGAGTTGTCGACTCGAGTTCGTGTTATTTAAACCGTTTGAACTTTATATTCGAGTTAAGAAGTAGTCGACTCGTCGCGTCACCGACTGGGAACCCTGGGGAAGAAGCGCCGTTTCTAATGAGGATATCGCACTAGGTCGGTAGGGTACTAATGTCGCAATTCGCGGGGAGCATTGCAACGTCCCTCGGAGGGTAGGACAGGAAAGGGTGTCCCTTCCTCGGTGTTTTCGGATTAGCTCGCAGGATCCCGCGATGGGAGAATTATTAGTGGTAGTTTTTATTAACTCGCGGTTACTTGCATCGCGCACAAGTCCCTTCTCCGGCGAGGTGCAATGGTACTTAGGCTAGATTCCAAGACTCGTGCAATCGACGGGCGTTTCTCTCGGCGAAGGGCGCGAGCGGTTAATGAGAAATGAAGAGAAACGGGTAAATCCGTAACCAGGAAGTGGGCAAGGGAGAGACAGAAGTTCGCGGGGCAAAAATAGACGCATCAGTCGGCACAGGATCTGTGCAGTCTTGTGCCGGCTCGGTTTTCATTGAGTTTTCGCGTCACTGCAATTTGACACGCCAGGGGATATAATAGTAACGACGTTTACTCGACATTAATTCTGGTACAGGATTTTCAACTGCGAGCGGAAAGTCGTTACGCTATGCCACGAGAATTTGATGTCGGTACGGAATCTTTGCAGTCTCACGTCGGCTCGATTTTCAGTGAATTCTCGCACCGCAAATGTCGTTACGCGATGCACCTAGAGAAACTACAGTGAAAAGGTGCGCAAAAGGAATAGGGATCGATGTAATCGTGCGAGAAATAAAATACCGGTCGATCCTTCGGTACGGGGGGGATTAAGTGCATCGTATATGGACTTTCCGCGGAGCATGGCGCGGCGATGGCGATGGAAGAAAAGAATTGCCCCCCTTATTTCTTTCTTTCTTTCTTTCTTTCTTTTTTTTTCTTTCTCCCCGTAGAATTCTTATGTCAGTTAAGCAAGTGTCAACGGCACTCGTTCCCTATTCCGCGGGGTTCGCGGATGGCAGAAATCGATGTCCGTGGAAAGCGTTGCGCAAACTCGTTTCACTTAAAACCTAACCGGTATCGGAGATGGCTACCGTGGAAACTAAACTCTAAGTCGGCGTAAAGTGCAATCGGTCCCGGAGAGATTTGACCGTAACGAGGCGCTTTGCGAGTTAAACGACTAATGGGTGGAGGCCCACCGGTGAACCGACATTTTGTACGAATCAGGGCGAACGTCGCGTTCCTCCGTCGCGGAGACTCGGTTTTCCATCTACTATGCTCGTCTCGTGTTAACCCGACCCCTGTATTCTCTTTTAGTTCTGTCCCACGCGACTCGGCATTCGTGGCCATCCTAGGCTACCTCGTATCCTGATAGATGGCCGACGACAGTGCGCGTTTCTTCCTCGTTAGTAGACTCTCTCTCGGTTCTCACCTACCGTTATGGCGGACGTCGGCCGCGGTTTTTGTCCCCGACTTCGGCGGAGCGAGCTCGCAAATTTTCAACCTAGTCCTTCCTGGTTCTAGCTCTCGAGCCCGTCTTCTTCCGGCGAGAAAGAGCCGACGTAACGAGTTATCGTAACCAGACTCGAGAGTTAGAGACTCCTGGTACCGATGGGTGCGTCTTGGTACCCGCGGTAGCTCGAACGCTTTCCAAATTTAAGGAGAGAAAAAAAGAAAGTCACGGACCCCCTAAATTATACGAAATTGTTAAATGTGTTTTGTGCCAACCCCCGGCAAGGGTCTTGAAAAAAAAATAAGCCTGCAGGGCTAAATTTATTCATTTTAATCGTCACTATCTCCGACTTTACGGTGATAAGAATTCGACGCGCGGGTCGCAGTTCTCCAAGGGGGCCAACATCTAAATCCGTATTTCTCGGTGAAGCTTATAGGTCTCTCTCTTTCTCTCGCGCGCGCGCGAATGTAGAAATAGCGTCCGAATTGGTGCGCGCGAGTTCTCGCTCCTCGGAGGAGGTTCCGACGTCGCGGCGAAGTACTCGCGAGCGTATCGAGGTACTCTGCGATATTTCGAGGTATTTTTAAGCGACGGGGGGTATTTCGAGGCGTTACGAGAACACCCAGGATATTGTTCTCGGATCCGAGTCAGGCTGTGCTTATTCCGTCGACGTGTATCGTTCTCTCTGTGAGAGCTAGTTCTGGTCCGTCCTGGTCCGAGGGCCACCCAAGGTGCAAATCGGTAGTCGATCGTTGAAGGATCCGCGTCATTCGATACGCGTTAAATGTCTTTCGGAAGGTCCTCTCGAAGGTCTGGCGTGGGAGTAATCGGCATTCTCTTCTCTGTCGTGTACTGCTCGGTAATCTCGTAAGTGAAAATCGAGTCTTCGAGATCGGGTTCTGTCGAGCATCACATAGTCCAGGGTCGGCGAGGTTCCGTCCCCTCGCGAAATTGGTCTCTAAGAGACTGTCAAAGTAGATTCTTCATCGATACGATTCCTTATCACAGGTACTAAGTTTTCAACTTTAGGGTTTGTTTGAGGCCACGTAGAATTTTTTTAACGGAACGTCTGTATTTTTTTGGAAATCAAGTGTCCTGTCCTTTGGTCTTGGACGAGCCGAAGGTATCAAAAATGATCCGGGTACCGCGTGGGGAAAAAATAAGTGGAAAAATGACGAATTGTAATTATCGTTAAATTAACGCACATAATGAGGGAACGAGTCGTGACGGTTTTGGATATGTTGGATGCTTGCAGTCTCTCTTTCTTGGCTACGGTGAGATTCGTTCTTTTCACGTGCTCGCGGTGCCTCCGATCGTCGTCGTAGCTCTGTAGTTTTAAATGCCAGTCCAAAGACCTCTCATCGTAGACAAGTGTGGCATTAGTTGGGGAGAAGAGTGTTTCCCCCGCGTTAGGCGAAGGAAAATGCGCGTAAACCACTTCGTTTAGGTTTAGGCTAAATAACTCATGTGATGACCTGTACAGCCCGTCTTCTCGTTTTTCATAATTAATTTATATTGTATTTATTAACAGAAATAATTGTACCCATTGTCAGGGCGCGCCCGAAGGGGGTGTTCTGTTTTCTCTCTGTTTTATATGTATATTTCTTCTTTTTTTTTTATCCGATATAAATTAGCATCGTATTAAATGCGTTAGGGTCGTCTTAAAGTAAGAGACATGTCGGACCGGTCGTTCGGGGTTTGCGCTGGTGAATTCGACGTAGCTTTTGTAAAAATGTATTCGGTAGAAAGAAGGGAGGAGAGAGAAAAGGAAAAACGTGCCAGGGGATTGCGCGAAGACGGTATTTTTATTCGATGGCAAACATGGCCGTCGAATTTTTTGTCTGCTTTTCGGATGATCCCCTGGATTATATCGATTCATGGGCCCTTTTTTTTTATTTTTTTGCCGGTTGCCGAAATCCATCGCGAATCAAATTTCTTCGTTTCCGCGCAGTCCCGGTCCTCCGGAGTCGCCAGAGTTCGATTCTAATCAAGCTTATCGTAGATTTGCGGGTCTTTCCGATAACCCAGTCGGCTGGTGCGACGTGTTTAATTAATATACAAAGAGAAGATATTAAGGTAGCGAGGCATTAGAATCGTCCCAAGAGGAGCAAACAACTCGGTCGGACGATTTTCAGAGAACAAGATTAACGTGTAATCATCGAGTGGTCGATCGTACAATGCGATTACCTGCGAGACGCTTGTCGGTTCTCCTTATTGAACCGTCAATAAAAAAGAGAGAACCCAAGGAAAAGAGACAAGAAAATACAGAAAATAGCCGGCGAAACCCTTACAGGTGTTTAAACAGCAGCGTTTCATTAGCATCCGCCCTTTTGGATGGTTTTAGAAGAGGAGGACGATCTTTCTTAAGCGATCCAAGATGGCGGCCAAGGGTCGCGAAGAAGCGCGTCCCTCGTTTCGTCGAAACGATCGCTTTTTTTACGAAGAGTCGCGTCCTCGGACACTTCCGGAACACATCGATGTCCCCGGGAGGCTAACGATACGCCGCGATAACGATCGATTCGCTTAGATCGACGGGCGATATAATTATCCGTCCCCGTGCGAGCCCAGACCGGTACGTCCGCCATGGCGCGCGCGGCCATTGAGGCGACGCGCGTCGCGTGCCGTTTTCATCGTACCGCGTTTCGCTTAAGTGGCTTGAAAAGTAATGTCATTTAGTAGTTTAAGTAGACGATATAACTTGACGCCCCCCAATCGATGTTGCGTACACACTCTGCTCCCCTCCCCGTTCGCCCAAGAAGTCCGATTCCGACGGAAAGGAGTTCGGCGGCGAGTCGGCCTTCCTGGGCGCCGCCATCTTTCTTTTCCGGGGCTCTCCGAAATGACGCGGTGACGCTTCTTTTTTTCCGCTGCTTTTTCGCGTCGGCATTCCCACTCCTGTATCCCCCAGCCCCCTCACCTCTTCCTCCGTTACCTCGTGCATGCCAACATCTGTTCTTTGTCTATGTGTATGGCCTCGTAAGATAAATGTATATTTGCGCGTGCGCGCGTGTGTGTGTGCGTTTGGATATTTAAACACATAGGCGTACTTGAGACGGCATGAAAAAGGTATATTCTGCTCGTGAGTGATAAACTATTTAGAAACGCAAGAGGAAAGGAAAAAAATATATATATGTGGGTGTGTGCGTGCGCGTGTGGATGTATAGACGCTACTTCTCTCCCTATCGTCACGCAGAGTACAAATGATAGCATTAATAATGGTCGTTAACGGTAATTGTAATGATGCGCGATCCTCTTCCGGTATGTATTACACGTGTACATATGAACTGTAAAATACTGTGATAGTATTTATTATGCGTTTATACATTTTTATTAATAATACAGCTATGATGAACGATCTAGTCGATGGCCAATGTTAATTGCATTAGGGCTGGTTGTACTCTTTTTCGAGGCTGGCTCTTGTTTAGAGCTACCCTTGTGACGTCGGTATTGCAGGTAGGTACCTTGCCGGCTACTGTGCTTGCTGCGTGTGGCTTTTTCTTTTTTTTTCTTTGCGGTGAGGGCGTTTGCGCATGCGTGCTTTTCAGGACGTGACATTTCCTTCGAGTGTGGAGTTGGTTAGGCGAGCTGCACCCTCGTCGGATATACCTGCATGGAGGAAAATAGAAAGGCGTAGGTGGGAAATCCAGGAGTTTATTAATCGCTCCGTCGAGACGCCCTCTCAGGGGGGAAAGGAAATAAAATTTGAAAAAATCGGCGAGTCGATTATTCGCCGGTAAAATTGACTTTCTCGAAGGAAGGACTCTCGGGAAGACGCCCCCAAAGCGAGGTGCGACTCGCTCTTCGCCTCTACTATTGAAAACCTGAGGAAGGTAGGTGTTGCAGAAACTCCAGCCGAACGGGGAGAATCCGCCTCGATTTTAACGAATAAGAAGTACCGAGTGTCAGGAGGGATATTTTTGTAGGAATTAATGTGTACCGCAGGAGGGACGTTTGATGCTTCCATCTTTAAAAAAGAAACGGCACATCGGGAGCAAGATTTAAATTTCGCTCCCATCCCTCGAGCTTTTAAATATATCCCGCACACCAGGATATCCAAGTAATTTTTCTCCATATCATTTTTGCGCTTAAGAGTCGATCGCGACGGTTGAATTAAATTCTGTATCGCGCTTAACGGTCGACGCCGATTAATCGACGACGATGTATGCCGTTAGTGGCTCGAAGTCGTCCGATCGGGGAGCAGAATTTCATTTATTCGAGCCTCGCTCGAATCCGACATTTCCTGGATGCGCCTTCCAGGTTCCGGGGAATCGAGAGGACGAAGAACCGCGAGCGCAATCGAGAAGCGAATCGCGGTTTCCGTTCTGGGCTTACTTGCTAGGGGAAGAGGGGGGGATCGCTCGAAGGGGAATTTACGACTTAACAAGGCAATGCCCGGACGAGTAAGCGTAATGCAACGCTCGGCACCCAGGTGTACACGCGTATGGAAGGTGGGAGCAATATACCATATACGGTCACCTTTGTCAAAGCCCGGTCGTCGCCATATACAGGCAATGTTCGCGATGGCAGACACTTATATAGAGTTCGACTTAAGAGTCAGGAATGTCGGTTTTTATTGCGCCTTCCACCCCGCCGCCGAGCGCGAGCGAGCGAGCGGAAGCGACGTACGGACCGGCCACTATTTCAACTATTTATACTTACGCCGCTTGTTTCTGCCCTTTTTAATCCCTCCCCGGACCCCCCGAGCGGTCGCCTTCTCTTTTCTCTATTCCCGAGAGTACGCACCGCGGTCCGCCTTCATTTTTGTCCCACTTGCACGCTCTTGACGGCCATTTCTGCCCCGATTACTTTTCCCACTTTATTTTTTTTTTTCGCCCCCTTTATTCGCACTTTATTAAATAGAATCTAACGAAGTGGAGGTATGGTTCTTCGAAGGAACAGCGAAAGAATGAGTTAGGGTAGAATTATTTAGGGGGTCGCAAATCCAGCTGGAAAATCGAGGGATGAAGAGGAAAGCGTCGCTCTTACGGGTAGGGAGAGGGAGCTGGAGAAAAAATGATTCTAAGGGTACGAAGCTAGTTTCTGGGTTTAGGGACGGGATTTTTTTTTTTTTTTAATTCTGATATACCATCGTTAGCGTATTAAACGAAACGATCCGGGCAAATCGTTAGCAACGCTACCGTGAGAAAAGTCTTTAAGTTCTAGTAAATTTGGTTTTATCGTTTTCGCGGATAGCGAGGAATTTCTTCTTATGGGCCTCAAAATTCCTTGGAGTGCGGAGTCGATCGCTAATTGACCAACTATCGTGGGGAATTATTCGCGGAGATTAGGCATTAAGGCTGACTCTAGCTTCTAGCGGTTTATTGTCCATATAAGGAACGAAAGAGTACGTCGCCTTCTGTGAAGGGGAAAAAACTCCCGCGGATTATAATTAGGGAACGACTGGTCGGGCAATGTCGTTAGAGCGTTGACTAATTAACTAACTGTCGATGAATTTCGTTGAAATTCAGCCATTGAAGTTGATTTCGGTTCCTGGCGATCGATTGTCCTTATAAGGAGCGAGAAAGTACGTACCCCTCTTCACGTGCGCATACGCATGAACTCGTTTTACTGGGTTGAACGATCGGCTCTACTGTTTTCATTTACAGCGCTCTTTAACAAGGACTCCATCGGTTGGTCGGGTAAAACGTGAGGTCGGATATTTTCTATTGGGAATCTCGAGATATGAATTACGGAGATTTCACCTAACGCTTCCATATTTTCACACTTCAGCGGAACCACTTTTTCATTCCAGGTTTCGGTCTCTAAATAATAAAAGCATACCGAAAGTATGTCCGCATGTCTCTCCAATATTTTTATCTGATCTTTGTCCATATTTCTGGCTAATCATTTCACTTGATACGGAAAGGGGGGCCGCCTTTTTGTGTTTTCGGAGTCTGCGCCTTGCAACGACTCGACTCTTCGCTTGTAGATTAGAATTAGAGTGCCGAATGTAATTATGCTTGTATCATTAATCGAGATAATGTCGATTGTTTCAGGAAGACGGGTCTTCACCTAGATCGGATATCTGTGGAAATGATAGCGAGGGAGATACGAGTGGCCGAGATTCTCCGATCGCGAGTGAACCGCTGAAAAATCACACAGGTAAATATTCATGACCCTTGCGCACTCAGGTGTACTTCATTTTAACAATGTTTTAGGTGTAACCGGGTAATCGAACTGTTCACGTATCTGTAGTTTAGGGGATTAGTTTCAATTAATATATTGGAACGTTGTGTGTTTGTTTTCCAGGCAGGCGGCAAAACCAAACTCTGGTTTCGTAATGAAAATCATTATCTATACTGGAACGCGAAGAACTACTACTTATTAAATTGTTGTTATTTAAGAAAGGAATAAACTTCAACTTGTTAAGTAACTAGGGAAATGCAGCGAGTTCGAAACAACGTGGTACTGCTAACTATGGGAAAAAGAGTTGGCGAAGAACAACATTTTCATGAACTGTACATTTTATAATAAATTCCCAAATCGCATGGTTCATTTTGCTCACTTCTAGGTACCTCGACTCGCAAACTCTTAACTTATCGTTACTTAACCTGTTTGGCCTCCGATAATCTAACGACACTATATTTTATACCTATGCATATTAAATAATACGTTACATATATGTGATTTTAAATAAAGTGGCAGGATGTCTAATAATTCTGAGGTATATTTTATGCTTGTTACGTACGCTCGTATTAAAAGTGGTGTGTTTACAAAAATGTACAGATGTGCACTTAATATTGGATATTTTTATTAAAAGTTCTTATAAATTATTGGCAAGGTGCCTCAGTCATTTTGAGATTATAAATTATGAATTTATTACACTAGTGGAACTATTTTTAATCTCGACAATGATGTAACTAGTCGCACTCTTATTCGTACTTACATATAATTATTCGCGTTTTTTAGATGAACCTTTGTTATGTCTGAAATCATTACCGTCGTGTGTTGACTTTTTTTCCTTATGTTTTTTATAGTTTGACATGTGATCCACCCTAATGACCCTCCCTAAAATCTGAATTAAAGTGTTGCATGTAATTAGAACTGTTAACAAAGTACCTGATTAATTTAATTTCAGAAACATCTTTTTGCTACCAAAATGAAATAACTTCAAGTTTACATAATTGTCCACATACCTTAGTGCCATTGAAATTGTCAACGGCAAGCACTGTACTTCTCTGATCTTCGTAGCAAAGAAAACCATATCCCTTCTGCTTACCAGTCAGCTTATCCCTAATTAAATTAAGATCAACTATTTCTCCATATCTGAAAAGGAATTTTAACACATTCCAGCTAGTCTGCATCGCCAAATTTTTTCAATGTTTAAAAAAGTGACGTGGTAACGGGTTAAACTTACTGAGAAAATATTGTAATTACATCTCCTTCCGTTAAGTCGTATGGCAATCCTCCAATAAAAATCCAAGCACTCTCTTTATATTCATCGTGCCATGATGTCTTCGAGTTGGATGTCAAATCTTGCTGACCAAGTTTTGCAATATTTTTTACATTCCTATGCAGATAAAGCAAAAGATATTAATAATTCCTTTGTCATCAATATTACATATCTTAAATAGATTTCGATTACCGCATAACTTTCTTCTATAATCTATCCTAATTTTTAAATTATTTTTAACATGTTTGTTTCCTTGTAGAAAACCTAACCTAAGAAATGAACGATAACTTACGTCAGTGGATTCATTTCACACTTCTCATTAAAGTTACCCTTCACAACGATTCTTTTTATTACATATTATTTTCTGTCTAAAATTTTCTCTTTTTACAAGTTTCTCGACCAAATGACGTCCCTACAGATTTTAGAAAAAATTTTTCAAGCGGTCGGGGAGCACACTGGAGCACCACGGCCATAGAACAAACAAGAAGTTAGTACAGTGGCGGACACGAATGCCTTTCCTACGGATATAGTGTCGCGAATGCATAATAAAATGCATTTATGTCCACTGATGTACATACAGGGTAGCAAAGATGAGTTGGCACGTTTGTTGCACTAGTTGCACCATGCCTGAATTTGTCGGATGTCTACTACTTGTTGACTGAAGACTTTGAATTGTCATCAATTGTCATCGCGCTCTTCCAGTATCAGAGACGAGCGATGACCCATTCATCTCTGCCGCTATCATCTAATGATATTTTATAAAGCCTCTCTTTAAGGACAAGCATTAAGTTTAGTGAAAATGGGTTCTACAAAGGTAAGAGAATTTTATATGAGTTTTTGGATAAATAGTAACAGGTTACTTTTAACATTATTTACAGATTGAATTTGCTGTACAGATGACATGTCAGAATTGTGTGAATGCACTACAAAATGCTCTCTCAGTAGTTGATGGCGTACAAAATGTTGAAATATCGTTAGAGAATGGGACTGTAATCGTTGATACTTCTCTTCCATATTCCTTAATACAGGATAAAATAGAAGATACTGGAAGAAAGGCAGTTTTGAAGGGTTACGGAGGCATGTCTAATTAATATTTATTGTTAACTTAATCAATTATTATGTAGACCTATTATTTATTCAATTCAATTTTTTAGTTGATGCTGAAAGTGCTGTATCTATGCTTGGAGGAAATTCAGGGTACAGTATAAATAATGAAGTTAATGGTGTAATTAGGTTCGTGCAGACAGAAGAAGGCTGTATTATAGATGGTACAGTAGATGGTCTTAGTCCAGGACCTCATGGATTACATGTACATGAATGTGGAGATATATCGAAAGGTTGTGAAAGGTATTTTCATGATTATTAAAAAGTTTTATTAGTATATGTCCATTGTTAAAAAATTATTATGAAAGATATCCATTTTCTTTGTAGCGTTGGTGAACATTTCAATCCTGACAACACCATACATGGAGGTCCCGACAATGATCGCTCAAAGCGGGTTAGTTAAAATTAATTATTAATCATAATACAAAAATTTAAATTTCATAGCTTTAATAACATAATTACACATTTCAGCATCTTGGTGATCTTGGTAATATTGTTGCTGATACGGATGGATGTGCGAGATTTAGAATAATAGATAATCTATTAAAAGTATATGAAATCATTGGTCGATCACTTGTCGTTACTGAAGGCACAGATGATTTGGGAAAAGGAAACAATTCTATGTCCAAAGTAGATGGTAATAGTGGAAAGAGGTAAGATCGCTTACTGTGACGTATATAAATGTGACTGAACCCAAAATGACAAGGCAACGGTGCATTATTAAAAGTCAGTTTAAAGATTAATATTTGCTATTTTCTATAGGTTAGCCTGTGGCATTATAGCACGTTCCTCAGGTTTATTTCAAAATGTAAAGAAGATCTGTGCATGCGATGGTGTTACACTTTGGGAAGAGAGAGAACAATCTGTGTCTAAAATGAAAAATTCAACAAAATATTCATCCACGGGTGAATCAATATGTGCAATTATTTAAAATTATCAATTCCTATAGTTTTGCACTTTCTTATTTATTTGTTCATATTGTCATGAAGTGATATCCAAATGTTACATTTTACATTATTGCTAACTATAACATTGTTAGGCCATTACCCAAGCTTATGTATATAATTTCTTCATTGCTCTAATGAGATTTTTTATAGTATTGAGAAATTATTGTAATTTTTTTTCAGCCATACAGAACTGAGAGAGGAATGGGAAATGATTTTTCTGGGACAACGATTCATAATGGGGGAATGGAATGAAACTTTCATTATTACAAATAATGTAAATTTAATAAAAGTATACGTATACACATATATGTTGGAAAAAGTAAACATTAAAATAAATACTTCTAAACAATGGAATTTTTTGTAAGAATGCTCATTCTAAACAATTCATGGCTGTGAATAAAGCACATTTATTTTATTAATTTTATATTCAAATGTTGATTTTTTCCAATAATTATGTAAAGATTTACACTACGTAAAATTTGTATATTTCTCTGGTTTCTCAGAGATTCCAATGGAGGTCAATAATTTATCGCTTCCACTTTTAGAATAATGAAATATAACTATGAATAAATAGTCTGATCTAAGATAACTGGTACCAAATTAAGAATGAAGCTGATAAAACTAAGACGAAACAAATGCGGAATGATTAAAGGCAGACATATCAATCATCATCAGATTCATCTGAATCATGTCCTCTAATAGTTTTTGATTTTGAAGCATTAGACATCCACGGCTTCTTATTCTTTTCAGGAGGATGCATTAAATCACCAGTGTACGAAATTGTACCTGCTTGTGCGATTCGCCACTCTAACATTTCTGTAGAAAAGTCATCACAATTCCCTAGGTCGGTAAATCCCACAATATAATCCTTTGTTTGACTATCAGTGATGAGGGCTATAGTAGGGATAATTCTTATGCGCAATCGCTCTAAAAGAAAAATCACCATGTGAGGTCTATAGCCAATAAATACACATATCTATTTTCATTCATCGCATTTTATACATACCAGTTAGAAATGGACATCGTTCAACATCAAGCTTACAAAATCTAGCTTCTAAATGTTTCTTTGCAAGAATTTTCAAATGCATGTCCGCGATTTTGCATCTTGGGGAATCATTCTTATAAAACAGACAAACAATATTTTTTGATTTCTTTGAAAGTTCAAAGAATTCCTTTTCATCGGGAACTTCTGAATATTCTCCATGACCCTGAAATTGTTTAAAATAAATGTCAATATCTACATGCCGATGACTTTAAAGAAGATTAATAAATGTGATTGAATATACCAAAGACAACCAGGTCTGTTTCTGTTGCTGGATTTTCTTCATTTCTTTAAGCCGTTTTTCTCGTAGTTTCTCAATATCATCGATATCCAGGTTATCTAAACGTTCCAACTCCGAGTCTAGTTGCTTCTCGACTTGACTCGCTGCTTCTAACACTTTTTGCTGTATTAAAGCTTCCATAATGTATTCTGGAAATACATTTAACAAATTATGCATGCCTTGCCCAAATTGTATAAGTTCTTGATACAACACAAAATATGCTACTATAAAGTATAATCTATAGCTACATATTTACATAGGTTTTGAACAAATATCGCAGAATTTAAATACCTTTTTTGGAATACAACTTTCACTTAATATCTTTATGTCGTGCACGTCCTTATAAGGTTCTACGACTTTCACCCTGAAACTGACAAACTGACATGCCGGTTCACGCTAAACTAATTGATGACGTCATTTGACGACCGATGCCCAAAAACAGAAGCGAAATCACTTAGGTTCGTTCGTTTTACTCTGGTTACGGTATGCACCGAAGAATTCAGACCGGAATTCCACTGAATGCATCGAGCGTTATACAGAGCACGGCACATCAATGTGTCAAGAATGAACAGCCAATCAGAATCGCGCTTAACGTTGGCGTCACCTCTGCTGCAGTTTTGATTGGTTCTTCGTCCGCGACGCGTAGATTTGTCGCCACAGTGGTCACAGGTGCGAGAAAAATTTACCGGCGGTTGGGCAGCCCGAAAACCGGCTGAAAAAGTCATAGACCCCTTACGAAAGCTTCAAACCTTGTGTCTATCATCGCAATTGCGTGAGCCCTCACTTGAAATGTGTTGCGCCGCTACTAAGGGGTAACAGGTGACAAGTGCGTTAGCCGTCCGCATCCTCCACCGAGGGCAGCACAGGCGCGATCGCGCGACCGTGCCCGTGAGCAATCTCCCAACTCATCTCTGGTGAGTTTTGTTGTGGTAATGTTAATTCTGTGGCGACTGAGCACGACCGAAGCCCAGTTGCTGTTGATTGCTGTGTAGGCGTCGTTAGAGTGTGTGGAATAGAGTGTTTTTGCGAAGCATATTTGTTTTGAATAGATAAAACGTGGGCTTCTTTACTATTATGGTAATTTCTTGGGGACCGGAGGCGTCGACCCACGAACCGTTATGGGGAAAAGGGCAGGAGGTCGCCTCACGATCGGCAAGTAAATTCTAAGCCAACACGTCTAGATAATGTCGGATTCGAGATACGCGACTCTCGCACATTTCCTAAGATGGAAAAAGGGCTCGGCAGTTAACCGATTCCTGGCGATATGGCTTATTCTGATACTGAACTGTGCAACGAGAATCGCGGCACGAACGACGGCCGCGGGGAACCAGTGTCCGGTGGAGTGCAAGTGTCTCGGCGTCTTGGTAGACTGCAGTGGTCTTCGACTGGTTGGCACACCAAATGGTCTGCCACCATGGACAGTTACCTTGTAAGTTAAACACAGTTTATATTACCATGATACAGTCATGTATAGCTTTATGTTCCATAAACTAATAGGTTCTTTTTAATGTCGACTACTCCAAGAGAATGTATCCCGAGACGATGAACCATGCGGTACGATTTGATGTAATCAAAGCGTATGGCAAGATTGATATACTAATGTTCGATGGCTGTCTATTTGTGCAGGGAAATAATTTAACTTGAAGATAGGTTTTAATTTCCAAAGTAATAAAATTTCATTACTTTCACAAGGAATGAGGAACGAGTGGATGCGATTGTGCCGCAACTGTGATTTTGACAAAGTATTTTAGAGCTTTCATTGATTCACCTTTATTGTCAATACATTGTTCATTACTCTGTGTATATTGCCTTTAAATATGTTAATTTCATTCTTCTCTTAGTGAATAATATTGGTAATTGCGTTTTTTAAACCTGTTCTTACGATACCCTTTTCACTGATGTGTTTATAATGGGAAATGTACTTGATTTAAATTACGTAGTTATCCAAATTTTTTGTTATATCATAAAAAACCATTGGTATGCTGGTACATGTTCAGCTTCAATAATTCTAGAAAGTAGTCAAGGAATTGAATGAACAGAGCAAAGGGAAAGTAGGAGTAATACACACGTACATAGTGAATAGAAAGTAATAGATTACAAGTATTCAGCCCATAATTCTAACTGGAATTTGCCACTTCAGGAGAAAAGTTATCCTGTAATAATTGTTTTGGGCAAATTTTTTGGTACGAACCATAATATCGTAAGTATAATTTAGTTTATTTGTTGTTTCTAAGAGTGCAAAAATCTTATCGTTGCACCGTACTAGAACGACGTATTGAAGACTCAATAAGATCAACTTCATGCCATTCGCCTCGGAGCAATTATTGAATGCATATAAATGGTAACTTATTTATAGCAGCGTTTTAATAAGAATTTTATCATTAATATGAATTGGATATTATCGATTAGCGTGCACCTATAATTCAAATTTTAAGACTACATCGTACAAGAAATGGACGTTGCTAATTGCGTCTCGCGGTCTTAGGTTGGATGATTATGCAATCAGTCCGAGCAAATAGGTGCACGTCTCCGCAAGCAAATTATTAATATTTATTCGGCCATCGTGATATATTTTTTAGCTGGCCGACAGGAAAGGCCTCGGACCCCTCGAGAACACACGTGGGCACGCCTAACGGGATTAAAATTGGTGCATGCGGGCTGTGTTTCGTTTCTCTAAGTGGTCAGATTGATAGAAATGATACCAATGCCACGTGAGAGTTCCTTGACCACCCAAGGTCCCCCTGCGAAGCTAAGGATACCGATCTGTGGATCATTCGCAGCAAGGTTAAGAAGACCATGGACCGAAGGAGTATCGACTCGTAGGAGTACTCGATGATAATAATAGTGTTTATTAAACTACTGTACAGTAACTTTATTAACATTTAGGCTGTGGAACGACAATGCTCCTTAGGATCACTTTAACATGAAAGAAACTCCTCGGGCAGATGAGTTGTACGACTCCGATAATGACAACGCTTATCAGATCGCACAGTTGCAATACTTTTCCAAGAAGAAGAAGACGATAATGGAGTATTATCGGTTGACCCTTCGGCGGATGCGAGGGGGAGCCAAGAGGGTACCTTCAATGGGATGAAAATTGGTCGACGTCGGTGCACATACGGGTCGTCCGTCGTTTCTCTAAGTGGTCAGATTGATGGAAATGATAGCAATGTCGCGGAAGGGTTACTTCTGTATACGGGGATCCCCGAGGAGTGCCCTCGTTGCTCTCAGCCCGAGAGTCAAGGATAACGAGCTCTAAGTAGGGAAGAGATAGACGATCCTTGCACGGCCTTTTGTGGTTGGGACAAAAACCGCCGTGCTTGCCTTAAGTTTCAATCGGTGCCTCCTGAAACGGCCTTAACTCTCGAGACGACTTCGTCGACTCTCGTCCTCTCTACGTTTTTTGCACAAACTGTCGCAAGATTCTCTCGAGACCGAGCACTTTGAACTTGTGACGAAACGCGGACTTTCGCGGGCTGTCTCTAAACGTGGCTACACGCGTAACTGCAAGCTTGACAAGCATGCGTGCATGCATACACGCATCCTACGTGTTGACGTGCAATTTTTTTCGTATCGTGGTAGGAGAAAGATTTCAATTTAAAGGAGTCCTTTTTATGGAGGAATTTATTAAGGAGGCCTTAATGAGCAATTTATTATGTGTCGTTCACTGAACCGATCGTCTTGTTCTTCCAGGGACCTGACGGCCAACAATCTGAGCAACAACATCGCCCTGTCGGATTTGCCGCAGTTGAAGTGGCTGAAATTGAACGAGAATCAGCTGTCACGGATCCCGGAACTTCCGTTCCTCGAGAGCGTGAACCATTTGTCGCTGTAAGTGTGCCGATCTGGCCATCCCGCCTTTTCTGCTCCCTTCCGGTTGCGATCCACACGTTTGCGCGGACACAAGAGCTGGACAGAGGCGTGTCTCTAGATTGCGCAACAGATATTGTTATCGAAAACGTGTGCGAAATGAATTTAACCGTGGATATCGTTATCTTATTGTAACTCGGCATCGTCGCGACCGAAGTGCAACGCAATTTGTCCCTCGATGGTTGGGACATGTAAAGAAAAATCCTGATATTAAGATAATGCTCTCGTTGTTCCTGACAATACTTGCCTTCGTGTGTTTCCTTGAGCCAGGGAAACGTGCATCGGTACTTTGCGATTAATGTAGCCCGATTTTTTTCTTCCAACAGAACGCAGAATTCAATCAGCGAGATCAATGGAAGCGCCCTTCGACGTTTACCGGATCTTCGGAATCTTGATCTCAGTGTCAACAAGTTGACGGCCTTGCGGAGGGGGTCCTTCCTCTCTTCAAATCGGTTGACACATTTGTGAGTAGCGTCGCTTGTGCCAAGGAATCGCAGACGGTTTCGGTAGTAGCGTGGTTTAATCGCTTTTCGTGTTTCCAGAAATCTGAATATGAATCAGATCAGCTCCATAGAGAACGGAAGCTTGGACAACCTGACGGAGCTCGAGGAACTGCGACTCAATAAAAATCGTCTGACACAGTTGAAAGACCTTTTTACGAACCTAGGCAATCTCCGCGTGCTGTGAGTATTTCCGGACGTCGTTAAAGAGTCCGAATCGACAACGCGTTGATTTACATTAACGGCTATTTTTTTTTTTCTTTTTCATTTCCGTAGCGAGTTGAACAAGAATAATCTACATCAGATTCAAGGATTAAGCTTGAAGAACTTGAAAAGTCTCCTGGAGCTGCGACTGAAAAGGAATAAAATCGAGAGGCTGAACGACGGCGCTTTCTGGCCGTTAAAGAACTTACTTGTACTCGAGCTGGATTACAATTTACTCTCGGAAGTTAAGAAGGGTGGTTTGTTTGGACTTGATCATCTTCAAAAGCTTACCATGTCGCACAATCGAATCTCCACGATAGAGACGCAGGCGTGGGATATGTGCAAGGAAATAATAGAACTGTAGGTTTCCTCCTCTTGTAATAATGTAAAGTGTTGTTAGTCCGATCATCCGATCATAATACCGTCTATGTCGTTTCAGGGATTTGTCGAATAACGCGATAAGCTCGATAGAGCGGGGATCGTTTGAATTTTTGGGGAGGTTGGAGATACTGCGGATGGACTACAACGAGATCACGCATATTTCCGACGGTGCATTCAACAACACTCCAAACCTGCAGATACTGTTAGTACCTTTACTAACGAGCTCAACGTAACTATGAAATTTGTGGGTCGTTAACCTCGTTTACTATTTTGTTCTCAGAGAGCTGAACTCTAATAAGATATCGTACATGGTAGAAGACACTAGTGGTGCTTTCGGACCCCTTGGTCAATTGTTAAAATTGGGCTTGGCCGATAATCGTATCAAGTCCATTAATAAGAACGCATTTACTGGATTGACTCGCGTCAAGGAACTCGACCTGACGGGGAACAATATTACGAGCATTCAAGAGAATGCTTTCGTGTCTGTGCCGAGCCTTACGAAACTCAAGATGAATACAGGTATACTTTGGGAACTCTACTTTAACGCCAGTAGCGATTGTACCAGAAAGGTATATCTTGTATCTCTTATCCCTAGGTGCTCTAGTATGTGACTGCGGTCTGCAATGGCTCAGTGTTTGGCTGCGAACTCACGACTACGAGGATGCCGAAGTCAGCTGTGGCTATCCACATTGGCTGCAGGGTATGCAGCTAACTCAATTGCACCACGAAAATTTTACGTGTGGTACGTGCCGTTAATTGCCAGCCACCTAATTTAATTGACACTTTTATCGATAAATATTAAAATTGCCAGATGAGTTTCCGAAGCCTCGAATTATCGAGGAGCCGGTCAGCCGATTGGGCATCATGGGCCGCAACGTGACTATGACTTGTCGAGCAAGTAGCACGTCGGATTCACCATTGCGGTTCACTTGGAAGCGCGACAACGTCGAATTGAAGAATGGCAATTTTCAAACGGACAGCGATTCTTCGAACGGAACCGTCAACGAAGCAATTTCGATCCTCTGCTTGACCAATTTGACACGTAACGACACTGGGAAATACCAATGCATGGTTTCCAATGCTTATGGAACAACGTACTCATCGAAGGCCAAACTTACCGTCTTAGGCATGTATAAAGGATTATCATCTATAACGCGGTCTGAAGAGCTCCGTATTAAACTATCTATACTTTCAGTTTTCCCGGAATTTATTAACGAGCCCAAAGACATCCGAGTAACTGCCGGCAGCATGGCGACCCTCCAGTGCAAGGCAAAGGGCGAACCGAGTCCGCAGATAGCGTGGCAAAAGGATGGCGGCAACGATTTCCCGGCCGCGAGGGAAAGAAGAATGCACATGATGCCTACCGATGACGTTTTCTTCATCATGGGGGTGAAACCTGCCGACAGCGGAATGTATTCCTGCACGGCTCAAAATTTAGCCGGCGTGAAGGTTGCGAACGCAACGCTCACTGTACTCGGTGAGTACGGTGAACCTATCGGTGAACTCGAAGGATCTCTTGAGATTAACTTCTGAATCTTTCTTCAGAGACCCCGTCTTTCGTGAAACCCATGGAGAATAAGGAAATAATGGCCGGTAGCTCCATAGTCCTCGAGTGCATGGCCAGTGGATCGCCGAGGCCCAAGTTGTCGTGGCGCAAAAACGGTAGCCCGTTACAGGCCACCGAGCGTCACTTTTTTACGGCCGAGGATCAGCTGTTGATTATCGTTGACACAGTTGCCAGCGACGCCGGGAGCTACGAATGCGAGATGAACAACTCCCTCGGCAGCGTCGTAGGAGCCTCCCATCTAACCATTTATCCAGGTAATTCGATTAGACCCGACCGCTCGAGCGGAAGTCGAGGACGAGTAACGTCAAAGTGATTCACCCAATTACCGGTGGCGCGCGTTCGTTTTCAGCTTCGAGTTCGATGATCAACGAGGATGACATGCTGGGCCTGCTAATCATAACGGTGGTATGCTGTGCCGTTGGCACGTCGATTGTCTGGGTGGTAATAATATACCAGACAAGACGACGCCTGAACGCCGTTCAGAATGCAACCAGGCACCCGCCCACGACCTTCGTTCCAAACGGACCGGATGCGCAAACGCAATTATATTTGGACACGAGTTCCCAGCATAGTAAAGATAGCGGAACGGGCGACAGCACGAATCCGAGCAGCGACCAACTGCAGCTTTGCTTACCCGGTATATAACACTCGCCGCGGCTGTTCTCCATTAAGACCGTCCGACCGAGATCCTCCCTTAAGGCCCAAGGGTCGCCGCGATACGCGAATCGCGATGGAAGAAGATTTATGTAACGATTAAGCAACTCTTCATTTATTTTCAGAGGAAATCGTAGCCTGTGCTATTAATAACGAGGAAGAGTCGGCTGCGACGAACGGTGACGACCCGCTCTTACGGTACACCAATCACGAGCGACACATTCGCGTGCAGCCGGGCTCCGTGGCCTGAGACTGGAAATCATCGACGGAATCGATAGCCCTCGACGGAGAACTACGTAAAACATAAAGAGACAATAATGAACGACTGCCAACAATAAACCTACGGCAGGAGGAGCCACAGTATTTGGAAATATTTTTGGGCTCTACGGCTCTGGTATTCTTCTAACGTCTTCTTCGAATGGATGCCTTGGGTCGCCATGTTCGACCGAAAGACTGAGATGAAAGTAACGGTCCTATTAGCACACGAGATATGAGTTGCGGCCGACTTGACATGCAACCGACTTGGGACTAATGATTGCAAGAAAGTCGGCGGGCCATTATATACGGTATAGCTGCGTGCGACAACTATTGCCATCCTGAGGCAAACCGGTGCAGAAGGGATGAGCTCGAAAGTACGCAAGTGTAAATAGTTAGAGTATAAGAGGCGGCGTTTCTTTGCCGCACGTTGGTGTTAATCGTGTACGCTCATCGTCCCGTTGTCACGAACGGAATGGTACTAGCTGCATTTCTCAACTTACGATTGATGCAATTACTCCGAATGATCTTAGACGGAGACATTTCTGTAGCGACGTATGCTTCAACGTAACTGCATACATTTAAAGTAATAGGTGCAGTCGAGTTTCTTAAGTAACGCGACCGTACAGGCCTTAGCTCTGCTAATGACATCCATGAATCGCAAGAGCCACGTATACTAGACCAGCCTTTTGTGATAGATATTTATTTTAGCATTAATTTGTATTAGATAGTTATTTATGTCGCTGCGTCTCGTTAGGTATGACTTTTTTTTTTTTAACTTGCAACCGAACGGACGACAGTTTAATCATTTTCTCGCCCAGACGCGATTATTATCGTAGAAAATGATACCGTCTTCCTTGTTTCCGTTTTAGCCGATCGAGATGCGCAAACGCCATCGCGAATTGATTTAATTCTATAGGAAATGTTAACGCTCACCGTATCAGTAAGCGTGGCATTATGCGAGCATATTTCCTTAGTATTATACATTTACTAAGATCCCCTAGGTAACATACGTTTTGTTGACTAATTTACTACGGATATCGTGCAGACTAGCAACGATTCTTCATTTTTTTTTTGTATACATTTATATATATATTGTACGTATGTGTATGACTATACGCGAGGAACTGTATATTTACATTTATTTTATCGACTTAAGGGGGAATGGGACGTTTCATAAAAGATCAAGATGACCGTCCTGCCACGTAACGGCAAGCAGGGCTGCCAGTACGGATTTTTCATCAGTATTTATATATTTTTTTCTTTCTGATAAATAATTGAAAAATCGGGCTCCGCAGGGAAAGTTATATTTTCGGAAGGCTGCGATTCCATCCATTCAAGTCATTCAATGTACATCCTGTACAGACATTTTTGGGTGCAAAGTTCCCCCACTTCCAGCTCTCGTGGGTGTGAAAACCCACATAGAGAAAATGATGGTACCATTCCTCCTTAAACGCGACCTGAGAACGCGGTGTTCTCCGAGTTTAAAAAAAAGAAAATCGATCACACTGTATTCCAACAAACTCGCGTGTGACGTATTCACCCTAATCGTTTACTTGAGGAGGATCCAACATGTGCTTCGATTTTTTTTCCTTTTTTAAGAAGCATCGACACGCGTACAAAATCGGACATAAACCCGGTGCGAAGTTTACTTACGGATTATCGATTAATCGCTACGTCCCAAGTGTATACCCGAGGGTCGTACTAATGTATTTTACGTGATAGTCAGTGTCGATTTTTTTTTCCCCCCCCCTATAATTATAAGTATTAGAGTGTATCGCGGACAGAAGGACGCTCCATGGTAGAATGGTTATTCGGAGCTCGTTAGAAAGTCACTATTAATATTTTTTTTTTCTTAGTAACGCTGCACGCGGTACACCCAGTAAGGCGTCCGTTTTGATTCAGTATTTTCCTTGTTACTACGAGATAATGTGAAGAAATATAAGTAACTCATAAACGCGACTGTTCTTGTGTTTGTTCAATGTCGCGAATAATGCTCAACGAGCCCGTAATTATCGCGCCCTTCCTTACCGACGTATCGCGCTTTTCGACTCAATTGTAAAGCTCGCGTGTTTGTAACGAGGGACTCGACGGAGAAAAATCGTTATTCGGGACTTCTCTTTACATTTATTAGAAGCCATGTTGTACACATACATAAACATACACGACACATCCGCTTCTTCCTTAATAGTGTAGTACTTTTTAAAAATCATGTATAAACGCCATTGCGAGAGCGCACCGTCGGCGAGCAGATATTTCACAGAAATGATATTCAATCGCGCCCCAAAGATACGTCGAAAATACCACGGCAATAACGCGAATGCATCGAGAAAAGAGGTCGGTTAATGTCAATAAATATACCACCGAACAGGGTCGAATAAATATATCCTGAAGTCAAGAAATATCGACAACGATCGCGAGAACCTCACGTGAAAGACGGAATTTAGTAGTAGTTACTAAGTCTCAAATTGGCCACTTTTTCATAAATATTTTTATTAACACTAACCGGAACTCTTTATCTCAATGGCAATTTTGTGAATCTTGATACGCCGCTTAAACGCACACCAGTTGCATTGCCGCACCATTGCACGTGGGAAATTATAGTGTATATGCATATATATATATATCCTTTGTATGTATAATATGTACAGTCATTAGGTTTCTCTTCATTCGGTAGCAACAATCGTCAAGTAGAAATTTCTCTTTTGCCGTGAAGGAGGATACCTTCTCGTTTGGGTTGCTGCGTTCTGTCGACTTAGTAATCGCGTACTATTTCCAAAGCGCTTGCTAAAAAAAATGTCTATTTCGGAGTTTCTCACCGGATCTAGACCTTCGATACGGAATAAATAAAATTCGGCGCTTATTATTCTATATTCAGACGAGAGCGGTCTCGTCTTGCAGGGTTTTTGGGTGAACTCAAAGGGACGAGGAAGGGACAAGTCGGGAAGGCTACTTAACCCTTTCGACCCGAATGCCACCTATAGACTATTTAGTATATCCACAAAGCAACCCCTGAAGACGTACGCCGACTATAACCGGCATACACGAAACGACCTCCAATACGAATCTACATCTACAAAACAATGCCCAGAGATGAGCCGGTTATAGCCCATTGTGTACTCTTTTGGCGGGACGAAAGGGTTAAGCACCTGGAAGCGACTAACTTAGCCAAAAAGGCAGTCTTCCAGATTTGCGCAAAGGAACGTCAGTTGCGTCTTTTCCGATCAGAATTTGGATTCAAGCTCGAAATTCATTCCTACTTGACCAAGTCGTCGGATTGGATTATTGCTAAGTACGGGCGAAATCCCGAGATAATGAATATTCGACAAAGGTACTACACCTTCGGCCAATCGATTTGATTTTATTGGTCCGATCGAGGGTTAATTCCGAGCCGATGTTCCTGTATAAATCGTTAGTCGGAACGAGCGGACTGATTCGGGTCTCTTGTACTCGTTGCCTCGACCTCGCGTCCGGAGAATATATTTCCATCTCGCAAAAGTGGCGGCGCAATTTCAAACAATTCATGCGTAGATGATCGAGCAATGGACGCGAAAGCGTTTCTTCTCTCGGGGGACATTCGACAGGCTCGAATCCAGATTTTCAGGTTTTCGCGAAACGACCAGACACACACAGGCACACCTAGCTATTTTAAAATGTATCACAATGTCGAGGTCTTCACAACGGTTCGCTTTCTCTCCCTCGATTAATTAACAATTTCGTATCTCTTTCCATTACATCGACGAGGTAGTTTCGGAGAGCTTCATCCTTTTGTTTTGTTTTTTTATTTTTTCTTTTTCGCCAACTTTCCGCAAAAAGCCTTTCGCGAAAAGACGTCAGTATTGGGACGGGGCTTCGGTCCGCCCTCGCACGTTGGTAATGGTCTAATTATTTTCAGGATTATCCTCTGTGACGTTCTTCTCAAGTATCGTGTACTTAACTTCGTAATTTGTTAGTTCGGAGTGGGCTGGATTTCTAGACGGATTCGTGGCCAACGAGATATTATTTGGAACCGTTTTTTGTAACACGACGCGATTAATAAAAGCGATCGCGGTAGAAAGACAGGAACGGATGTCATGTTCAGCTCGAAGCTTTTATTCAGTCCGATCGTAATATCCACGTCGCCAGCAGATAGAATAATAGAGATCTACTTTGCGGTAAAGACTATACGTATCCGTACCCATGCGGCCCGATATGTTCATCAGCGAAAAGTGGACTATCTTAGTCTGACCTACAAGCCGGACCGTTGAATCTTCGACATGATCCAAAGTGTACGCTGATTATTCTACGGGAAATTAACACGTACCTCTAAAACATCCTGACGATTTTTCGCCGTTTATACATTTAGTCCGCCGACTCGCGCGTGCCTAATAACGAGCTCGCACTTTCCTCCAGCCATGCAAGTCTTATTCGCTTTAAAAGGGGAACTTCAAACTTAAGACGTAATACTTGAGAAACCGCGAGTAAAGTTACCTCAGTAAGGCACTAAATTAGGGAAATGGGCGTACAAAACCTGAATTTCGTAATCACCGTGCGTAAAGGTTGCGGAGGTATACGTCAAGGTAAAGGTGTATCCTGCAATTGTGCGTTGGAGGGATGCAAAAGACTTAAAAAAAAAAAAAAAAAAACGCGGGCTTCGCTGGAGGTATTCAAATTTTTTTTGCGCTTTAGATTGTTCGGTATTACGCCTAAATTTTCAAGAATTCTTATATACAAAAAAAAACCACTATAATAAGAGAAAGATTTAATTGTTTTCTGAGGACTGCGCAATTCACATTACCTCGTACACCTTCTAGACGACTATTCGTCGGACTCACGCGAACGTATTTCCAGAAGATATCTACTAAACATAAGCGACGCGGTTTCGTTCCACGTCCAGGTTGAACCCCGTTCAACGTTTCGGAACTCGATACGAGTCAAAGTTCGGATTTCTTTTCGCGCAAGTCCGTTCGTCGAGTTCGCCGAGTGGCACTTTGTACAAGATAAACTGACCCTAAAACGGTGCACCCACTTCGTAGCTTCGACCCCACGACAAAACCGAGCCCCGTACAGCCGCATTGTGTATATACAATATGAACAGCGCGTAAAATTGTCTATTCCAAGCACGTAAAGGACTTGTCCAGAGTCCTCCCTCCTCTCTTTGAGTCGTCGCACCTCGACTTAGGAATCGCCTAACCGTGAAATTCGCTAATAAAAATCTCCTAAAACCGCCGATCCTTATTCTAGATGCTCTTCTCCTATATAATATACAGCGCAATGTCCTCTGCCGCAGCATCGTTCTCTCCCTCCCTTTCACGCACTCATTTTCTCCCTCAACGTCTCTCTCTTTCTCTCGCTCTCCCTATCTTTCCGACAAGCCGGAGCCCACCGAGCGCGTCGGTTGTCGCACAGAGCGCGGCGCGTCAACGCTTGTCTCATTTTTTTCAACAGAAAAACCAATCGGAACCGCTCTAGGCACATTTTGCCGCATTTTTATTGGATTTACATCCTCGACGCGTCGACGCGCCGTGCTATGTGTGACACCCGACGCGCACGGTCTGACTCTGGCTACACACCCTTAAGCGTACATATGTACAATTGTTCTCTTTCGCGTCGACGCCCTCAGTCCTATCGCGCCATCATCCAGTTCACCCGGTCAACATTCACACGATTGATAGTTTCGTATAGGACTTTCAAGTGTCGACTAATGGCGACTTCTCAGCAGCGCAAAATTTTTCAGGGGAATCTATACGTATGCGAAAAAGATCGGTGTGAACTCGATAATCGGTGCTCAGAGGCACGTTAGGACGAGGCTCGATCGCGTAATGTTCGTTTAGTACCCTAAAAAGCCGAGGGCGTCGCGTCTCGCCCTTTTTCTCGCTTTGTACAGAGGCACGAGGGAAAGGAACGCCGGCTCGCCGAGAGCACATCGCCGGTTTAAAATCGCTGTTCACCCTAGTCGAAAACTCGAGTTACTCGAATTCAAAGACACTGCCTACTCGATATGAATAAATACATAGAATAAAAATGACCCGAGTTGGCGCGAGTTTAACGAGGACACATTCGCCGAGACCCTCTGACAAAATTTCCCGTTCCAGGAGCCAGTCTCGTCTCTGCGACCTGCAGGATCGACCTGGGTCCCTCGACACACCGGCTTCATCGGCGACCTATCGCACCGTTTTCGCATCCACGGTCCAGGGCATCGAAGCGACCGTTTCCACGCGCTTTAATACTTTCTAGAGAGCTTCGGGCTCCTTGCGATCCTCCAACGTGGCTTCGAGGCGGAACCCTTCCTTCGACGTAGAACGTCTAAAGAAGAGAATTAATACACAAGCAAGCGCGTTTCACCCACGAGGGTTTCGCCGGAGAAGCCGCCGCGTCGCCGGAAGTCGGTTTTCCGGAGGTCCTCCGCGAGAAAATCCGGAAGTTGCGGACACCTTTTGCGCGGTCGCTTCGCTCGGATTTACCTCTAACATGGCACAACGGGAGAAGTAAGCTAAGGGAGGGTTGAATTTCCGGCGAATCGGGTAAAACTGAGAAACCGAAGACCCGAAGAACGGCGCGAGGGTCGCAGGTCCGCTGGACTCTTTGCAATAAATATGTATGTAAATATGTATGTATAAATACCTATACGCGTATGTATATATGTATACGTAAAAAAGGGCGGGGGAAATAAATAATAAGCCAATCGGCGAGCAGCTTCGTACGATGTCGCGTCGCCGAAATGTACAATAGAAAATCGGCCGCCTAAAGTGCTGTTGAGCCGTCGGTATGCTCTCGGAGCCGCGTTGGCCCGAATTCCCACACCGGAAGTGTCCAACGCGACGCCATTTTGGAGTACCTTGGAGGATGTACAGGGTCGGATATGAATCTCTCCCCTGCGAACATGGTGCTAGATGGAAGAGATTCATGTTCGACAGGGTACATACATCCCTGAACGTAATGGCGTTGCGTTCAGTTTTTTGTTCGCACGCTCTAGAGGACCCGTGCCTCTCTTCCTCCTATCCATTTTTCCGATTCTCGGCGCATTTTCTACGTCCTTACGATGTCGAGACCACGAAGGCGGTCGATTAATCCTTCTAGAACGATATGCTTCCCCCTCGTAGGAGCGCAGTTCCTAACTAGTTCCGGACAGTTTCGCGGGTCCTCGGGACTGCCGAAGCACGTTCACGAGAAGACCGATCCCGGCAATGGTCCATCCCGATGATAGAACGATCTCTAGCTGCCGAGTGCTCGTCAATCGTTGCTCATGTCCTTCAGCTCCGTGTAGGCGATCCTCTTCCTGTAGAGAGCAGACGCAGGGCCGACCTTCCGCTTGTTCGGCATCGTCGAGGGCCCCGGCGCGTAATAGTTCCTCCTCTTGTACATTACCATCCTGCAAACGAAATTTACAATTACTTCGAGCCACCTTTTCCTCCCTCGCCTGTGATAATTTCGACTTCCAAAATATTCCTAACGGCGAATAAGGGCACGGAGAACTTCGCTCAGAGCCTTGGTCGAAGAAATCGGGGATTAATTTGCTGTCCGAAATTATGAGGACAATGGTAACAAAAGTGATAACGAAAATGGTAACAAGTCCGCCACTCGCGTTGGGTGGGAACCTTCTAAGTTGCAGAGAATTATCATTAACGATTAGTCACTATTTTTTTTTTTTTACGTCACATTACGCTACCGCGATTAGAAGTTGCGCTTAAAAAAAACGAAAAAAAAATTAATCACCGATCGATAAAAATCCTTCACCGATCGAGATCGCCTTCGCGCGGTGATTAATGGTATCTACGATATTCTAATTAATACGTAAACGCAGGAACCGACGCGGTGAGAGAGAGAAGCAGCCTTATCGCGCGTAATGGCCGCACGCGTCACAATGGATTGGACCTTGGCGGATTTGCGGAGAAAACCGGCGGTCGCGTTGCGGCTTCACGTCCTCAAGGAACGATTCCCCCGATGAAGCGGAAGTCGCCCGTCACACAGAGCGCGGCGTGTCGACGCGTCGGTACAAAAAACCATTTGGAATTGCATTTAACCCCTGCGTCATTATCGTCAAGATCCCGATTGATTATCCATCCACGACGCGTCGACGCGCCGCGTCCAGTGGGACCGCGACGCAAGCCTTACCGCGCTCGGCTCATTACGGAGGAGCGCGAGTTCCGGATCGAGGAGAGTTCCACTTTCCAGGTCCGCCGAGCAGAAAGTGGAACCTCGCGATATCCGGCGGAAACGATCGCAACTGTTTTGCCGCAAATCCCGAGTATACCTTTTAACCATCGGTTCGTGAAAAGCCACATCCGCTAAAGAACCATATTCGACGGTACGTCGTTCACTCCCCCTCGTCTTACGTCACCTCCGCGGGGCGTCACACGTGACGGTCTTAATCGCCGAGAAGCAAGTTTTTTCTTTTTTTTTTTCCTTGCAGGCGCTACTAATTTTCCCGCTCTCCGTGTTTTTATCGACTACCTAAGGCGGAATTGAACGATGCACTTGGAGCGGTCGCTGCGGCTACTGCAGTTATTTCCTATGCACCGAGGGAAGGCGATGCGATAGATCGCGAGACAGGGACTGCCCTCTACCGGGAGATCTTGGTAAGAAAGGGAAAAGAAATAAGTCGATCCACGTACACTATAATTGTAGACTCGAACGAGAAGCGGGATTTGGGATATCTGGAATTTGGAATTGATCTCCCTCTTTGAAATAGATATTTTTCACCGGGTTATTTGTAGATAGAGGAGGTTAATTATCGTGAATCATTCCAGAATACAGGTATCGAGAAACTGGTGGGGTAAACGGCACCTCTGAGGCACCTTATCGTCTCCATCGTCCGGAGTACGAGTTCCGCCTCCTACAAGGATACCATATTCCGCTGTTACGCGCGTTACATGGAATTCATGAGAATTATTATGCCAACGTTACGTATAGGATGGAAGCCGTTCAATTGCGTTCACCGTCGCGGTTCTCATGAGCGAGTAGGACTTTACAGCGGGCACTGAATCTTTCTCGACCCATTTCTTCCCACATGCTACGCCTCGCGAATCGAGGTTAAAGAAGAGAAGCGTTTCGGGAGTACCGAGGTACTGGGTACCGAGAAGGAGAAGATTATCGCCCCGTCGCGTTGTTAAGACTACCGGCCAAGAAAAGGAAATCGTCCAGCTCGCCGGGGACGACCCCGAGAGCCTTGCTTTTATTTTCGCGGCATGTATATATACCCCGCGTTTCGCCTGGAGGTTCCCAGATATCCTTGAAGGATCAAGGCCACGGTCGCGGTATATAAAGACTCCCGGAAATCGTCGAGATAGTCGGGAAAATGTATGCTAAAACCGATACCGGGCGCGACGTTCTAAGCCGTTACACCACCCGGGGAGAGTGATAACGACGGTAAAAAGAGCCGATTACGAGTTCCCTCAATGTCCCGGCCTCCGGTGATCCGTGAAGCGCGATTGGTCAATGCCTTTGTCCCGCGACCGGGAAAGCCGATCTCGGATGTGACGATTGTATACCTGGGATTTTTCTCGCCAGCCGGCACGTAATACCTGAAACCTTGCGAAAATCCGAGATCAGGTATTTCCATGGTGGGAGTACCATCTGCGCTTTCTGCAAAAATGTGTAAACACGTGAGAGTGCGATTATTATATAGATATTTAAATATACCGTGCCGGTTCGAAGTACCTAGGTGTTTACGTACTTGGAAGTCGAAAAGAACGTATAGACGTAGGTCAGGATTTTCGGCTCGGGATTTTCCGAGACAACGTTCATGCAACGTCCACCGTACGGCTCGCCAAGGACGGGTTACGTGGGTGGGTTCGCTCTCATCAGTTTTATTAATTGCAAACCAACGTAAGGATTGGGTTCTGGCAGGAGGCATGCTTAATCGTTTACCTGGCGCATCGAGCCGGGGGGTTTTCCGGGTTTTCCGAGTCCCTCTCCAGGAGAAACCCGTGGTCTGTGATTTCTTTTCTTTTTTTCTCTCCAAGTCCTGCCATCTCAAAACGGACATTTCGTGCGAACAGGGATTACGCATGCGACAACAATCGGCGAAAAACCGCAAGATACTCCACAGTAACTCCCAACGATCCATGCAGCTTAGCCCTCGCCACAAAGAAGAAGGCGCGGTGGTTAGGATGCGGTCAGAAGAAAAAAAAAAAGATATGTGTAATTACAAAATATACTTCAAACGTCCCGCTGGTACTAAGGGTAAACTCGAAACAATCGAAAGGAACCAACGTCTCTTCCATTCTCTCCATCTCCGCCGAGCGAATGCAGGACGTCCGATACGTACCTACAAATATTTAACAAGTAGTTAGAGCACAAGAGAGTTATTACATTGTCCAGAGAGTTATCGGGATATTTCCCGTTGATCGGGTAAAAACCTCAATAAGCATCCGGACGACCCAGTACCGCGTCGGAATGATTATCAAAGACCGCGGAGAGAGAGAGATAGAGACAGAGAGATAGAGAAAGAATAAAGAGAAAGATAGAGGATCACACCCAAAAGTGAACGGAGAAAGAGTCGACGTTTATTGCTTACGCTAGCAGGTAAATGTTAACTTAACTAGGCTCTTCGTGGGCAGAACGCGCCTCTATCAGGGCAACAACTTTAAGGTAGTATCACATCGCTGGAAGACACCGACATACGTGGGAACGTCGGGGGATTAGTGTTCTCCGCATCAAGCTCTGTACGTACCCGCTTTACGGACACGGCCCTAAGCTAGGTCATCGGGAACCCGCTCCGAGTGCACCCCGATGGCTTTTCTACCGGGCAATCGTAACCTCTCTTCGCACCGTCCCCTGGTAGTCGATAAGGGGCAAGTACCTTGTCACCCCACCTGAGACATCCGAAGAAGGTCGACCATCGCCCTGGTTCCACCGCGAGGACTTACCGATTCCCTGGAGTCGCGTCCCCGCGTCGCGACTCCACCGACGAGAGGACCCGACCGTAAGGCTACGCTCGCATTGACTGCCATGCTGACTAGATAAAGCTTCGTTAACACGTAGTACTTACGAGTTTTATACAATATTTACAGGGCACCGTAGCGCTCGTCGATGCGCCAACCTTCTCTGCCGAGTACACGCACACGCACGCGCCGTATCCTACGCTAATAATACTACTGCGATTATACTTCCTGACGGCGCTGATCAATGCCGCCCCTCGCGTAAAAAAGAAAGGAAACGCGCGCGTGTGCCGTGGATACACGTAAGTGCATACGTATATACGCGAATGAGATACCTAATTACGTAATCCCGCGCTGTAGGGTCTGTTAAAAAAGAAAATAAAAAAAAGAAAAAGAAACAGCCAGGACATCTCGCTCGAGACCGTCATACTAGGGAATGGCGTAGATTCGGCTGGAATGGGCATGCGAGTAAATCTCTACTTTCTACGCGCTACGTATTCTAGATAAAAAGCGAAGAGCCTTCTTAACGAATGATGCGGTGGTAAGATTCCCCTCGGTCGGTGCAAGGAAGTCGCCCCAAAAACCGGAGCGACTCTTTGCGCCTTCCTCTCGCAACGATCGAAGAGTCATCCGCGGAGGTTGGCGGAAGCTCGAGCCGACGTCGACCAGCGACTACCCGTGGAGGCCCTCGAGGTCTCGTCTCCGTAGGCACGAGGAAAGAAAACCGAGGATCGCCGCCCTGGTTCTCCAGCCATTCATACCCTGCACTCGTCTTGAACGTGAAATTGCGCGCAAGCGTAATGGAGTCGAGCTCGGATAACCGGCGCGTTACTTAGAGCCCGAGAGGAGCTCGTTTCGGAGGTGGCGGTAGTTGCAATTCCACTTAGAGACTCGCGGCGTTAAGTACAGTGTACGTGCACAGAGCGTGCACTGTACTTGGCGAAAAGTTTGCAGCCCCGATACGAGCCGCGCAATGGACCTACGTCGTCGGGGAAATAGGCTCTTCGGACGCCCACGGGACGCCTCGGACTTTTCCGAATAACGTAACGAGGCATAAATGACTGGAGATGATATCTCGCCACTCTTGAAACGTCATTTGTTCCCGTAGTGGTTACCGGCGAGGATAGACTCGCGCCCAACGCGTATTATCGGCCGATTAACCACTCGCAGCACACCGAGCCGTTGTTCCCGGAAGGAGGCCCCAAAGTCTCGAGGCCCATCTCCTAGGCGGGATTTCCAGGAGACTCTTCGATCGATCGATCTCGAGGGATCTCGCGATCCTGGACCCTAGCCGCTCGCTAGCGAGGACCGCAATGCCCGATTTCTTCGACAAGGCTAGGGAGAGGGAAAGGAACCCCGTGGAACGTGTCGGGATGATCCTGGTCACCGCGTCCTCCTCCCTCGGTCCTCTTTCGGAAGACGCTGGACCGACGTATCCGTTACCTATACCATCCTCCCCGACACGTAACGCGTTAATAATACTTTTTCGGAAAATTGCTCCTAGCTGGCTTAGACCAGATGGATATCTGAAACAGAAAAACGGAGCGGGTTGAAAAAACGCCTCGACGGAGGAAGGCCGTTCCCTAGCGTGCAGGGATCCTTAGCTTCATGCTTGGGTACGCGCGAAGCGAATTCATTGTCGCTGAAAAAGACTACCTCTACGTAGTCCTTACGTAGCCCGGGATTTCACAAGGACTCTTAGGATGTGGAGAACGAGCTGATTCTCCTTTTAGACACTCACCTCACCCTATGAATCCTGCCGCTACGGATATGATGAGAGCGAGGATCCCGGTCATGACTTGACCAGCCGTCGACACGACGATCTGCTGCGGCGCCGAGTTCTCGACGAAGTCGTTCGGCAAAAAGTGATCCTCCGCGGTCAGTCTGTCGCCATACTTGTCCAGCAAGTCCATGACGATTCCATTCGACCAGCCGAACCCTAGCTGCACCTCGTACTCGCCACCACCGCCGTAGCCCCCGGAAACGGTGGCGTCATACTGCAACGGAAAGGACGGTGTTCATCCAGGAGTTCCTTTGTTCTCCTCGTACGGATAAAGGCATTCCCTCGCCGGGTCCTTGGCGCTGTATAATAACTTCGAAGCTAAGGTTTCAGACACTCGAGCTGGCCGGTTATCGTGATTATCGGGCATCCAATTGGCAAAAAAAAAAAAAAAAAAAGTAGCGGCGTTTCGTCGCGCCGCAAAGCGGGTACACGCCGAGGAGAGTGAAGGCCTCGTAGACGAGGCGCGCAGGAATTCGCCGGGAATCTCACCTTCTCGAACATACTGTTGGTCTCGTTGAAGGCCTTGTAGTTGCTGCGAACCCACCTCTGGCTCATCTCGTAGGCCAGTCTCTGAGCCCAAGCATCCCTGGTGTTGTCCAGGGCCATGATGACGAAGTACTGCAGAGGAGGCCACGCGTTCGGATAGTCCCACTGTTCCCCGGAGTGCTCCAACGTCGTCGGTATGCCTCCGAGGTTGATCATGATCTGGTTCTTCTCGAGGTACTTCAAGACCCTGGATACGAACTCCTCCCTCTTGGTGATGTCGAAGCAGTTCGTCCAGAGGGGCAAGATATTCGTAGGGTAGAAATAGTCCCTCTTGATGTCGTTGAGGATGTCGTGGTCGAGCCAAGCGCCGACTTCCTCGTGCCAGAGGACCGCCGTCACGGCTTCCATCCACTTCTCGGACAACCTTGTGTATTCCGCGGCCTTCGTCGTATTTCCCATCCTGTTGTTGAACTCGGCCAGAAGGACGGCGTTCCGATATATAATGGAGTTCAAATCGACCGGGATAATGGATCTGGTCTTCAAGTTCGTCAAGTTCCCTGAAAAAAAATTACGCCCAGCGAGATTAGGATAAATTGTCCTCTTTTTTAGAGAACCGGACGATGCAGTCGATTTTCCTTCTCGAAGAGATATTCGATCCTCACAGTTTTTGACGGGGATTTCGCAACGGGGAAGAAGGTAATCGGGACCAGGATTGCTTTTGTACCCTCGAGGTGGAAACCCGTTGCCCTCGGCGAGAGGTTATTACACTAAGGAAATCACGGATTTTAATTTTTAAATTAGGAGTACTGGATAGATTTTCACAATTTTAAGGCCGATCGTCCCTTGTTACCGAATCGCATTGTTTGTAATTAAATTCGAAGGCTCTCCAAGAAGGATATCGATTTCGCTGGATTTCGAGTGAACACCCATTCGGCCCTTGGTCCTTGACCGTCGACCGTTCGAGCGGCGGAATAAAATTAAAAAAAGGAGTGCGAGGACCCGGCCGAACGTTTGTACTTGGGGAATCGACAGTGGAGTCGAAGCTTTCTCTCGGGGAACGAACAATTAAAAGATCCTTGAGAGTCGCGATCGCAAGGTGCGATACGTTAGCTCCCGCGTGCCAGGATAATTGCCCATTAGGTGGGAAACTCTTGCCGGTTCCTCTCCGAGTATCGCCTCGACTAGGATCGCGGCGATCCAGAAGCACATGTTACCTTTGTTAGTTCCGTCGAGGATGAACCATCTACTGGAAAAGTCCCAGCCAGATTCCGCAGCGGTCTTGAGCTCGGCATAATAGTTGTTCTTTTCCTCCTCGGTGCGAAAACTCTCGCTGGTTATGAAGTCCTCCCTAAAATCCCAAGTGTATATTTTTTATTCCTTTTCTTTTGTCCTTTGGATATTGGCCCGATCATGGGTTCAGCAGAGCGAACGCTGCATCTTTGACCATGAAAGTACGAACCTGGCAATTTCCCCCAGGTCGATGGGAAATTGGCAAAAATGAACTAAGCCCGGGAGTTGACGAAATGAAATGAGAGGAGAGGTCGAATTCTCCTCGGGGGGTCCCCTACCTGTAAGACTCCGGCCTCGGGCCGGCGGACTCCTCGTAGTATCTGGCCAGGGTGTAAGTGACCCCGTCCTTCTCGACCTCGACCGTCCGGTTGGTCATCCAGAAGTCGAACTCCTTCTCGAGCAGCCACAGGTTCTCCTTGAGCCACTGGAAGTCGTTGGTGACCCTGAGGTACTCGTTGACCATGGGGATCAGCATCGGCGGCTGGGACCTCATGGTGTAATAGACCCTCCCGCCGTTGGGGATGAACCCGATGGTGTTGACTATGCTGACGAAGTTGGAGAGCATGCCCTTGACGGTGCTGTACATCTCGGAGAGCAGGAGGCCCTTGATGATCCAGTAGGAGTCCCAGTAGTAGAACTCTCGAAACCTGCCACCGGGGACGATTACCGGATTGGGCACGTAGATGATGGAGTAGTGGTCGTGGTTCACCCGGACGTCGTCCTTCATCTTCCGTCCCAGAAGCTTCCATATATGGTTCAGGTCGTAGGCGAACTTCCGAAGATGCCGGTCCATGATGTTCTCCAGGAACTTCGGGCTGATCCGCCAGTCGACGGGGTCCCAGTCCTCGAACTCGGATCCCGCCGGGTCGAAGGTCTCGTTGACGAACCTCTCGACCTGCAGAGGCGTCGGGGCGCTGTCCGTCGCGTTCATGAACTCCCGGAAGGACGCCAGCGTCTCGTTCGGGGGCTTCTTCATTTTCATGTCGACGAAGGTCTTCGAGTCGCTGTAGATCGAGGCCATTTGCACGGTGTGCAGCAGGTCCCCGTGGCAGTAAATGTCGCTGTAACCCAAGCACCCCGTTTAAGGTCCGGTCGCTCTCGAGGGTGGGCGCCGATAACGCGGGCGTTAACCGGCGGTTAAACGGCTCGAATGAGAAAATCACTAAAACGAGACGGCATCCTCGATTCGCGGGAATCCGTTCACCTGTATACGTATATATACGGATTTCGCGCGAATTTAATTCCCCGTCTGGAGGAAGATCGCAGTCCGAGGTAACCTTTTCCTCGCCGAGTCGGGGTAATTGCGACATTCGATGCGAGAGGGTATTTCCACTCGCGACGAATGTCAGGATCCGCGCTCCGAGGTCGAGAACTAGATCCGCGCTTCCGCCGGTAATTATTCCGGGCGTTCTGCCATATCGACCTCGTTCCGCCGCGTGGAGCGGTTCGCGGCCCCGGGAGAAGGCAGGAAACTTTGGCGTACCCGAGGGCCTCGCTCTTACCTCGCGTTTACCTCCACTCGAGTGTCCTTTTACTCCGAATTTATCATCGCGTCGATCGGCGAATACTCGCCGGCTCGGAGGCCATTTTTCGCCGAGTCACGTGTTCCAGGACCACGTGTTCCAAGACCACGTGACCACGCGCCAATCGAATCGCGTTGATTCCTCGACGACTACCTAACCTCCGTGAACGATGGTAAACGAGGATTTCAAGGCGTTTTTGCGCAACCGTCATTAAGGTAATTCGAGGTCCGACGATATTACCGATTATCCTAAGTAAAGATCGGTCGAACTCGCGGTGCCGAGGCATTGTACAGGTGTCTGCCGCACCTGTGCACGAGTGTACAGGGTTCATCACTCGCATCACTTTACGATTTGCCAGACACGTAATTATGTAAACTTTGAGGACGAGTGGACGCGTTCGCATAAGCGATGAGCAAAATCGGTCTTGATCTTGGCATTTGCTCGTCGCTAGTCCGCATCCATTTCGTCGGGTGACGAAAAGCGGACTTGCAAAAGGTGTATAAAACTGCGCACTTGTAGTAGGCGGCCTTTAACATTCGGACTTACGAATCCTTTTAAACGGTAGACTTCAAAGTGCCACGAGTCATGCCGTGACCGATATCGGGAGAGCCACTTAAAAGGATAATTTCCCGCGATCCGATAATCGATAGCCCTCGTTATAAGACGATAAAGGCTATCGAGCGTTTATCGAAGCATTTGGCAGCGATACGAAACGTCACCTGTACGGAGGAACGAGCGTAAAGTGCTTCCCCCGTTCCGGAGTAAAATATCAAAATTATGTCGTAAAAAGCGCTAACGTAAATCGCTCCACCCGAGTTTTCCTACTCTTCAGCAATAATTTCTAAACTACCTCTCGGGATAAATCTCCCGAAGACGGATGGACATTCAATTCTACATTTACTTGCAATCACACGTATCAAGGCGTCACGAAACACACTGATTACCGACCAAGCCTCACCCGATGCACCTGTGCCCAATTTCGGCAATTAAACTGCAATTGCGTAATTTTGAGTTTCGGAAGTCATCGGACCCATTCGGGAGTTAAGAGGGAGTACGGAGAAAAAAATCGACATCCACGTGCGAGCACGAGGAAGGGGTGCGTACGCAAATTTTGAGTTTCAGACGTCATCGGACCCATTCGAGACTCAAGAGGGAGTAGGGAGAAAAAAATCGACATCCACGTGCGAGCACGAGGAAGGGGTGCATACGGATTTACGAGCAGATGCAGCTGCAGCGATCCCTTATCCCCTCTCAGACTTGTGCATCCGTGAAGGTTCCTCGTAATTCACCCTATGTGGCGATTCTAAGGTCGACACAATGAGCGATCTATGCACACCGCGTTCAGAAATCTCATACAGATCATCGAGTACACGTTGTAATAGCTCGTCAGAAACGGATGCGGAGTCTCGCGTCATTCCGCGCCTATTTCCGGGTACGCCCTGCGTTGCTTGTTCTTTTTTTTTTTTTCTTCTTTTCACTCGCCTGTACCATTTACTCCAGCTGTACAAATACACATCACTGCACACGATAACAAGTGGAATTCCCACTTGACGAGTTCTTATCTGCAGGAATTTCTATCGATCGGAATTTTCATATCAAATCTTGCGCGCCGAAATTCACGGATTTTCTTAAGGAGGAATTAATTCACGATAGGAATTAAATGCCCAACAGTCGGACGAAATTCCATATAAAATCCAAAGAGGACCGCGTTTTCTCGCCTCGCAACGTGAAAACTCGTCGATTGATACGCGCCGGGACAATGTGACGATTCCCACCGGACAGACGGGGAAAATGTCCCGCGCGCGTTTTCCGTATCGCGTGACGTCATGTCATTCGGGAAGGAAAACCGCGATACGCGCGGTCTCTCTCGGCAAGGTCATTGCTCGTCTTCTCGTTGATATGACTCGCATTCCCGTTCAAAGGACGCCGATATTCGCGGCGAGACACGTGGCCGAGAGATACGCCGCACCTAAATCGAATCGCGAGGAAACCGCACGACTTCTATCGGTGGAGGCGAAGGTCGTGTATAGTCTTCGACTACAAGAAGACGATTGTACCCCAATCCGGGAATTTGATAGCGTCCATTACATAAAGCGCAATTCCTTCCGGGCTGTGTATTTGTTTTTTTTTTTTTTTTAATAACCAAGAATCGCACTCGGGTTATTATTGCGGAACATTCCTCGTCGAACGAACGCGATTAAACTGAGGTTAAAAGGTAGTTTGCGTTAGCGGTGAGAGGCGAGTACTCGTCCGTGGGTTTGTTACAGATAGTATCGCGGTATCGACGGGCGTTTACGTAACGATCACGTCGGTACGTACACTTCGTACCTCGTATCTTCGCGTGCCAAGGTGCCGTCACACCTCGGGATCGCGACTTTCGCAAACCGGAAGAGTCAATTGTCATCAATTCCTGACGCGGCAAGAGTGATGCTCCTTTATTGCCGATTACGGGCATTCGAGCTTGAATTTTCAAACTACAGGTCGTGCCTCGGACTTTATAGAGGATAACAATGGGAACTCTCGTCTCGAGGATGATCCACTTGTTCCGAGTCGGGATCTAGGGACTGTGGCGGTGATCGAAGGGCGATCGATTTTTCGAAATGTGGATCTGAGTGGATCGATAACCCGATCGAGTCACGCGTCCCGAAACTCCGGGAAGATGCATTATGCGGATGCAAGATGCAGATGCATACGAGATGCGGTTAGGAGTGTAAACCAGGGTTTAGGAGCACCGCAGGGGATGCGAGATGGGAAACTCGAGTCGGCCCGTTCCCCCGTCGAAAGTTCCCCAAGACGACCTTGGGGCCTAGGTGGATCGAAGGCACTGACCAGCCCTAACCTAGAAAACCGGAGGCGGGGTTAGCCGGGGCGTTCCCGGCTTCCGGATGGGTGGCCTGCCCCTCCACTTGGGAGCGGCGCATGGAAAACCGGTAGACGGCCAAGTGCATCGCTTCCGCGTGCCCCACCCCGCGACGGCGCCTCCGCGCACGTGGACGCTCGGTGTCAAGGTCGCGTGCATCGTACTCGCGGACCCATTCATTTCAATCCCGACGCGACCCCCGCCCTCCAGGCGTCTCGCCGAGCGACCGTCAATGTCAAGGTCACGCGGCGACCATTAACCACGAAACCCGATTCCTCCGGAAAAACCCGCGATCGCGGAAAAGAGCGGAATGGAATAAAAAAAAAAAAAAGAAATCGGCGGTTGCCGACATAATTCCCGAGTCATCTCGAAACTCGGAATTCACGGGGAGAAATTCTTCCCCCCGGGTCCATGGGTACATTTAAAAAGGGTACGCGGGTTATAGGTTATGTATCCTTGCGCAAGAGTAGATCGCCACTCGGGGTGGAATACAAAATGCCCTTTTATTCTTTTCGTGGTCGTATAGGATACCACGTGTACGTTCTTCTTTTTACCCTATTGTTTATGTTCGCGATCTTTCGACATTTGCGCTCGCATAGGGTAAAGCTCGGTCGGTAAATCCGGTGACTCTCGGTTACTTGTGCTCGGTGATTGGTGTACTTACCTCGGGCATGGAGGAGGTCGATTCGAGAGGTCCGTGTCACGAGGGGACGCACATGCGCGCATCGTGAAGACCGCGATCTGCAGCAGAACTGTCAACTTCCACGCCACCGCCATCCTGATAATTCCTCGATTCTCACCCCCTTTCCCGATTCTTATTTTTTTTTGTATTTGTTTTTATTACTTTTTTTTTCTCTTATATACCACGAGACGCCCGATCGCGACTTTGCTCGACGACGCGCGACGGCACGCGGCTCGAAAGGTACACCTCTACTGATATTCAAATCTTTCCTTTTGCCTCCTTTTCCTCTTCCGTTCTTAAACTTATATCTCGTTTTGCTTCTTTCCTTTTACTTTAAGTTTTTGTTTTTTTTTCCGTCGAACGGAGTGCGTGAACGAAGTTTCTCGAGACGCGTCTACACCCTTTTAAAACACTTTCTTCTATGGATATGAACGTTTTTCCTCCCTCCCTTCGTTTTCCCCTCTCCTGATCCGCTTTTCTATCGGGGGTTCCGTTCCTTCCTCCCTCTTTGTCACTAAGCCCGTTTGGGCTCGGGGCAACGGTGGATCCTTACTTTTTGGTCACTGGCTCGGGATGTGGTCCCGCGGACTTGCGCAGCCTACGAAGCGGTCTTAGTTCCAACAAGGCCGCATCTTCCCTGGAAAATGAAAGAAAAAGCCCTCCGTCAGTCTCCCTCGTAGGAACTAGACAACTGGTGTCGGACTACGAGATTAAAAATGAATCGACACCCAATCACGGAAACCGAGACCGCGAAACGGAGTAAGTCCGGTTGCGTCATCGCCTCGAGACCGCGGACGCGTAAACTTAACCTTGACGGTAGGTCGGAGGTCACGTGGAACCCGCGATGCCCGACTCGGGATGCACCGCTCTCGCAAGGTCGATATCGAGACTCGCATTTTATCGGGCGCACTAAATATAGCGACGCGAGCGCCGTCGAGTCACGAGCGGCGATGCGAACGAACTCGAGTAGGACAAAAAACTTCGCCCAGGTCCGCCATCTCTGACCTTGACGCGGATAAGCCGGGATATGAGATGATTTTATAAAGATAGACGGCGAAACGACCTCGAGAGGTGAGAGATCATTTCTACGACGTTAAGAGGGAAAATATGAGAAATAATATAAAATCGAACTCGCACGTTCGACGGGGTATTTTCAATCGGCGCCGCGGTAGATAAAGGCCTCCAAAGTCCCTCTGGTGGAACATACCGGCGGTCAACGGCCGGCCATTAGAGTGAACTAAAATGGCCTTGCATCGTTGTTGTGCATGACCGGCGCCATGACGCAAATACTTTCTTCTGTAATTTAAACGGTAACGTAATGGCTCAGGTAGCGACCAAGGGAGCGCTCCCGTAACTGCAGACGGAGTGCATTTACGATTTCCACGGGGAATTTAAGCCGGCCACACGACTCGCCGAAATTCCGAGGTGGAGCGGCCGCCATAACGCGAGACGTTTACTCTAGTAATTTAAATCGTTGTCCTGAGTTCTTGGACGATAATGCACCCCGGGCACTCGATGCTCCGGGCGTACGTGCAATTTGCGAATTTCGGATCGGTCTTTGGACCCTCGCCAGGATAGACACGGTGCGTCAAAGTTGCCAGGTGAGACGTCCGACGGAACGCGGCGATCGGTCACGTGGGCGCCCGCGGGGGCGTTACGTCATCATCGCGCGATACCGCGCAGAGGCAAAGTCGGAGTCGCACCGAGCGCGGCGCGTCGACGCGTCGCGGTAGAAAAATTGGAAAATCGAAAAATCGTAAACTAACTCCGTGCAACTATTGCCGTATTATTTTCGTGGCTTTTCATTCTCGCCGCTTTGACGCGCCGCGCTCGGTGGGACCACGCGTAGCGTCGAAATCGAATTTTCGGAAGATTTATACGGCACCGCCGCTAGAGGCAAGATGGTCCGATCGATGACACTCGCCAAGGAACGCAAACGAACTTAAACGTTCGGCCGTTTCTATTCCCGGCTTTCAATGAGCGGCAGCGCTTTCGACGCGAGCTTCAATTATAAATAGTCGGCTTGTCAGTCTCGTCTCGGATACTCATCCCTGAATACTCAGGTGGCAGGCACGAAAGGCCAGGCGAGTTGTCCGTCTCGATCATTGTTGCAGAAAAAAAAGAAGAAAAAAAAATAAAAAAAGAAAAGGACCGAGCGAGAAGGACGGGACCCAGCTGCAGGAATTTTCGATTATCGATAACTCTTCACCAATGGAATAATTAAACTTATTTAATTAATTACAAGGGTCTCGAACTAACCCGCACTCTAAATCGAGGACGATTTTCGCAATTTTAAATTCGATCTCTCTCAGAATTTTAATTTCAATTACGATTCGCAATTTCGAATGAAATTTCATATTTGAGGAACGCGGCAAATTCAAAGCGGACGAATCTTGCGACGTGCCGGTACGAGCGATATGGTATCGTTCGAGTACGGGTTAATCGGTAACGGGCTGAAAATTCCCACTTCCAGAGCCGTTAAAGCCTTATCGCGAGTAATTGTGAAATCATCGCCCGAGACAGTTGATCGTGGAAAAACTAAGCCGCGAAAGGTGCGAGCGGGTATCACCAGTGGGCGGCTTTAAAAAACACGCGGAAGCGCGAGATAACGACTAAGGGCACGTTTCCACCCGAAAGAGGCTTAAGTGAATTCCTCGCCGAGGCAGGCTCGTGCCAATTTCGCGGTCGCGTTCGTTCCTTACATTCTCTGCTTAATCAGGCTCACTTGAGCTCGGTCCCAGCGTTTATGGGTCGCGTTAAAACGATGGCAAACCGCGGGTAAAAATCCGCAGAGGATCCGAGAGCCTGCCGAGGTCAACCACGATAGGCCGTGCCCGTGCGATAAAGGTCGACGAGAAGACAGGGGATCGCCCGTGCCAAGAAACGCCGACATCGTAGATGTCGACCTCCCGCGCACCTTGAAATCGAGACCCGCCATTTTGTCTACCGAACGTAGATACTCTTGGAAAATTCCGCCTCTTACGGCCGACTCGTTTCCACGCTCGGCCCCGACGACGCGGATTTCCCGATGGACAGCCGGCAACGAAATAAGCGCCTCCCCGCGTGTCATTTTCCTCGGCTGTACATTTCACAGTCTTATTAACGATGTCACTTACGTTTACATGTTACACTAATACACTCACACGTTACATTTTTATGAACTTCCGGGGATGGCCCTTCGCGGTCCCTGGCACAGGGCCAATCGGCACGCAGGAAAACCGCGAAGGCCGTCCGATCCACATCCCGAGAGCGGAGTTTCAACGTCGAACAGTGAACGAGCTCGCGTTATTTCCGTCCCCGATCGAAGAAAAGAAAATCCCGAAGAAATCCGCTCTTTGAAGCCCAAGAAACGAGGTTGAAACTGTTCAATCCGGCGTCTCCTCGCGGACGGCTCCACCGACGTAAGTTCGCCGGCCCCTTAAATCCAACCGCGAGAAGCGCGACGTAAACCAAACCTACCTTCATTATTTAAGAATCAGAACCGCGAAGAACCCACAAAAAAAAAAAATTCCCCCAATTCCAAAAGCTACATACTCGAGTAAGACCTCCTCCGAACCCTCTCGAACTGGCTCAAGGTCGACCCCAATGCCTACCGTTACCCCGAGTAGTATCAAATTCGCGTGCGCGGCGACTTAATCGAATAACCGTCGATCCGCCTGTATAAACGGGTGGATCGTCCTGGAAGTAATTCTCGGAGAGGCGTTTCTGGATCTTAAACCGCGGTCACCGCAGCGTTTACGCACATCCGGCACTAAATAGGTAATCCAAAAGGAATTGAACCTGTTTCTCCGTTCAGGGGTTCGACCGTCGGCGAGGCATCGCTGGGGTGTCCCTCCGGTCCCTTGGGGTGGCCGGTCTCATCTGCGATCGTTAGGTCGGGCACGGTCCGGCTATAGGATATATATCCCGCAAGGTGGATCGAGAGAGAGAGAGATAGATCGGCCTCGGGAGGCGCGTTCGCTCTCCGTGGAGTTGGCAAATCGCGCGCGTGCGCTCGACTGGGCGCGCTCCCTCGCGATTCGCCGGACCGCGGCTGCGAGACCACGGCCGAGAGTGACTCTTCTACTCGGTCGGGTGGTCCGCCGTGGTAGGGGAGGGCGCCCGAGTGGGACGCGGCGATTGAGCGAGACAGACGGAAGAGCAGGGTAAGACGGAGGCCGTGGGAGGGACCGAGACCGCGAAGAGGGTAGCTAATTACTCCAGGATTACTCATCCGCCTCGGACGTGTGTACTCGAGAATTTACAAATTGCCCCGCGCGGGGGATAAGGAAGCTTCACTAAGTGGTGCTCCCACCGGGTGCGTCGAGGACGAGAAGAAACCAATCCGGATCCGCGGTTACCTCCACTCTCCGAGGAAAAAAACAAGAAAAAAAATCAACGAATCAAAGATATTCTTAAAGAATAATTATCCGTCGCGAATGAGATATGCCACAATTCCGAGAAAGCGTCCCATCCCATTTTGCGTGAAATTTTTTGAATTATCAAAGAAAAAGAAAATAATATTATAGGTACGTTACTCTACGAGTTGTGAAATACACGCAAGTGATGTAGATAAAGGGATACGATGTGCAACGAAATTTTACAGATATAAAGCTGAAGTGCATTGTTTTTTTTCTATCGTGACTTGGAATTGTTTATCCGTGTGTGTTATACGGTTTAACGATTTAATATTTCACGCTTGGGAAAAAATTGAAAAATGTAAAAAAGAAAAATGCCTCGAGATATATTACTATATGTGTTCTACGTACCACCGTGGCTGCGAAGGGCACGGATGTCGTAGGCACCGTAAGGGGGAGAAGACGGAGAGGGTGCCAGACGGGAAGAGGGAAGCGAGCGGAGAGGAGAGGAGCGTGCGAGTGCCTAATTGTACGAGGCCTACGGACACTCCGTACGCACTGCGCGACGCGGGAAACGCGACTGAGTTCGCGAGGTGGCCAGACCGACGGCTTTTTAAGACAGCCGCGGTACCGGTTACGTCATGCCGGTAGGCCCCCGCGAGCGGGGCTTGCGATTGGCCGAGCCCCCCGAGAGCCGGCGCCCCATTGGTCGCCGAGGGGACACACCCGCGCCCCTTATCCGCGATCGCGGAGAGTCTTCTAAGCGCCGCGCCAGTTCCGCGAATCCGAGGTTAAGTGCCATAGACCGCGGTCACTACTCGGCCGGGTGACCCGGGCAACTCCGTCGTCTTCGGATTCCGCAGCTTTCCTAACGCCTCATGGTAGTAAGGTACAAGAGAGCGCTCGGAATTGAACCTTTCATGGTAAATATTATTGACATTTCCGCGACTGTCATCATCGCATTCCGCAGCTTTCCTAATGCCTCATCCATGTGATAAGGTACAAGAGAGCGCTCGGAATTGAACCTTTCAGGGTAAATATTATTAATATTTCCGCGACCAACCAACCGGGGCAACTCCGTCGTCACTGGATTCCGCAGCTTTCCTAACGCCTCATCCGCGGTGGTAAGGTACAAGAGAGCGCTCGGAATTGAACCTCTCAGGGTAAATATTATTGATATTTCCGTGACTTATCAACGCGCGCGGAACGTGCCCGGGCCAATGGCCGAACGACTTTGTCAGCGCGAAGGGAGTACCTTTCTCATGGACCGCCCGAACGGAATGTCGTTTCCGTTGGACGTGGTGTAAAATAGCGCCGACTACTCGGCGCTATTTTACCCCGAAACTGCGACTCCAGTACGTTATATTTTCGGAGAACGACGCAATTCCGGAGGTCCGTGCCACTTTCCACTGGATTACTCTCCGGCGTTTTTCGGCGCCGGGGCGGCACACTTTTCCTTGAGCCCACGGGGACCCAAGGCCGGCTCTCGAGATCGAGTGACTCGTGTCGTCGATCGCCCTGCGTGATTTACCCCTCTGTATCGGGAGGGGCGAGGCGGCCACGATTTCGGAGCATAAATATAAGTCGTCCTCTGCGCGTGCGCGACTAGGGCACGTGTCGCGGTCCATTGAAGGCGGCCGGCGTCGTTTCACGGTCGGCGTCGGAAACGGATTCGGGAAAGCGACGCAGAGGAGGGTCGACGTCACGTCGTCGCGACGACGTTACGTCAGAGCGAGAGGTTTTGGCTGGAAATACTCTCGAGAGAAGGAGGACGATATGGAGAATCCTGGAACACATTTTAATAACTCCAAAATGTCATCGGCACTCGCAGAAAAAGATTTCATCGAGTTAAGGGAATTCTTCTCGATTCGCCCATGGAATAAAATGTCATTAAATAAAAAAAAATAATAATTAAGAGCAAATTAAATATCCGAACATTGTGATATTTCATTGCAGTCCGTTTCCAGGTCGCGCGGGAGGAGGTGCATCGGTTAAGGCCGACGTCACGTGCGTCCCGGCGTCGTCAGTTCCAGAATCTGGCTGCCCTCGAAAGTACACAGCTGACGGTCGAAATGCGCTAGACGCGATCGTCTCTTTATCGGCGCGACGCCAGGTCTTATCGGCGACAACGTCGCCGTCGAGACACCGTCAACACTCGCGGACCCGTTGGTCCTCGTTGGATTGCACTGGATGCGCTTTAATCTCACCGGTGCCGATAAGGAGGAGCACTGCCGGCGAGAGAAGATCGACCTTATTATCGAGGCTCGAGCGGAAAGATCGACAAAGAGCGAAAAAGTACCACCGAAGTAGTGCGCACTACGATAAGCCGTCAATTATCTCGCTAATTATTTCATTAATTATTTATTTATTGAAATCGCGCGAGTCGACGACGGACGCAGGACGGCCCGACGCCCTCGGAAGTTTTTTTTTCGATGCGACGCGTTGCCTGAATTACCTCGGAATATTCCCAGAAAGCCTCCCCTGCTCCCGTTAATCGCAGACCGAGATAATTGCAGGCGCCGGAGATTAATGCTCATTTCTCCTTTATGAGGATTGGCACTGCGAACTGGATTCGATATCGCGAGGACACGTGACATCTCAATGGATCGATGCCGTATCTTCTTCACCGGCAGTTAACCCTTTCGGTGTGGTATATTTAAATACACGGCATAGCGAACGGTCGACCGCGACCGATATTATGGACAACGAAATGTGTCAGCGTATTCTATTATTTTTTTTTTTTCTCGGGTAGCGGCATCGTTGATAACAATTGCCGAGTACCAATACGCGCCAATAGGAATCAACGGAAAGGGCTAAATTCGAGCCACCCCGAAGACAATAAAAACCAGCTAATTATATATNTAACAATAAAATAACAATAAAAAAAATCGTTGGACCATCGATAACGAATGACCTGCCCAAGAGGTGTCTTCAAATTTCCAAATTTACGTCGCGGTGCTCCTCAATTCTTCTCGACAAATGAGAGCTAAGCACAGCCAATTACTCCCAGGGAGTGCAATTTTCGTAATGGAGCGATAGATCACGCGGATCGTACGAATCGATCTAATCTGATCCTCGGCGCACCAGGACGCGGGAAATGCCCAAGCGTCTCGTAATCGTCGTACCTGAATATATATCTCGGGATTACTCGTACCTCTCGTTAACGAGATACCGTCTACCCGCCGCGTTAGCATTAATTACAACTAGACGGTTTCGCTAAAAGCGATAATTAATTGTCCCCCGCGCGAGCGGAATGAAAAATCCCATTTCCTTGGTTTTCAAGGCGTTTCGCAATCCTTATCGCGCCGCATTGGAAATGAGTAACGACAAGCAGGGGTGCAAAGCGAGGCGTTTTTTCTTTTTTTTTTTTCCGAGCGGTGCAACCTTGCTCGGCGTTGCGATGCAAAAACGTTTCACCGTCCGACCTGGAGACAATTTGGAGTCGCGGTCCTGGAGAACGCATCGCAATGAGACTCGTCAGATAAATAGCTCGACTTTTGATATTTTCACGCCGACTCGAGAATTATGCAACGTACTGGCAATAATGCGACGACGCCGGAAATGCACACGCGGTGCATTGTCTTGAGCGGAGGGGAAAAAAAAAGAAGAAAAAGAAAGAAAAAAAAAAAATACGGCACTCACCACGAGGCAACGTGCGTTTATGTAAACGTCGGAATGCAACTGTTTGCAGTACCTCCTTTATGTAATTACGTGTCGCGAATTGCGGGGACAACGCGGGAATCCCAATGGGAATTTTAACCGAGACGATCGACGAACTTTACAGGTGCTATAGGTTCCTATTATCGAGCCCGTAACGATAAGTATCGTTATCATTGGTCCATTGAAATGACAGATCCACCGACATCTGTCGAAAAATAAGCCTGCAGACTTTCAAGTGTTCATTCCGTGTAGCTGTTTGGTTTTTTTTATTTTTTTTTCTTTACTCCTTATCTTCGAAATCAACCTCGTGGGAGGCCGGAATGTCGCGATTCGTCGAGTCTTTCGGTCAAGAAAAAATGGACGGCGTTTATTATTTTCTCGAGGAGCAGAGACGTTGGATGTCACGCTCGGTTGCGACGATTATTATTCCGGATTACTAGCCACGAGCAAATTCGCCGTGCGGAAATCGAGTCCGCCGACACGTGCGTGCCCTGTCGGCCAGCATGTGATTTCCCTTATCACTCTCGGCGTACGTAAAGCAAGACCGCTTTCGCCTCGAAATCGAAGACGTCAGCAACCGGCGCATAACGCTCGCGGGTCTCTCTTTGCTCACGAAGCCTGATTACAGTTTCCGGTCTTCGGATTTCGACATTAATCGGGTAAAGCGCCTCAAGGCCTCGTCGCCTCTTTTGCCGGAATACCTGTCGGTCGATATTTCGAGCGACTTATCGAGCGAGGATGTACAGAATACCTGTAAAAGGTGTTGGGAACGTCTCCGCGGATTATTCGTGATTCAATTTGAAATTCCAGGATTTTTCAATGACTCGACGTTACCCGATAACTGCAGGTCTTATCGAAAATATTGTCTATTAGCCAGCCGAGGTCGAGTCGACACGTGACCACGTAAAGTGTTCCGCTCACCGTTCGGTCACCTTATCGATAAGAAGAATCAATCCAAAATTCCAGGACTTTTCGATAACTCGATGTTCCCGGTTAATGGGTTATCAAAGGTATTCCCTATTACCTAGGTGCGATTCCGAGGTAACACGTAAATGAGGTCTTCCGCTTAACGCTCGACCCTCTTATCGATAAGGCGAAGGAATCGACACCGCGACTGGCGAAACCTCCAACTTGTTTTCCCCTCAAAGGAGCGAATCGCTACGCAAAGTCAATACCAAACAGATGTCGATCGATAAGATCGATGATGTCACCCAAAGTCGGACAATGCCGCGGATATCAAACGAAGTTACATATCGATTTTCCGGAGTTTGGCAATTCAATTTTAGAGGGACGATCCTTGTCGCTTCCTCACCTCAGTGTTTAATTTACCGTATGACGTACGAAGTAACATATCGCGACGGTGCAAAGTCGATATCGAACGGATATCGATAAAATCGATGAAGTCACTCGGATTTTGACAACGCGGTGGACATTAGACCGGCGAAGACCACGTACCGTTTTTCCGCAGGTTTTTGCTAAACTTTGCTCGCGTGCGATTCTCGCCATTCTCTTTTTTTTTTTTTTTTTTTTTTTAATACTTTGTCTCGTTACGTACACGCGATAATGACGCGCAGGTGTAACTCAAAGCGACGCAGCTTCGACGCTCGCACAAAAGGACGGTCCTCTCGCGCATTCCGACCTATTCGAGACGAAAGCCCCGCCGTTTGTTTGGCATAACAAAAAAACGC